GGCGACCGTGTTTGGCTGGATGCCTCTGACATCAGGACGACTCGCCCCTCGGAGAAGTTCTCCCACACCGCCTCGGACCGTTCAAGATAGTCGCGGAGATCAGCAAAGGTGCCTACAAGCTCGACCTCCCTCCACGCTACTCGAAGCTCCACCCGGTCTTCCCCGTCGTCAAGCTCGAGCTCGCCCAAGACGACCCCTTCGACGGACGCCCCGGCTACGACCAGCCCCTCCGGACCTCGAGGACGGAGTCCCGGAGTGGGAAGTAGAGGAAATCCTGGACGCAAGGGTGAGGTATAAACGGCTGAATTACCGTCAGATGGAAAGGCTACGACGCGTCGCACGACCAGTGGGTCCGCTCGACCGCGTCTTCGCCCCAGAGAAAATCGCGGAGTTCTATCGTAAGTACCCTGGCAAACCACGGCACATCGCCTCTGCAACCTTCGACTCGATTCCATTCCGGTCTATGCGCCGGGACGCCGCATTCAAAGGGGGGTGATGTCAGGGGAACCTCCCTTTCGGCCCCTCGGAGACGATTCCGATTCCGGTCCGACTCCGGTTCCGACTCCGGTGATCGCATCACCGCCTCCGTCAGGCGCGATCGCCGCCCCGCCTGGCGATCCCCTGGGACCTGGCCTGCGACATGGCGCAGGCATACTGCACGGAGCAACGATCAACCTTGGCGCGTCAAGAGCGCAGTATATAGTTCCGCTACCTAGCAGGCGGACCCTTAGAGTTTCTTCTCTTTGGATCCTCCCCTGCTAGGTCAGCCTCACTTGTATTTGCTTACTTCTATTCACTCTTTGGATCCTCCCCTGCTAGGACCTTGATCTCAGGCCTCCGGGGTTGCCCTTACAGGGTGGCGACATGGGCCGACCTGACGCCCTCTCTCAGAGACCCAATCACGGAGTCGATTCCGACAACTCTGATGTCGTCTTCCTGTGACCGGAGCTCTTCCACATTGTTGAGCTGCCAACGAGGCTGGTCGCGGAAATTGGCATCACGTCAGCAAGATGACATCAGCACGCCGCGGCATCACGCGCATCAAACGCGTTCACGCGCACGACGGCAACGTGTCGCCGGCCCACTGACTCATCGGGCGCGGCCCCGCAGCTCGGTCTGACTTGCCCTCGGAGTCATTCTATTTCATTATTAGTATAAAAAGGCCTGTCTTCCATAGATATAACAAGTTTCTAGCGCCCCGCGTTTATGATTTAAGTTCCGTTGATGTCCGTCCGGTCCGGAGCCCTCGCCGTCGCTCTCGCCTTGTCCCTCGCCGCCGTAGCCCTTGCGCACCATGCATCCAACATCACACTTACCACCACCACCTGCCCACCAAGTCCTGGGTATGGATTGACCCTCGCACACTTACTTAGCTTATGGCTGCTGGGAGTGGTGTTGCTGACCTATTTTGGGTTAGCTCGCGCTCACGAGCACGCTTGCAGTGCATCAACATCTGTGCACTTGAAGGTGTTTCCGGTCCTGGTTCTGAACTCCTTCGCGACATCTGTGATGCCCTCTCCGGTGAGCCTGACCTGGAGGAGCCCATTGCACTAGTGGCCCGGCAACTTCTTAAGGTCCAAGGTCAAGCTCGAAGCCCCCGCTCCTCTTGTTCCGACAAGTGGGCCGTCTCCGGCGGTCTTCTCCATTTCTGAGGGAAGATTGTTGTACCAAAGGACAAGGACCTTTGGAGATGCATCATCGAGCTCTGGACACTTGAGTTGCCAGACATGCTGGTCACTTTAAGACCTTGGAGTTGGTCTCCCAGACCTACTGATGGCCCCAAATGTCTCGACATATCGGCCGGCATGTTGCAACCTGTAACTTGTGCTGTCGCACCAAGGCACTCCGGAGACTGCCCCACAGAGAGCTGCACCCCACGGAAACGCCCCCGGAACGCTGGCATACCGTTTCCGTCGACTTTATAGTAGAGCTCCCCGAAGCCCACGGGTACGACGCAATCATGGTCGTCGTCGACACCCTCGCAGGATAGGCACTCAGTTTTGCTAGCAAAACCTGGGCTACTGGTGAAGGGTGTTACTAGCAAAACCTGGGGAAGGTCACCCCAGTCACGACTGAGTGCTGTGACAAGAAATGTGACATCCAATCAAATATGAATATCTCAATGAGTTTGATAGCTATGACTAAGCTATTACCAGATATGGAAAGGCAAATCACTATTTTTTCAGGCCGAAGACCCGTATAAACATCTGGGTGGCTTTGTAAGCCAGGGCAAAGGTATACATCCTAATTGGGCCAAAATTGATGTATCTTGACACAGCCATCAAAAGTACTGATGTCAATCAAAAATTGTTCCACATTGATCACTTTATCTTGATGGCATCAATTCCACCATCACTACCATGATCTAACACCCAAATATAAATAAAATGAATTTTCAAAAAGTGTGACATTTGTGACCCTTGGGCAGTTGCCCAGGTTTTGTGAGTAACACCCTTCACCAGTAGCCCAGATTTTGCTAGCAAATCTGAGTGAATGAGCTGACCCTCGGAAAACGTGCCCACTTCTTGGAGTGTCATACGACGGTCAATGCAGTAGGAGCAGCCTGCCTCTACTATCGGAATGTCTGGCAACACCATGGGACCCCGGAGAAGTATGTTTCCGACCGCGGGTCGCAGTTCATCACGGACTTCACCCGAGAGCTCTGGTGTCTAATCGGCATTAAGCCTGCCACGTCCACCGCGTACCACCCCCAAACGGACGGTCAGACAGAGCGCATCAACCAGGAGTTGGAGCAATACCTGTGGATCTTCACCAACTATCAGCAGGACGACTGGGACGAGCTGATTACGGCTGCGGAGTTCACCTACAACAACCATGTTCACTCCTCCATGCAACAAGTCCCGTTCATGACAGACTCGGGCCAGCTCCCGCGCATGGGCTTCGAACCTGGAGTCCACTCTGCTATGGAGTCAGTGAATGAGTTCCGCGACCGGATCGCCACTGGTGTTGCCAAAGCAAAGGCTGCGCTCACAAAGGCCAAAGAGGAGTACAAACGCTACTACGACCGGAGACGCACTCCATCTCCAGAGTTCAAGGTTGGTGACCATGTTTGGCTGGATGCCTCCGACATCCGGGAAAAGTTCTCCCACCGCCGCCTCGGACCATTCAAGATAGTCGCAGAGATCAGCAAAGGTGCCTACAAGCTCGACCTCCCTCCACGCTACTCAAAGCTCCACCCGGTCTTCCCCGTTGTCAAGCTTGAGCTCACCCAAGACGACCCCTTCGACGGATGCCCAGGCTACGACCAGCCCCCTCCGGACCTTGAGGACGGAGTCCCGGAGTGGGAAGTAGAGGATCTGAATTACTTCATCAGATGGAAAGGCTATGACGTGTCGCCACGACCAGTGGGTCCGCTTCGACCGTGTCTTCGCCCCAGAGAAAATCACGGAGTTCTATCGTAAGTACCCCAGCAAACCACGGCACATTGCCCCCGCGACCTTCGACATGATACCCTTCTGGTCTATGCGTCGGGACACTGCTTTCAAAGGGGGGGGTGATGTCAGGGGAAGCCCCCTTTCGGCCCCTTGGAGACGCGTCCGATTCCGGTCTGACTCCGGTTCCGACTCCGGTCCAGCCCTCCATCTCGCCTGCACAATCACCAATCCGTCAACGCCCTCCCGACGGTCGCCCTGGGACCTTGCCTGCGATGCCGCCCAAGCCTTCTGTGCCCGACAGCAGCAGCTACGGACAAGCAGTATATAGTCAGCTCCCTAGCAGGCAGACCCTTAGAGTTTCTTCTCTTTGGATCCTCCCCTGCTAGACCTTGATTTCAGGCCTCCGGGGTTGCCCTTACACTGAAATCTTAACAAGATCATGCAGGTCTAGGTTGCCGGCACTGGCCATCAGGCATGTGCGTGTCACAGATAAGACCCAGCCCGTCCTCTCCGGGCGCTGGTGTCAGGCCACCGCGGGCCTATAACACGCAGCACGCATGCGCCCCCAGTAGGAGGAACGCACACGTGAGAAGCACGTGACCGAGAATGGCGTGTCGAGCCGTTGCCAAGCCCAACTCGACACCAGGGGTTGGGGAGGAGTGCTAGGAGGTCAGGAGTAGCGCCTGGCCCGCAAGGCATGTCCGATCGTCCCCTCTGTGGCCAGGAACGGGAGAGAGGAGGAGCAGGGGAGGCCAGGGTGCCCGATTACCCCTTTGCGGGCCCGCTATATAAGGCACGATAGTGTACCATGTACTCTATCGCTTAGATCGTCTGAAGAACTACCTCACTCCGTGCAAGGAGGTGCCATCGACTTATTGGGCCCGACATGACCTGATTCAAACCTTCGACCATCGCAAACGACAAGGGACCGAGTTCACAGGCCCTTTTGGTTTTGATCTACCCCGCGAGTATGGCGAGCGGGCCCGACTATCCGTCTGTTCTGTTCCGGGCGCGCGTTCTTAGGAGAGGACCTTGCACGGCCCGACCCGCAGCCTGACAATGTGTACAAATTCTTTTTGACATTTTCACGAAATTTTGCAGACAGCTGTAATACCCCCTAGAACTCTGTGTTATGTCGCATTGCTGGGATTTGGACACCCAACTACCCGGGACCCAGAACCTTCAGTTGGGTGTTCAGTTTACCCAAAGGTAAGAACAGCATGGATTGCCACTACACCAGCCGTCTTACCTGTCCATAGTCTACTTGTTCCTCGGTCAATTTATCACCTACTCCACTCATCCCACTCGTCCAACCAACGAGCATTCCCCCTTGTGCCGGAACTAGTAGTTGTTTGTGACAGCTCTCCATCACATTAACTTACCTCTACCTGGCCGCTAGTATTGGCTCTAACAGGTTATGTACTATAGAGCTTTTTCTCTCTTCTGAAGCTGACACTATTGACTCTAACACTGTGAGCACATGTGAGCAAGCAAACAACTATTATGGCAGGTTCCACTGGCACTTGAGAAAATTGACAGAGAAATGACACACAGATAGAAAAGAAAAAAACATGTTTTTCGCCACTGCTAATACTATAAGCTCTATTACCATTCATTCCAATGGAATGTCTCTTGGCGGAAGAGCGGTCGGTAAACTGCTCTGCTGATTTCGCAATGCTTGCCAACAATGTCATACTGCAGAGTGAGCCTACTCTCCGAGTTGGTTAGCATCGATGAGGCAATACCAGGTCGCTGCTCGTCTCCGAGACGCGGGTAAGCAAACCCAAAGTCAATGAACACCACGCTGTCGCGCCCCGGTCGATAATCGGGTCCGTCGGGAAGAATAATCTGGCCGCAGTGGAAGTCTGCCTGATCGATACCGGCGTACGATAGCGTTCGAAGGCACTCTCTGGCATGTTGCGCCTGTAAATCATTCAGTGTCTAGTTCATAGATGCTCCAGTCGACGTACAAATCCACGTTTGGCAGCAGCACAATCACTCCAAGTAGAAGTGTCGATCTGAGCCAGTGTTGGCCCAGGGATAATTTCAAGCAAGGCACCGTATGCTGTGAATTTGCCTGGGAGTGTAAACTGCAACACAAACTCAAACTTGAATCAGCTTATCGCAATCGAAAAAAATGCTCACCCGATGGAAGCCATAACAATGGGGAATCATTGTTCCCTGATGTTCTGTGAGCCGCGCGTATGCAGCCTCTTCTCGTCTGACTATGTTTTCTGGGTACTGCAATGAGCTTAAACGCAACATAGCCTCCTCCTTGAAGTCCTCGGCAAGCATTGCAGCGTCGATCGGAAAGAGGACGTCAAGAAAGACCTTGAGACATATTCGCGCGGAAACAGAACCGTTTGTGCTAAGGATACCAAAGAAGACTTGTGAGTAGGTATCAGGTTTATGTCGAATCACATCCGTCACTTGGAATTGGATATGTTGTTCAGCTGCTAGAGACAATATTTGGTCCACATCGTGAAGACGTTGACGCGGATTCCGACCAACAAACTCTTTGGTGCTAGGAGGAACCGCTGGATTTGGAAATAGAGACCGCCATAGACTCTCGTCTCGTATGAAAGCATCGACATCGACGTCCAGCACCGTCCCCGGGACCACAAAAGGTGTTCCTAGTCGCTCAGACTCTTTATTCTTCCATCCGAGGAAGTGATTAAGATAAGGGATACTTCTTTGTAGTGTGAAGCGATCGAAGTCGCGAAAGGCTCTATATTGCTGCTTTGATGGGAGTTCTAGGTCCGGGTCCGAGTCGTTCAGTGCACCTTGGAGGAACTTCGGCCACGCGTTTGTATTCAGATCACACTCCTCCGCCTGGCACAGCAGAAGACATAGCGCATGCCGCAGAGATTGACGACCTGGCGCAAGTGCATAAGTGTCGAGGCTGGTCCTTCGATAATAATCGTAAATGGTGATGCCGGTAAGTATGAGAATTCTGTCCATATCGGTCACAGCAATAAACTGGGGGCGTTCTTCGAAGAATTCATCATGATGCTTTTCCAGGAGCTCTGTTATCTTGTTGCATGTAATGTAGTACTTGTCTAGTGGCTCAGACTGGAAGCCTGCCCAGCAAATTTTTCCTTTGGGCTGAGCGTACATGAGCTCGATGCCCGAGAGTGGAGAAGAAGATGACGCACAGCGCAATAAAACATAAGATGCAGCCGCTTACGGTCGGTGTCTTGCAGATACACTCTCGTGAGTTGTTGGTCTATGATGGCTTCGGTCTGCTGCGTGCAACAACCCGCGAGGAAGGTGCACACCTTCGATAAGTTCAGTTTCGTAAGTAAAGCGCGCAGAAGGTTGTTTGAGTAGATATTTGTTGCAGATGGCCACGACGGGCTCCAAGTACGTGTAGACCACATCCGAGTCGTTGACTCTTGAAAGCACGTCAGTGGGGGGTAGTGACATCGTTGACTAGATGCGGCTCACCGAGGCTGCGTTTCATAGGATTCGAACCTTAGTGCCGCAATTCGTTGAAAATAATCCGGTGGCGAATGCTTTAGATTTGCACCGAGGACATAAAACTGTTGCGAGTCACTAGTACTCGAAGGACGCTCATGCTCACAAGGTTGAAGACTCGGAGCGTTGCTTTCGGTTGGGTGACCGTCGCCTAGCATGTCGAGGAAAAGCATTTGACTGTGGGTGTGGGTGGTGTGGGTGGTGGTCCGTGGATGAGTTGAGGTTGTCGATGTCACGTCTCTGAGTCTCTGAGTCATGGTCACGATAGTTGTTTGTTTGTCGGCGTCACCACGGTGTCCACCTTGATTTCAAATTTCAATCGTTGCTCGTCCCAAGCAATGGCAAGCATATTAGCAATCCGACTACTTATTATTACCGACTCGGACACTATACTGGCAGTCACGACTGGCGGTCTTGCAACACTTGCTCACTGGCAAACTGCTCAGTAATAATTTTCAGTCAACTTTGCTGCGGGATCTGGCTTTAACATCAAATAGAGTGCCGGGAGAATAAATTGCTGACTATCATACAGATGTGTCGTCGCACGCGGGGCCCACACACACCCACATTTCTGAGTCGACGCTGACCTCGAGGCTGATGTTGTATCAAACATGGATCGTTGACTCACTCTTGTGGAAAGGTATAAATACAAGGCCCTGTGCGAGGCTGACCTACATCAACCAGACCTACTATCATAGTGCCATGTCGAAGCAAACTCACCGAGCTCCTGCCAGTAATCAAGGCCACGGGCACACCCAAGCTACACCAGCCTCCACACAGAACTTACTCGCTCAGGTATTTCAGCTCTTCTTCTTCATGTTTCCCCGTACATATTCCCCCCTCAGGTGCTTCTCAAGCCGATACCTGGATTTCCTCAACAGAAGGCAGCTGCAGCAGAGGCCGCGGCAAAACATCGTAAGGCTCCTGGGCGGATAAACACAACTGCGAGATTTGTCGAGAAATTTATGGGAAGCTTCCGACTCGAAAAAGATCCATCACGTTCCATGACGGAGTCATATGATCTATTCTCGACGAGCATCTTAGCAGGGAATTATCCTTCAGATCCTAGGCTCGCAGTTAACTTATCGTCGACTGCTCAGCCTGCTGCTGAGCCTACGAGTCGGAAACAGCGGAACCCCAAGGCAGCTGAAGCTCAGCCGCCTCAGTCGAAACAAATATCCCCCGAAGACATGGAAAAAGTGAGGGATTTGCTCGCAGACCACCTCACTATGCACCTAGTCGACAAACCATACTCCGAGCAAGATGTGCGGTATGTGTTTCGACCAGAAAAACATGAGAAACACTGACCTAAGACGATAGCAATGCCATTGTCCCTATGGTCTCAAAGGTTGTGTACTGTATTGCAGAGTATATTCCCGGCATATTTGTTGGACCGGATACGAAATACCCCATTCACAGTGTCGAGCTTGCGGCCGAAAGGCCCTCCCATCAAACATCGGAGCCTAAGACTCAAGCTGCTGTCGACAACTCGAGTGTTACACAGACAATGGGCCCCACCGTGACAGTGAATACACCGCCGCAGGCTCCAGCCCAGGAGCCCAAACCGTCGTCAGAAAGAGAGAAATTTTTTATCGGTGATTGAATGCTCTGAGTCCTTTTGTCAATTTGTCTGATTATGCTACGTATAGATTTAAGCTTCGTGAGAAACGACGATGTTTTCGCAGGTGTCGTTACCAAAGATAATAGGATAGTTGTCGATGCTTTGAATAAGGCCCGCAATATCAAGGACGAAGACCTTGCAGCGAAGCAACAGAAAGCAGCGAGTTCAAAAACACGCCAAGGCACCAAAGACCTCAAGGAAATAGATAAAGAATATTCCGATGCTCGAGCCCGGTTGCGACATGAATATCTACCTGCACATTATAAGACCACTGGCTACACAACTTACACGCAGAAGGAACTTGATCAAAAAATTGCTTTCCTGGTTGTTGAATTCAAAGTAAGTACTGATTCCGACTCGGAGATGCTCCTGAATAATTGATGACCTGCAGATGTTGGGTTTGCTAGACTTAGAAGTATTCCTGGAATTCGCTGAAGAAGGAGTGGTTCTTACCGGCAGTGACTCAAAGCCATGGCAGACTATGGATGGCAGGCGCCGGTCCTTCCTGGCAATACTAAGACAGGCCATACGCTACGGAGTCGTTTACGGTGCCGAATTCATCTATCTGACGGACTTCGGTGTCCACATTCTCCTGAAGCTGGATACGGCAAAGGACTGGCATAAGGGAAATGGCAAAATCGAATGGCTAGTGACAGCAATACCAAATCCAAAGCCGGCCACTGACAAAGAATCCGACGAGTCGGTTGACAGCTTCGATAAAAATGCCCTGCCAGTGGCAGGTGGCTTGGACGTTGAAATACCTCCTCACTTGAACGACAAGAAGAAGGCTTTGTATGAGAAGTTGGTCTCGGGCTCTGGTGATCCTGTGCGCATGTTCTTGGCTCATGCGTTGTATCGCGGCTTGGCCTCCGAGCGAACTCTGAGTGAGAAGCTGGAGGAGACACTCAGCCGACAAGCTCAGGCCAGTGGACATAAGTAAAGTACTTGTGTAACTTCCATCTCTTGCATTAGATTGCCCGTGTACTAGGAATACATCACATAACACAAGCTTTGAATTCCTCTACCTGCAGGCTCAAGGGTATATAATATTGGAATAAACACGATCACGCGCAGGTCATGTGCGCCGCCGTCGCCCAGGTATGAGACCCCACATCTGCGCATCGTCCAGCTCAACGGGCACGGACCCGTTTTGGGATGGGAAGTAGTCCAGGGACGCGACGCAAGTCGTCCCGTTGGCGGGAACTGTCCCGGCGAAGTACTCGGTTATGAGCTGACGGGTGCAGGGTGTTGGAAGCGACGAAGCGCAGTGCTGGGAAGATGGTCAGCCCAAGACCTGGACTAGGAGCGGGGCGATCGTACCCCTGGTCCATCTTGGATGATGAGCCGCGTCGAATTGCCCATTTCTTGGTTGATGCGAAGACCCGCTTGGCCGGGGCTTATCCTGTGAGGACTTGAGTCGAGTTCAAGGGCAACAGGGTACTTACGGGTCCATCTGCGAGCAGTCGGAAAACGAAAAATAAAATAGTCAGGCCACGCACCGTGTTGCTCACAATCAGCATAGGGGTCTCTAGCGTCGCGTTCCACGGGCCGGCAAAGCGCTCCGGCCCGCGTCCCGACGTCGGCCAATACTCACATCCGGCATCCTGGTACACCGCGCCGAAGTGGGGACTGACTTCGCGCAGCACACGCATATGCTCTTCCGCGAGCTCGGCCGAGGAGGGGATGTCCGCCGCAGTGGTGGACGGCACATCGGCGCAAATGACAGCAGAGTTGACGAGATCGTGGAATGGCGACTCTGAGGTGGCGTCGGGCGCCACGAGCTGGTTGTAAAGTAGCGTGCCGTTGCCGCTAAAGGCCTCCGCGAATGCCTGCGCCGCGAATTGCCATTGTGGCGGCTGACCGAGAAGGCCGAGGAGTAGGCCTGGGCTTTGTTGTAAGCTGGAGTGTGCAATTTATGGGAATAAGTACCTCGAGCAGCACCGGAAGTCAATAGACCGGGACGGAACGCTTGTGATGATGTGACGGGAAGGGGCTCAAGCGCGAGTTTGTCGAAAAAACTCTCAAAACGGGCCTCCAAAACCTTGTGGTCTTCCCCGAGTTCATAGGAAATAGGACACCGCGTGGGCCCCGCTTCAGCACAAGTCTCTAGGAAAAACCGGTACGTCTTTTCCGTGGACGCCAAAAGCCACAAGGGCCACTTGTACATTGGTTCATCTGTTTGTTTGTGTGAGGAAATCCATTTGCCAGAGATTGGATAAGGACACACTGGACCACCGAACAGGATCCACAATTCCGTCGATGACAACACGGCCGGCTCGTTCAGGCAACATATTGACCAAGTACGTGCCGATGATCGACCCGTAAGAACCCGCATATAGGTTTCTGAACAGCTTTAAGCACCTGAAAAAAAAAGTAAATAGTCATGAACGCACATCTTGGAGCCCTTCCCCTCCAATACATCCGCCATGAACGCGATGTCCCGAACAACAGTTGTTGTGCCAACGTATTTCAGCTCCTCTCCGACATTCCTTGTGCACATCTCCGCCTCCGCCTTCCTGAGAGCAGTAAGCTCACGGATTTGGACCTCCAGAGCTGCCTCCACAGCGGGATCGCTCAAATTCCTGATGGACGGGACGGTGAGGCCGCGCTCGAGCACAGTGTTCGCTTGGAAGAGGCCATGGTCGGAGTTCGGGAAGCACTTGACCTGTGGACTAATATGTAGCTCGACATCAGTCGCGGAGTGGAGGACATGAATTTCAAGTTGCGCACGTTGTGCGATGAATTCCACGGGGGTCAAAACCGACCAGGTCCCACTGCCCGCCAACCAGCGCCGCCGCACGGAGCGTTGGGCTCCACGTCCCCGGCCCGCCCGGTCCACCTAAATAAAAGAGGAATAAAAAAACAGATTTGGGGGGAAACGAACAACTGACCTGGATTCATGAACACCGTTCCCTGCTTAGGCCACGTCGCCCGGATGCGCGAGATGGCGATGGTCGCGGTGCCTGCTGCCAAGTCAAGGTAGTCTTTGGGCACACTAGGAAAAAGGTATGAGTTGCGGGGAAAGTGAGATGGACAAGCAACGCACATAATCGACCCGCATTCTTGGTGGGGCCGGTCGCACGCGAGCCCCCATGTTATCGTGCCCACTTTGTGCGCATTCGACCGGTACGGCCATGCGAAGTATAGAATGGCGAGCAAACAGCCTGCGAAAACCAACGGTCGATTGTGCCCTGGTGAGCGTGGTCGCGGGGAGGATTGCCCGAGCAGCAGCTCCTTGGACATAGCTCGTGGAGGCACAGGGAAATAGTCGAAAGAGGGAAGGGTGCGTTATTACTTATTGGAAAAAGGAAAAGATCGGCATCACGCGCTTCGGAACCGCCGACGCCGCTGCGGTCAGCCTGCGGTGGGCAGAAATGATGATGTCCCAACCGGATTTAGTGTGTGCTGCGCGACGAAGGGAATAGTGACAAGGTATTTTGTGGTTCAAAAAGTGAGAGGAAGGCACGTGACTAGCTACTCAAAACCGACACTTATTCACATTGTACCTCTATCTTAGCTCAGCGAAGTAATCCCATCGTCTTCAAACCAATCTGGTGTATCGTTGTCAGGCCAATCGGAGTACAGCCGGTTAGAAATGATTATTTCAATCTCAGGGAACGCTCGGTGGAGGGAGTCTTCTTCCACGAAGGTATCTCTCCAGAAGTACCCAGCTTCTTCTTCACCAAGGTCAAAGCCGTGGATATGCAGGCGCTTTAGAGTGCAGCGAGACCTCGTGATCAGACCCTGCAATACATCGATCGGGGCGGGCCCAAGTAATGTGGCGAGTATATGAAGGCTGGCGAGTTGTGGGGCCGAAAGTACACCGACAAGTGTTGGCTGGTCGAGAGCCTCGTCGTCGAACTCACTTATGTCCAGCATAAGACTGCGTAATGCAGGAAGGACAATGGGCTCATGGTTGCCGCCAGGTATACCGCCGTCAAGCAAAAGCAAACGACAGTGTTCGAGTGATGTTGCATAGCGCAAAATGGGCATGCAATCCACAACAGCAATATCTGTGATTCTGACCGTGGAGAGCCGCTCCCATGCAAACTTGAAGGTGGCTGGTGCACAGCCAAATCCTTCCAGCGAGACCGCACGAAGAGACGGAGTGGGGCCGATATTTAGTGGAAGCGTCAGGTCGGAGGGCGAATCCTGGGAGCACAGCCAGAGACTCTTCAGATGCGAGAAGCCCATCGCCGGAGAGCGGAACGACCGCCAAGTATACTCCGTGGCCTGCAACGATACATGTTCCCAACGGTCGTGATGGGCCAGAACGACCTCAATAAGCTTTTCCAATGGGTATTTAAGCGCGTTGTTGGTGAATTGGATGGATAGCAGACATGCTCTTGAACGACCGAGCCAAACTTCAACGGTGTGAACCAAACGAGCACTGTAGCGTTCCAGGATTCGATTTGTGTACGAGGCTGGCACTGATAGTCCTCTCCAGAGTTTAGGCGTCTCCAGCGCTACTGAACTCCATCGTCGACAAACGGTCAACAACAGAGAAGGGGAGTCGAGGCCGAACAATGGAGGGCATTGGGGATACGATGGAATGAAATGCTGGAAGATTTCTGCAAGTATTTCGGTTGGCAGTATGGATATGGTCGTCGCCGCCATGAGATGAGGGAAGGAAGGGTGAGTGGTGGCTGTGTGCCGAGTATGTGCTGGGTTTACTTTTTTTTTAACGTTCGATCATGATGATTGGTCAGCCCTCGAGGCGCGTACATAGATAAGTGCATACGAGATTAGATATGGATTATAGTAGATAGGATGAACTAGCAGTCGGTTTTCCCTCCACTCTCCCCAAGCCAGCGCAAATCCTCGTCGGTGACTTTCACGTCGATGCCCCGGCAGCTCCGGCCAGGGACATGCTCCCATATTTCTGCCATGTCCTTCAGTAGGTCCTGCGCTTGACGCCACGTGTAGTCATAGTGTCTGCCCGTCGCGCCCAACGTGTCCAGCAACTCGAGCGGATACACATAAGCCGAGATGGCGCGCAGCCGTGGGAAAATGCAGGACAGGAAGCGGGCCACGGTGCGGGGTTTGCGGACCGGCGAGTCGAACACGTCGATGTGGAATAGTTGTGGGCTCGCGGGGATGGCCAGCGCCTGTGCAAGCAGCTCCTCTATCGGGCAGTCGGAGGCGTTGATCAGGAGGCCAAGAGAGTGCAGGTTCCGGCAGTTGGCTGCGATTGTGAACAAGGACTTGAGTGTCAGGTGGATTGGGATATGCCGGTGGCCGAGGGACGGCACGTGCGGAATAAGCGACAACAACTCGAGGCGGGGCCAGTAGCGGGTCACCTCATTCAAAAGCTTGTCATCGAGATTCGTGAATCCAAGCGGGACCACAAGGCTGAGTTCCGTCAGGTTGACAAATGGAGCCAGAGAGCGAAGACACTCTGTAGACAGCTCGAAATCGTCGCGCGCAGCATGGACTTCGTTGAGTAGCGTGTATAAGTAGGTCAGGTGAGCCTCAGGCGATTGGCTGCCAGTGTGTACATAGTATGATGCCGGATCGAAGTTGTTGATGCAGAGCCGTTGGACTTGGAGAGGATATTCGAGCGCAGCCAACGCGTTGAAGAGCAGTCGGTATTCGTCGGCCTTGCCACAAAAGCACTTGACCTGAATCGTGTCCAAACAATCAGATCGGATCAGCGGCAGGAGGCCGGCAGGGCTGGCCGGGTTGGCAACCTGCAAATGTAAACAGCGCAGGCAGGTGAAAAGGTCCGCATGAGCGCTGCTGGGAATATTTTCCGCCCTGAGCCATGTAATACGTGCGGTCTCAAGTCTGCGCAATCGACCCAGTGCTAGAATGCATTCGTTGTCATCACCGAGCAAGTCAGTCGAGACATAGCGAGCGTCTTGTAGTCGGCTCACATACGTGGACACACCAGTTGAGCTCCAAAGATTGCTCTCGAACTGGCGACTTTCGAGAGAGACGATTTGAAGGCCTGCCCAGAAGTCCCCCGGAATCTGATCAAAAATTGACCAGATATCCGAGGTGTGGTCAACCAGCATGTGGAACTGCACCAGCGATGGGGATAGAAAAAGTCGAAGGTACGGGGCCCATGTTGCGGCTTCATGGGGAGTGGGTGGATACCAAGAAAGCGTGTGCAGGTTGGGCGCAAGTAAGACCTGGCGGTGATGAACGGGAGCCATAATTCTCAGCAGATCGACAGCAGGGAAGTGTTGGAAGAGATCTGGCCCTTGGTTGAGGACGAGGTTGCGGACGTGCGAAAGGTAGAACAAGGGGCGAGTCCAGTGAGCCAAAGGGAGGTTATTTTTGGTCTCGACCTGGAACGTGGTAAATAAGAGAGAATTGAAAGTAATTATTGATAAACACACTAGGCTTTTCCATTCCCGAGGACTACCGGCCTGGAAGACCCCAGGTGGCATGGTGTTGATTGCGCGTTGGAGACCACGGAGGTTATACCACAGCCGGCTCCGTGCAACGATGGGCACCCCATGTGTTTTGCTGAGAGTCGAGATACGGGCCAGGAGGACCTCAAGTTGCTCGAGGTCAATGTCGGCCTCAAGGTGTTCGAAGATGCAGTGGATGAGTTCAGGGATTTCACAGAGGGCGTCGACCGCCAGGGTCACGGCTGGGATGATGTTGGAAGACATAATAAGGAGAATATTGAGATTAGCGGGAAACAGAGGAGATGACAAGGAGTGTTGAGGTCGAGAGAGAGATGTAATTGAAGAAAGAGCTGGAAAGGTGCGAATCTTATAATGAGGACGCGTCCGGATCAGTTCAAAGCACGAAGAGTAAAAGGCGCTTTGCTGGGGCCGCTAGTCAATACATACCGCTTGGTTTGATGTGCATTGTTTCCGCAGAGTTCGATAGCCATCCATCTGCAGAACAGCTGGGTGGACTCCTTCACTCAAGTCCCCGGTATTGCAATGCGTATGTCGCGTTCGAAGGATTGCATCTCTGTACACGTTGATGTCGCCGTAGCGTACTTATTCCATGAGACCTGCTAGCAAGTATGTCATTTTGTGAGCTGTAATCGCTTGAAAGCTGGGTTGCAACGACTCGAGAAAGAACAACACGATGACTCAGCAGTCGAAGTCGAGATGCCATCATATTTTTTTTTGATGAGGGCCCAATCTTCATATGCACAGATACTGAGATAGAGTACACTAATAAAATCATTGTTGGCCGTGAATTATCTGCCTAAGAAAAGCCCGCCGCCAGCCACTCCACCGTGAGGGGCGTCAAGCTCCCGACCTTCTCCTCGCCCAGCATGAAATCCAAAAACATATCCTCATGGAGGCCATTTGGCTGTACAACGAGCTCTGTCTGGCTGTGGTGCTTCTTGAACACCTCGTGAAACGCAACGATGTCATCTTTAAGAAGCTCTGCCCCGCCAGCGGTGACGAGCACTCGCTGGAAAACACCTTCGGCCCCGGCAAACCAATCCGCCGGAGCCGTGATGGCCTCGGCGAACACACGATGTTCGGTAGGAAAGCCCTCGAGAATTTGTGCACCCCAAGAGGAGAGCGTGGGGAAGGTGAGGAAGTCGAGGCCGTCGTTGAATTTGTGGGAGGGGCTGGAGGCGGAGAGACTAGTCCAGGGAGAGATGAGATAAACGCCGCGAATCGGGGACGAGAGGGAGATACGGGGGACAGAGGGCAGTGGGTGGAGGATATGGGAGATGAGTTGGATGGCAAGATTTCCTCCTGCAGAGTCACCGGCGATTTGGAGGTTGGATGGTTTAACGCCAGCATCGAGGAGAAAGTTTACTGCGAGCGAAGCTTGTTTGAGTGGGGTCGGGAAGGCTGCGTATGGGGCGAGTGCTATAGACATGTGTAAGAGAGATGAGTTGAGGGTTGCAACAGGTCCACACTCACTGTATTCCAGATAAGCAAAACCGACTTCAACGCCTTTCTTTTCGAGCTCAACCTGAACATATCGCCAGAAACGCAAAGAAAAGTCGGCTGCCGGTAATAAGAATGCCCCACCTGCACCAATATTCAATCTTGGTAGTAGATGATGAGCGAAAGAAGACGCACCGTGAAGGAAGAGCATAACGCGTTCAGTCCTTTTCGGACCAATCCAGTAAAGCTTTGCGTCATCACCCAGCTCATCCACAGTGCTTGGCAGTTTATACGACTTGGTGAATGTGGCGTAAATTTGCTGGTCAGTGCCAAAGAGCATTTGGAGCTGAGGCGTGCTGAGACTGGTGAGGTTTCGCAGGACAGTGTCGCCGATAATGCGCTTCAGCGTTCTGTCCTTGTTGTACGAGGCATGGGAGGTTGTCAATACACTCCATAGGACTTTGACGGCTGAAGATATGATAACCAGTCAATCAACTGAAGTAGAGGTGGGAAGCCAATGACGCACGCATAGAGAGTAGGCTGCCGACGAGCCCCAGTCTTTGAGTGAGACTGAGCTTGCCGTATTGCGATTTGTCCTGAAGGGCCATGGGAAAGGGAAAGGCTTGGATGTGTCCGTTGCTTGGTGTGACTTTATATCGCTCCTCGGCCAATGGGAAGAAGAAGCAGATTTCACGGGGTCTATCCCGCCACTTTATGTAAGGGTGGGTATAACGGAGCGACTCTGACGAGTGGCGCATTTGTTGCGTGCTGGGAAGCAAGGCGGCTCAGCAGAACGTCCCAACCCATACTCTGAGCCTCCTCATTTTGGATCCACGATCCGTTCTTCCGTAGCGTGCCACTTCCGGCGACGAAGTTGCTCATGCCCGAGGGAAGAGAGTATGTGGTGGTGGTGGTGCAGTGGAGGCAGAAATTTCACAGCTGCAATACTTTTATTTGAGTAGGTTCAATGCCTAAACGAGAAAGGTTATCGGGTTTACTTCGACTGAAAAATACACACATGCAATCCGACAAGGGGAATGCTTCGGTCGAACAGGTTGGCAGCAAGTTGGCAGCTCAATGGCCGCACCCGTTGGTGTCAAATATGACGCATTTCTGTAGACGGGGAGTAAGAGTGACCACCAGCACCAGCAGGAAGCCCAATAAGAGCTTACATATTCCACCAAGACTGGAAGGAAAGAAACGTTCTTGACGGCACGTGCTAATTGCAAAATATCTGATAATTTTAATTCGATAAACAGCTCTATGCGTGTACATGCGAGTTATGCGTATGTAGGTGGGTGGGACAACAACATGGGTCAGAACACGTAATGCAGCGCCAGCATTGCATGACGCGTCTAGCGGGGGTTATGAGGCTCGCCACTATAACACCGGTCTGACGATCCGAAAACACTGAGACGAAGATACGGAACAGGAAGGCTGCTAGCAGCACCCCTACAGGTGAAAAGGAGGCGCTAGTTCCATTTGTTGAACTGCCACTTTACGCTCGTGCGACCAAGAGCCGGGTCGGCAAGAGCAGCAAAAGCGGCAGGAGTGAGGTCGATATCACCAACTTTGCAGCCAACGCAACGGTCAACGATCTTGACCTGAATACTCTTGCTGCCGTGGGTGACGGTTGCGGTCATGGGAATATGGCATTGAACATCGGCGCTGCCTACGCAGTTGATCAAGCCATCGCCACCAATGAGTGCATGTCCAGCGATGGAGGACTTGATGGCGGTGACCATGAGACCAGCATTGTTGAGTGCTTGTCTGCCGGGCACGAAGGGACCACAAATCGGGTTACGGTTTTGAGCACCAGACGCGCCACTAGTAAGAAGAGTTAAGTACTTGGATGCGCTAAATATAGCGAACTCACGGCCAGGTATCGAACATGTCTTGGGAAACAGCTGCGGTGAAAGAGTTGTCGTCGTACACATCTCCACATGCGCCGAGGCCTTGACCACTGAAACAGAGATGAGATCATGTTCGCAAGAGAAATGACGGCAAAAGGCGATGGAACGGGAAAAGATGACCGTCGACCGAAGTCGGAAGCGAAGCAAAAATAGAGCGAGGGGAAAAACTGACTAGTAGGTCATGTCGCCCTCATGCACTTGAGTAAACATGTCGTATCCTGAGTAGTCGATGGCCTTGGAAAGCTCCTCGAGGTACGGATCGTGCGCGCTGGCGACAGTAGAAGTTGGGACCCGACCGGCTTGTGTGGCTGTTGGCCAGTCGGATGGTTTCTTGGGGACGAAATTGCCGGCGGCAACTGCTTGGTTGCTGCCCTGGTTGTTGCTCTTGTTTGTCTGCGTAGCCTTCTTCGAAGTCGTAGTTGGAGCTTGAGCAACATTGGCAATGGTAGAGTGAGCCGTCTTTGTGGAGGAGGCGATGAGCGAATCGCTGGAGCCCTTCTTTCTGCATGACGACCTCCGGTTTATGGCGCGTTTGGATTCGACCAGAGGCTGCTCGCCACGGGGGTTGAGTGGGCGACGTCGCGCATGAGCCAAGTGGGCGCCACGGCCATGCTGGGACGAAGCCTCTGTTAGAACAGCAATGGCGAGGAGGAGAGCAGAAATGGGAAGTTGGAAGAGCATCGCGTATTACGGGAAAGAGTGAGGGGGAGCCGCAGCGAGTGAACGCAAGCAATGAAGGTGAGGCCGCGACGCCTTTAAAGGCTTGCAAATGAAGGACAGAAGCAAGAAAGCCTGGCCAATCTCCGAATCAGGGCCGATTGATCAGTAGATGTCACGCGTGACGTGCCTTGTGTGTTCCCCCTCACCGCAATGCTGCGGTCATTTTGCACGTTTTCCAGGTGTGTTGGAGACGCCGCTGTGCAACCGTTGCTGGGTAGACTGTAAACACGAGTTGTTAAATTATAGTTTCCGAAAAGCCATGCCGATAACATAGGTCTTCGTGGTGTCGTGTCGTGCGAGGCTAGTCGCTGCTGACGCGCCGAGACGGCTACCTCCTATTACGTGCTTCTTGTTCGAGAAAAACCGGAGCTTGTGCGTCAAGCCAGCTAACTAGACTCAGAGACGCCTATTCTAGAGTTGATTCATCCGATGGCGAATGCTTGAAAAAACTGCAAGTCTAGATGATGCACAGATTCCAGAAGACCCACCGCCAAGCCCATCCATATATTTAGCTGTGGGCTTAGGGAAGCTTGGATGAAGCTGGAGTCACCAGGAGTGCAGCAACATTGCTTAGTCCAAATCTTGCAACTAGACCATTATTATTTGCGCCAAAACATAGGAAAACTCTCAGTGGCTTGCTCGGATGCTGAAGCTTCGTAGAGCATTGTCTCCGATATGAAGTTGGGGAAGGGATCATTTGCATACAAGCTCAAGCCTGGTTACCAGCAAGGGAACGAAGATCCATTAAAGCTACAACTGGGTATAATAAGTCACTGGCAATGCTCATTGGGCCTTAAGCTGAATGATCAGCTTGCCTCGAAGGGTTCCGTCTGCCGCGAGGAACGGGTTGTGTCTGGACCGCAGGTCAGTGCCGGCTTGAGAGGAAGCGGGGAAGACGCGCACGGGTAAAGGAAAGTATCAGGTAATACCGAATTCAGCTCATTCCCCACATAAAGTTTGCCAGACATCTCCAGCGTCAACGGCTTCTCCTCGTCGGACGGCTCTTCTGCCTCCTCCGCTGGCTGCGGGTCGATGGTAATGGTAGCGGCATCGATGTTCGCCTGAGGACTTTTGTCCCAGAGCTTTAATCGGGCCGCCCATTGGCCAGCGTTGATACCCCATGCTCCACTTTCGTAGTGAATGAAGGCAAACTCCCATATCCTCGCTTTGCGAATAATCAGTAAGAGAATGTTGGATCGAAAGAAAGGGCATACAATGCGATATGAATTCTAGCTTCACTTCATGTGTAACTCTCATCCGTTTTTGAAAATCGGCGAACGCGAAAGTGGCGGTAAGCGGAGCATTGTGTTTCGTTGATGGCTGAATGGCGATCGTGTCGGGAGGTATTTGCGTGCCAAGTAACAGCTGGTCTTTATGCGGGAGTGCGGGGAAATCTGGGGAACCCCGTAGGCATTGGAAGAGCCAATTGTCGCAGGTATGAAGACAAGCGAGTTGGATATCAGCCACTGTTTGGGGCTTGAGAGGAGCAGAGTAAGCCAGCAACGAGCGAACGAGTGGCGGAAGGTCTGCTTCTGACATGGGACGACCAGCTTCAGAGGAGTCTGCTGGTCGTTTCACAATGGCCCAATACAAAGGTGTATGACCTTCAATATAGGCTTGCTGTAGCAAGTTGGGCATGTTGATTCCATTGCTGGAACAAGCCTCGCTACAAGAGTCGAGGATTCCAGCACACGACAAATTGCCGTCGATTGTTTGGTTGCGCACGAGATCGTGAATGAGCTTCGTGACGGTCTTGCGGACTTCTTGTGCCGCTCGTTGTTTGGCAGACCCCAGTCCCAGATCGGACATGAAACCGCCCACATCGTCGCCCAGTTGGGCCCATGTGTTCTTCTGGACAACACGGGACTTGATTGCGGATGAGGAAGGTGACGATGGTGACAAAGGAGGGGGAGGAGGAGCCACTGAGCTTCCAGATGCCTTTTCTGCAGGCGGTGGACGGCTGGAAGATGGTTCGTAAGCTGGAGGTGCTTCGACAGGAACAGAGGGGGTCTCGTCCGATTTGCCAGAGGGTACAATCATGTTATGGTTCACGGCGTACACCGCTCGACGCGTATAAAATAGCGACTGGCTGCGCAAAGCAACTTCACAGATCGCTGCGGCGTCGGGGCGCTTGATGCTGCGTGCACAGCATAATGATGATTACGCGTGACAGATGTGACGCTCGGGCTTTTATGTTCAACTCAGCCTCTCAACAACACCTAAATCTACGACGAGCCAAGCAATGGATTCCTGACTACGACAATTGTACACTGGGGCTCACCGTGACTATACCTGGCTTTTTTATGTTGCGAAGGGGAATTTGTGGTCGATGGGCGCTTGATGAATGATCGTTTTCTGGCTTCTTGCAGTTCAAAACGGTCGTATAAGCAAGACATGCTCACACGGCTATCGTGAGCAGCACTCGGCCCTCTTTTCATGTCAAGACGACTTGGTCTCCTCGTCGCAGTCACTCTTTTCCAATGCTATTGTTTAGGTGTGTCTGTTGTTGAGGGCAGAACGGTCGAACTTGACCTATTCGATAGGTTTGTCTCCTTATCAACGAGAACTACATCATCGAAGGAGTCTTGGAGTACGGGACGATAGTCAGTTGTCGTCTGCATCGTGGATATGGACGTCGCAACGCACAATAGGCAATGTCGCTTTTACTAGAGCATTCAGCCCTTCTTCTGGCAAGACTGCCGCCGCTGCGACATTCTACATAACGGCGGTGAATCAATTCACACTCTGGGTCAATGGTCAACCTATCGGCCAGTCGGGAAGTGGGGCAGACGATTGGAAGGCAGTCCATTACTTTGGAGCGGAACTAAATACGACCAGCAACACTTTCTCCGTCCTCGCATTTAATCAGAATAATGCTAACAGTCCCACACCTGGTCTTATTGCTGCCATTCATATTCAATATGCCGACAACTCTAACGACCTCCTCGTTTCGGACTCTCAGTGGCTGGTTTCTCCTACCATTCCGCCAAATTTTCCATCCTCTTCTTCCGGCTCGTTTTCCCCTGCGACAGTCGTCGAATCCGGCGGACTAAGTGGCAGTCTTTCAATTCCTCCCCCTCCTACATCACCGCCATATGCACCAATCAAAATATGGTCAACGGCCCATGCAGACTCTGATGCTCCTGTCGGAACTGTAGGGTTTCGCAAGACTTTCTCTGCTGCGCCAGATGCAAGCAGCGCAACTATTTACATCGTCTGCGACAACAGCTTCAGACTGTATCTCAATGGGGTTTACATTGGTGCTCCCCCAAACGTGCCCAGCATTCCAAACTACCATCGCGTCCAGAAATTCTCGTCTCTTGGTATACATTCTGGTGCCGCAAACATCGTCACGTTGTTTGGATCCAACATACCCAACCCAGGCTCTACTGATGCAGGGCCTGCTGCTCTTGCTGCTGTCATCGTTATCAACAACGCAGATGGATCCGACACAGTCATTAGTACCGATACGACCTGGCTTTGTGGCGCTTTCTCTAGTGATTCATCTTTTCTCGCTCTTCCAGACTCCGCGTTAGCTGGTGCATTTGGGTTTGGAACATTGGACTTTACTCCGGTTTTTGGAGGCGCTGTTACTGGGGTCTCCGATGTGCTTGCCGCAAACAAGGTGCCTGTAGGACCGTTCGAAGCTGGAATTGTATCTGGGACTTCTTCACAGGCGAATGGAAATGTGCAAGGCAGCCAATCAGGTGCTTCAGCTCCTCTGACTGTCAATGGGACCGTTTTCAGGTCGACTGTGACCGTTGTGGACAGCATATCCCGATTCATCTCGGTAACGGGCCCGTCCAGCTCGCAATCTACAAACCAAGGTGGAGGTACAGCTGGGGGCAGCAATAACGTCAAGAGCCACAAAAGCTCAACTGGCTTGATCATCGGCGTTGTTGTCGGTGTGCTGGTTTTAATCGGCCTTGCTCTTGGGACTCTTTTGGCCCGAAGACTGCGCCGCACTCGCTCGGTTACTCAAAGCGCTGCTCATTCCTCCAACATGACTTATGTCGAGCCAAACATCCCCGCTATTGAGCCGTATCGACACACGTCGGACTGGGAAGCTCGAAGTCAACTAGTCGCAGGCCAGCTTACTAGTACTCGGGAAAGTGGTTCAATGACATCTTCGACTGCTCTCCCGTCCAAGCTGGAGCGCGAGCGTCTCAACAATGCTGACCCCACCACTGATCCCAATTCGACAACTCCCGTTGTTCGCGCCTCATTTGTATCTCTCGACGCTTATAGTGTCATTACCTCTGCTCCACCTCCTAGCTACTCCGAACGGTCATAATTGCGGCGATTCTTGTAACTTGGCAGCCTAAGCAAGCTGCGATAAACCCGTGTTGTATTGTAGATCGTGAATTCCTCATTTTTGGACCACAGCATTGGCTTCAGATTTTGCCCTAGCTTATTTGTTACTCATTTCCTACCAATCCTGGTGTCTAGCTCAAGCACAGGTGTGCAGGTGGGCCTGTAAGGCGGGGTACTTCCTGATTAGGCAGTTGAGCGCCATCAGTCACGACAGTATAAATGCGGCACGTTTGTGACGATGCTCTTCATCCACGAACCAGCACGACGAACCCATCTACAATCCTTTTACCACACGTTCCTTTTCTGAAACCAACGAAATGCCTGCCTTCTCTCGCACCCTCGCTGTTTTCGCTCTCGCTGCCGTCTTTGCTGTTGCGACACCTGTTCCTCGCGACGTACGGAAGAATTGCTCGTTTCTTGTTTTCAGAACTGACTCGCCAAACAGAATCTTGTCAACTGCGCAATCTCGACTACGAACGGCGTCGTTCAAGTGACGGAGAAGAATGTCGCAAGCTTCCAATCGAATGCGCAGTTTATGAGTCTCAATCCGACCTTCAACGCTGTCTGGGCCGACTGCTGCAAGAAACAAGGCTTTATGGGCGAAACTATTCAGCAGGAGGGTACTGGATTCCGTGAAAGGTGCGTGTATCTTCTTTTCCCCTTCTCGCTGTTTTTTTTTTACTGACTTGTGTGTCTTGCAGCACCCCGAACCAACAAGCTGCCGCCAAAGTGCAACCCGAATCGCAACTCTCTCAGCCTTTGAAGGAGGTGCAAGCAACTGACAAGTGCGTCTATCTCCCTTTTTTTGTTATTCGACCCCAAACCAACTCTCCTTTGCAGCACCGCCATCAAGCAGATTGTCGCCGACACCAACCCAGCCACCACCAACAAGAAGAACTCTGAGACTCTTGCTGTCAACTTGGGAGACAACGCCGTCAAGAAGATCGAAGATCCAAAGTCTTTGCCAGTCGCATCGACAGAGCAGAAGATTACCACTCTGTGCGTGTTTTTATTCACTTGGTTCATTCGATTTCCTGATGTTTATTTCAGTGCGGAGAAGCCTGTCTCGAACGACCCTTCTAACCAGCGCACCCAAGGATCTAGGTTTGTCTCTCTCTGTTTTCTTCCTTTTATAGTCCCAACCGACCAACTTTGTCAGCTCCAATCCCCCGACGAGTATCGAAGAGACCATTTCTCCCAACAACCAGCAAACCACGGCCAAGACGCAGAAGACGACTGTCAACGAATCGGCTCAACCTCCCGTTGTCAACCTGCCTCTCAACCTCGGCACTGATCTCAACAAGGCCGTTTCCGAGGTCAAACCTGTTGAACAACAACTCGAGAAGGCGATTACTCATGCTGAGAGTTGCGACTGCAAGAAGCCGTAGAGTAACAAATGTACGATAAAACTTTATTTAATGGATCGTTGTTCTGGATTCTATTTTGCCGCAGTCAACATCGATCGTGAACCCCTTGGCCTATTTCCACAGTCGATAACTTTCTCTCTTCCTCTGATGATACACTGGTTCGGGCGAAGGCTAGCCAGCGACCCAACAAATGTGTTTCCGGTGGAGCTTTTCGAACTCATCCTCTACGAGTCGAGCGACCCTTGTCTTCTCGTTGCAGCGAGAGTTTGCACCGCTCTCAACGAGCTTGCCCTCCGCATATACTTTCAACGAAACAAAATTCAAGCCTCCGATGGATGTCTAACCATCCAGTCGCATCTTATATGCTCCCTCTTCCTAGTCACTCAACAACCGGTGGGCATCACCAACCTCACAGTCAACTTCTCGGCGTATAGTGGGGGACGGGACATGATGATGCTCCGCGAAATAGCGCGCAAGTGGCCAGACCTGAACCAAATTCACTTCAAATGGTCACAAAGCTTCAGCATATCTGATTATCCCTACACATATTATTATCAAAAGGTTTCTGCTCGGGCCTATTGGACTGCTTTGTGGGATACGTTTGCGTTGATTTCGAGGAGATCTGGTGATCGGGTTTTCCTCGTCGTAAACGGCTTGCTGCATCAATGCAAAACGAGTGCCCTGGCTCGAGCGAGGTTGAGTCGTGGTGCCCAAGTCCCTCTTGATCCAGTACAAATCCCAGTACACCGATCGGGACGCTCAAGACGTGCTTCAAGTTGCGGCGCCCTGCTTTGTTTGGGTGACTCTCTAACGCTTGAGCGAGAGCAATTTCTCACCATCCGTTCCGCCTGTGGTCAAGTCCGGATTGAAGAGATGGAAAGCGTGCACGCCCTTCCATTCACGATGGCCTCCACTCACAAGGCGACGCTGGTCCAACTCGACATGTCGTCGTTGACTCTGGAGCCGAGTTCAAACATTCCTGCGGCGGACATATCTGCGATTCTGCGTCAACTCCGTCTTCCCTCGCTGAACAGCTTGGAAATCGGCTTGCCAGATATCGAACATGAGGCGTTGAGGGAATTCATCAGTGCTCACGAGCATTTACATTCGTTCAAACTAACCTGCTTGTGGCCCCAACCAAACCCAAATTATGTCCATCCTGTTGCAGGCCGAGCCAGGAAGACGTGTCGCATCATCTGCCATGAGCATATCGAAGGCATTCCCAGCTTCCTGGAAACATTCTGCTTCAATCCGCGATTGCTGATGGTTGAAACGACGTTCAAACGAAGCACTTTTGGAGAACGAGTTGCCTGCGCTAGTTTATTTTCCCGTCTTGGACAGCGCAACTGGCGCTGCCAATTGGAGCTCTTTCTCCCTGACGGGTTCGCTGACACCCCGCCCGCCGAGGCAGACGAAATCGCCGCCCTTCGCGGCCTAACACGCACAGTATATGTCTGCGTGGCGTGGGATGCGCTGGCCGACGCTTATGCGCTGCTTCCATTTCTAGCCCATTTACCGGTGCTGATGCAGGTGGAATGGGTGTCAGTGCAAAAGGTTGCAGGCCGACCAGAGGACTTGACGGTATTCAAGTGGGCAGTAAGGAAAGCGCTGCCAGGTGTTCGGGTTGTTCTCACAACCTCGTAGATTGGCTATAAAGATTCATTCGTCTGCTCGAATAATTACAAACGCTTTCATATCCGATGCAGCTGCATTCCGTCGAACGAAGGCCTGTCCAAGTTGTGAGATGATCCCATCTATGATGCCAATCATCTTTTCCTGCTTCTTCTGGACTCCACTTGTGCGCCGCTTCCATCGCGCTTGTTACTCAACCAATTGAACCATTTTCGCTGGCACAATGGTACCCTCGTATCAGCGATGCTCTTAACCATTCCCCTCGCGCAACCCACTGACCATCAGGCTGACCTTGCAGCAGAACAAACTGCAAGGCGATAGATTCACGGTTGAGCAAGCGGAGCTTTTCGTTCAAGTCATTCGTAGCGATTCGCGTCTGCTTCGCGACCCTTTCTCGGCATCCTATTTGCGTTTATAACGGCAGTCAACTCCACTTTTCCTCAAGTACTTACTGCCATCCAACTGCCACCTAAACTCTTTTCTCTCTGCCCCTCCCCCGCGCTCGTCTAGCGCAGCCAATCCTTCCCCACCATTCGTTACACTCATGATGCTTCCCGACCTTGCTCTGCATTTGCTCGCTCTCGCGGCGCTCGCCATACCAAGTGTTGATGCATTCCACCTCCCCACCGACTCAGCAGCCCACCGACGGCATTCTGTCGAGTTCACGAGGCATTCGAAAGTTCCATTGCGGAAAAGAGCAGCCCTCTCCGATGCTGATGGTGTCTTCGACCTGGACCGTGCGCGCGCGTTGAATGTCGCGACTATCAACAAACATCGTGGCAACCTCCTCAACCTGGCCAAACACTTCGGAATCAAGGCTTTACCCAAAGTACGCACATCTCTCCGCCGCATTAATCTGTATTCATTGTGTATCAGGGAGCCTTTATCAAGCCCTTCGCGGTGTTGCCTCACGATGTGAAGGAGCGTCTGGCGGGTCGTCCTAAGAAGTCTCGAGGCAGGCGTCATTCTGAAGCTCTGACGGACGAGGAGAACGACCTAGAATGGGCCGGGACAATTTCCATTGGAACACCCGCGCAAAAATTCTACATTGACTTCGACAGTATGTGGTGTCTATGTTCAAGTTGACGAATTGACGCGTCTTCCAGCTGGCTCCTCCGACCTCTGGGTTCCTTCCGTTCATTGCAATAGTACCACTTGCCAGAACAAAGCCAAGTATGGCGATTCGGTGTCATCCACCTCACACAAGAAGTCAGGAAACTTTTCCATCTTTTATGGAGACGGATCGGCAGTCAGCGGCAAAATATTTACTGTGGGTCTAGCCATTAGGTAGTGTTGTCCTGCTGATTTTGTTAAAGGACACTGTGTCCGTTGCTGGCATCAAGGCACACCACCAATACTTCAGCGCTGTCGACAATCTGTCCTCTGCATTCGAAAGCGATCCTATTGATGGCATATTGGGTGTGTATCTTCTTCTACCACATTAACTTTTGGCTAACAGGAAGAAAGGTCTTGGCTTCAAATCCATCTCCAACCTTAACCAGAACCCATTTTTTAATACCGCGAACGCCAACCACACCCTTCCCGCCAACCAATTCTCTTTCTATCTCGCCTCGCAAGAATCAGAGCTGTATCTCGGAGGTGCTAACCCTGCGCGATACAAAGGTGACATCGAGTTCCACGATGTGGATGCCATGTCTGGATTCTGGCAAGTTCGTAGCGGTAGCATCAAGGTTGGAGGCAAGACTGCCGTCACGGGTTTCGATACAATTATCGATTCGGGCACCACCATCATGTACGGTCCGCCAGATGCAGTGAAGCAAGTCTATGCCAACGTTTCAGGCTCGCAATTATACGACACCATCAACGGTAATACTATCTCATCACATTCAGTTCGGCCTTTCTCATACCATGAAACAGGCTTTTATTCATTCCCATGCGATTCCATGCCCAAGCTGTCGTTCAACTGGGGCGGGTCGGACTGGCCCATTTCGGCGGCCAATTTTAATCTCGGGAAGACATCGCAGAACAAGACGCGCTGCATTGGCGCACTTGCAGCAGAAGATCTCGGGCTCGGCGATGATGTGTGGTTGCTGGGTGACAGTTTTATGAAGAACCAGTATACGGTCTTTGACTTTGATAAGGAGGCTGTTGGTTTTGCTACACTACCTTGATACCTATTGGAGATGAAAGTACAGAGACGCTACTAATGACGATTTGCCACCTCGTATATTTTTGGATGGGCCGCTCGCTCGGCCATCATTCATCAAACTTTCACTCGTAAACATGATCTTCCACTGCTCTTTTGACTCTATCTTCCGTCTCGACTGCAGGCCTGTGGTAGTAGGCACGAAACCCGTCCGCTATGAAGCTTTGCGAGGGTGCAAATGCTTTTGACCTCAGTGACGCGTGCGTACGCGGTTCTTGGGCGGCAATAACGCCAAGCTTGGTGCTCGTTGCCATTTTTGCATCGCGCTTCCACTATCCCTTCCCAAAACTCATTCGGCGACCGTTAAACGTGCTCAAAAGCCAGTTCACCCAATACCTGCCTCTCCACGACGCGGAGGGCCTCACATTGGCGGATGACAAACACATATCGGAGCCGGAGACGGTCGATGTGGTTGAAACTATTCCTTTGTGGAGAACATTCGTATTCTCCCTCGTTGGCTTGTGCCAGTCGCTTGCGTGGATTTCGGGCGGCTCATTCATGCTCATCACGGGCCAGCCGCTGTGGGAAGCCATTCAGCGCTATCTGGTCGCCATAACATGGCTCTACACAGTCGTGCGACCCATCTCCCACCCCACGGCAACCCCGCCATTTGACCTCTTCTCACTCTACTGTGTCCACCTCGTCAGTGGTATCCTCCAACTTGGCGGGTTCTTGTTCCAGCATACCGCGTATGGTGTCCCCTTGCCGGGGACATTCACATTATTCGGCCTATCGCTAAACCTTGCTGCGCTTGTCGGACTGCTTGCGGTTATCTTCAGCATGCCCCTCGCGTTGCCCTCGCATCTAGTCAAGAAAAGCGACATCGGCGCCTCCGTTTCGCCAGAGGACTACACGTCTTTGTGGGGCTGGGTTACGTTTACGTGGGTCTATCCCCTTGTCCAACGCGTCAGTCTTATCTCTCCTTGTTTCTAACGAAATCTCATTCCTCTTTAGGGCCGAAATACCACACTCAACGAAGACGACGTCTGGGGTTTGTCCCCCAGCATCAGCAGTCGCCCTATATTCATCAAGTTTAGCGCTCTTCGGTGAGTTTCGATGAGTTCTACGGCTTTGTCAGCTGACTGAATGATAATGCAGCCAGAGCACCCTTTTTAAACGGATATGGGCAGCAAACTCTTTGGATATCATGTAGGTATACCGTGCGAGTATACGATTCAAAAATAACCCCCGTTTTCTAGAATGGACTTCCTGTTAACGCTCCTCAGCGTTGTGTTCACCTATGCAGGCCCTTTCTTCCTCAAGCGCATTCTTGATGCCGTTGACACGGAAAACGAAACCGAGAAAGACAAAGGCAAAGCGTATATATACGCAATGCTTATGTTCGTCTGTTCCGTCGCCAAGGCACAATGCGACGTTCAGCATCTGTGGATCGGTCGGAGGGCAGCGACACGCATTCGATCTGAGCTGATGGCCTCCATCTACGACAAGGCTCTCAAGCGACTCGACTTCAGCGGTATCGTGGATAAGGAAAAGGCACAAGCCGCTGCTGAGAAGAAAGCTGCTGCTGCCGCGGAAAGCTCTCCGTCCACACTCACCAAAGCGGAACAAAAGGCGAAGGCAAAAGCCGACAAGAAAAAGGCAGACAAAGCTGATGACCCAAAGAGCGGTGCCGACACAGGCAAAATTGTCAACTTGATGGCGGGCGACGCTAACCGTATCGGAATGCAGGTAAGGATTCTACTGAAGACTCCATCCGTTCAAGTAATTGACATTTTCGTTAGGTATCCGGCTTTTACTTTTTATACGGAGCCCCAATGGAAATCATCATCGGCTCCGTTTTCCTCTATCAACTGCTTGGCCTATCGGCATTCGCAGGCTTCGTTGTCCTGCTCCTAGGATGGCCGCTGAACAGCTATCTCACAAAACGCAGCATCCGCATTCAAAAAGGAGTACTGAAAGCTCGTGATGAGCGAATGGGCGTCCTCACGGAGCTGATTGGGGCAATCAAATTCATCAAGTTCTTTGCCTGGGAGGAGCGTTGGATCGATAGAGCTTTGGCTGCGCGGAGCAATGAAATCAAATGGATGGTTAAGGCGAGAATCAACGGCGTTGGTTTCTACCTGTATGTCTTCTTCTCTCTGCAACTCAGCTAAACTTAATGACTCAAATCCTCTAGCCTTTGGATTGCTGCACCGATTTTCATCTCCGTCATTTCGTTCTGCACGTATGTAATGTTGGGCAACCAGCTTACGATCGGCAAGGCCTTCACTGCAATCGCCTTGTTTGGAATGATTCGGCAACCTTTGAACGGTACGTTGCCATTCGAATATAGTTCTATTTCTTCTGACAACAGTGTTAGTGATTCCTACATTCATCGTTCAAATACTTCAAACACGGGTTTCGCTCAATCGTATCGCTGTCTACCTTGAGGAACCAGAAGTTTCCGAACAGGTTTCAACTCTCAAAAGTGGACGCTCAAATCCGCACTTGCTGTCTGGTGAATACGATGATGGCCGTCTCGGTCTCGAAAACGCCTCTTTCAAGTGGAACGAAGTCGAAGAAGTCGAGGATAAGGACAACAAGAAGCCTGCATCGGATGCGGACTCGATAGTCACTGCGGAGAGCGACAACGGAACGGCGATTGTCGCGAATGACCACAAATTTGAACTGAAGGATATATCTGTGATTTTCCCCGAAGGAGAATTGACCCTCGTCACTGGACCTACCGCGAGGTTTGTGTGTCTTGTTTCTTCATCATGCACTAATTATTTGTCAGTGGCAAAACTGCTTTGCTGGTTTGTATTCCGAGTACCACTCTTGTTTCTCGACTGACTCGTCTCCAAGATGGCTGTTCTCGGAGAAATGACATCGCTGCCTGGGGGCCGAATCCTCATGTCCAAAAACGCGAGCAAAATTGACGAGTGGGGAAACATGCATACCATCTCATATGCTGCTCAATCGCCTTGGCTTCGTCACCAGTCTATCAAGGACAACATTCTCTTCGGGTTCCCCTACGATGAAGACCGGTACAATGCAGTTATAGACTGCTGCGCGTTAAGACCCGACCTCGACATGCTAGAAGATGGTGATGCGACTGAGATCGGGGAGAAGGGAGTGAGCTTGTCCGGAGGACAGAAAGCGAGGTTTGCTTCTTACCTATTGCTGATACAAGTCTATTCTAATCTACTCGCAGAGTGGCCCTTGCTCGAGCGGTCTATGCGAAGACCAAGTATGTTCTTTTGGATGATCCATTAAGCGCCGTCGTATGTCCACTTCAATCTTGTCAACATCTTGGCTGAGCATTCCTTAGGACAGCCACACTTCTCGCGTTCTGTACGATAAGTGTCTCCGTGGGCCTCTACTAGCAAACCGTACTGTGGTCCTCGTTACCCATCACGTGGAACTTGTACTTCCCGGCGCCCATTACCTGGTCCGCATGCTTGATGGCCGTATTGATACTCAAGGCACCGTTAAAGACCTCCGGGCCGAAGGCGTTTTGGACGACATCACGCACGATGCAGCAGTGGAAGTCAAAAAGGAGGAGGCGGCAGTTGCTGCCGAGGAAGCTGCGGGCGAAGCCGAAGCTGCTGCCGATGCTGTTGTCGGCGATAATGATGGTGGTGCCAAAGACGGCGAGGTCAAAAAACCACGCAAGCTCGTGAAAGATGAACATCGCGAGGTTGGTGGGGTTAAATGGCGGATCTACAAGCGGTACTTGCAAGCATCGTCCTACTGGACGTGGGCTTTCCTCTCGGTCATGGTGTTACTTTCGCAGCTATTGGGCGTGGGAGAAAAGGTGAGATTTGCGTACTTGTGGTCTTCATCGCTCACTGACATCAACTGTAGCTTTGGATCAAAGTAAACACCGACTTGAGGTCACTTTTGTTTTTTGCTTATGGTTTCCACAGACGTGGGGCGAAGCATATAAGGAACATCAAAATGTGTCGACTATATACGGCGCCTACCGATCATTTGGCCATGCTGAATATGAGATCCCAATGGATGTGTCACATTTCTCCAGCTTCAGCTATGAGCCGCATCCGTCAACAACTGGCTTTTTCAATGGACAATGGCCGAGTGCGGCAGAACACCCATTGTTTTATGTTGGAATCTACGCTGCCATTGGCTTTACGAGTGCGCTAGTTACCATCTGCTCCTCCGTTGCCCAAATTACGGGTGCTTTGCGTGCCTCACGACTGCTATTCAAGTATGTCATCTCATGAATCATATGTGGTTTGAGGCTAATCGCGAATAGGTCTTTGCTTGTCACTGTTGTTCGGGCTACCTTCCGGTATTTTCCTCCTCGCCAACCTTGTGTTCGACAATAACAAAAGTATAGTTTCCATGATACCACCCCTCAAGGACGGATGCTCAATCGCTTGTATGTCTCCGCGTGTTCTTTCTGATTCATACTCAAAAGCATCCAGTGGGAAAGACATTGAAACCATTGACTCGTCGCTTTCCTCCTCCTTGCAACAGGTCAATTCATCGTTGGCTGGATTCGTTGCCGCCCTCGTCACGGTCACGTGAGTCGCTTGATTAGAGGAGGATGAGATGTGTTCTGACGTGTCGTAGTGTGGTGTTCCCTGCATTCCTCTTCCCGTAAAGTTATCCTGGCTTTTCAACATGAGTAGTAGCGCTTATTCATCGCATAGGGCTGCATCCATTGGGTATTTCTATTATCAATTTGCGGTCGGGTACCTCAATACCGGCCGGGACCTCCGACGAATGGAATCCAATTCGCGCTCTCCCATCTTCTCGGAGTTTGGGGAGTTGCTCACTGGGATCGTGACTGTCAGAGGTTTGTAATACTAGGCACTGTCTTTCATACTAACCAACCCTTTCAGCCTTTGCGGCAGAGAAACGTTTCCTCGACAATCTGCATACGCGAATTGACCTTACCACTAAAATGTGGTATACTTTCTGGTGATTCAACTTCCTTGTCTTTTTACACTGATCTTACAATTGAGCAAAGGATGACCAATCGCTGGCTGCTTCTCAATTTCGATTTCCTGGGCAGTTTGGTACAGACCTCACTCGTTGCAAGAGAAAAACGTCTCACCACCTGCTTAGGCTGTACTCTTCACGACAGTGTTTGCCATACATTTCCTTGTCAACAATGCTGGTCTCGCGGGTTTGGCCATAACCAGTGCTTTGAACTTCACAACAAGTGTATATTGGGCTTGCCGCTTCTGGACTGGCCTTGAACTTGACCTGAAGTAATTTACGTCTATTGGTGGCTATTCCTCTGACTAATTTTTGTCTTAGCGCTGTTGAACGAGTCGTTGAATACCTTGAGCTGCCTCAAGAGCCACCAGGTGTTATTGAGTCGCATCGTCCCCCCGCCTACTGGCCGTCAAGCTCTGCCAATGACTCGCTTATTGTTGCGGAGAAGGTGTCGATCAAGTATGCGCCTGATCTGCCTGCCGTTATCCAGGATGTGTCTTTCAATCTCAGAGCGGGAGAACGAGTAGGGTTGTTGGGAAGGACTGGTAGCGGAAAATCAACACTTGCCATGAGTATTCTGCGCTTTGTGAGTTATGTATTCATTTTCTGATCTTCAATCTTAACTTCGCAACAGACCGATCCTTCTAGTGGACGAATCCTTATCGATGGTGAGTGTGCTGAATGTCCTCCGCACAACAACGACGTGTCTAACATCATTACTAGGGATCGATATTACGAAGATCGGAGTGGAAGACTTGAGGTCGCGTTTGGTATGGTTCAAGCAGGAACGCAAGAACAACTCGTTACTTAGTTCTGACAGACATTTATTCCTCAAGACGCTACTTTGTTCTCTGGAACCCTTCGAGAGAATCTTGATCCTTTCAGTATGAACTTTGTTTTCTCTTCTCTGCAACACTAACTGGCTGACTAGATGAACATGATGATGCAACTTGTCTTGACGTGCTTTATCGTGTTCAGATGATAAGCCGTAGTAGACACGCATCCCAAGCTACATCAACCGTTGCTTCTCCAGAATCCTCTCGACCAGCATCCCGCGCTGGTATTGAGCGGGAGGAGTCAACAACAGAGTCTGTTCTCAGTGCTGCGTTGACCGATGTGGACTCTAAAACTGTCGTTACGCTTGACACCCAGGTGTCCGCTGGTGGAACCAACTTTTCTCAGGGCCAGAGGCAGCTCATTGCCATGGCGCGAGCGTTGCTGAGGAGAAGTGCAATTGTTGTGTTAGATGAGGCAACAAGCAGCGTTGACTTCAAGGTATGAATCCTAATTACTTTTTTAAACAAGTCCATACTAAATGTTTTCATCTAGACTGATGCAAAAATCCAAACCACTATCAGGGAGGAATTTACAGACTCGTTATTGCTCACCAGTAAGCCCACTTTTCATTGTTAGACTTGAAATCTGACAAGTCTCCAGTTGCTCATCGGCTCAAGACCGTCATCGACTACGATCGTTTACTCGTTCTCGACAAGGGCAAAGTCGTCGAATTTGACACACCGTACAAGCTCCTCCAGAGGGAGGATGGCATCTTCAGGGGAATGTGCCTCAAGAGTGGATATTATAACGAACTCGAGGTGGCTGCACGCGCGAAGGCCGAACGAGATGGTCTGCTGTCATAATCTAGTGCTATTTATCTTATCTTCTACTTTTATCTCCCACGCGGGGTCACATCTCGTGGTGTGACACACATCTTGCTTCGAACAGCCATGTATCTCCCCATCGAGCTTGTCGAGCTAATTTTATCAAACTTTACGCCTCACACTCGTCATGACCAAGTGGAACTTAATAAATCGGATACATTTGCATTAGCAAAATGTGCGCTGGTCTGCCGAGCATGGGTTGCCCCAAGTCGCCGCATTCTTTTTCGCAATGTCACTATTGTCGAGCGGAAGGCCTACACCTTTGAGCGCTTGTTTCCCTCTCGGCGATCTCGCTCTTCTCGTGACACTACATTCTACCCCTTCGTTCGGGAATTGCACTTTCGGTTGGCTGAAGGCGGGAAACGCTGGCTCGAATCAACCTTCCAGCGCAACATCAGCCCGCATCTCCAAAATACAGTCCGACATCTCTGGCTGCATGGGCAGGGATTTGTCAGTCCTGGCCACAAAAAAATCAAGCCTTGTCCTACCGGCTTCACTCAAGTTACCCATCTGCGCATTTCGGGCGTGTGGGGATTCTCGGTCGTACAAATGGTGGAATTTATTGCCTCCTTCCCAATGTTGGAGGAGCTGACTATTGGTGTCTCTGAATACCTTCGGGGAGCAGAGGGCCCAATGCCCAGCAATCAAGTACCAGCCATGCTTCGTCGCGCTTCCTTCAAATGGGTGCACTCCCGCCCGATTTTCGACTGGGTAAGGCTTGGCCGTCCAACAGGCATGGAGGCATTGCGATTTCACTTGCCAAACGAGCACGACTACACCGATTTCGCGGCTTCGGTGTTTGAATATATTGCCCAACAGGGCTCATCGTTACTTTCGCTGGGTCTGATGATCAATGATCAGACACGCTGGCTTTATGACGGTATGAAAGAAATTGCTGATCTTCGGGGAATACTCACATATTATATTTCTAGCCCGGGGCTTGGACACAGACTCACCGCCACTTTCCATGCTATTCTCAGCCTTCCTCCGCTCCAACTCCCGACTTCAACACCTGTTTATGGACGTTTCTGAGGAAAGTAGATATTGGCGGTCCTCTGGCCATCGCTCCATCGGCACGCTACTGATCCGCAACGCCCTCAGCGACAACTCCAGCCGGCTCCGTGCTCTGAAAATCTTAACGGTGCGAAGCAGCTCAGTCTTTGCTGACGTGATGGATGTCCTTCGCCGACCGCCACTCGCGACGCACTATTCGACGCGTTTTGTGTACACCGGCTCAGTTACTTTTACCAGCTGGTTAGAATGGCGCCAGGAGTTGGAGAGCAACCGAGTAGAGTGCATCATTGGTCATTGGATGGACGAAGATTATGATTATTAGACACCCGTTTCAAGTACCGCGATGAAATAGAGTTCAACTATCATGATCATCCGAATTTGCTTACCGTTCAAGTTGGAGGACGATGCCCAATATCATCCAACTCAGGGCACTCCCGTGACATAGCCCCCCACTGGCAACGTGCATATTCTTTCCCTCTTCGTCTTTTTCCTGGATTACTGTCTCCCAAACCAGAGGTAGATGCGTCGATTATCGATCTTGTGTCGATGGACACCATAATACATAGTTACGCTCCCAACAACTGCATCATAGCATCCCTTCCTCTCCGCGCCAGCTCGACGGCAATTTTCACCTCCTGCAAGCCCTTGAGCCCACTGGAGTTGAGCCCTCCAGAAGTAACAAACGCGTCGAGTTCCCGGTCCGAGCGCACCGCCGCCTCGTATACCGCACCAGCAGCCTGAGTGACCGGTGCTTTCCCCGCCAGGCGGAATTCAAGCCATCTATTTCCCTCGCACGGAACCCAGTACCACCAGCGAGTCTGGCGATCTTCGCTGTGTTTCTGATTGAAAATAGAGATGCCGCTGAGTATTCGGACAGCAGGAACCGCGAAGGTCTGCGATTGAGAATTTGTGAAGAGGACGACACAGCAGTAATACGGTCCGATTGGCGTCCCGCTGGCGCCTTGCATCCAAAGGGCACAGACAAGCGTGGTGTCGCCAACAATCCCGCGAAGCGTTACTTGCAGATGCTTAGGAGCTTGCGTGCTAGTAAGTGGATATATATCCACAGTGTATTTCTGCATCAGACGGACCACAGAAAGCTCAAACGAGTCCGCCATATAATGTTCCCGCCCGCGCCGATGCCCAATCGTCCGCGCTTCCCCCAACGCCAACACCAAATTCACGATACGTTCTTTTACGCTGATCGACATCGTGGCGTATTCGCGGTCCCGTGACTCGCCGCGGAAGCCTGGGCGGAACAGCGGCTGGAATGTGCGCTCGGCCGGTGGGAGGACGTAGTGGACAAGCGTGCGCAGGGCAAGCCAGAGCAGCTGGAATGCAGCCCAGGCGAGCACCGCGTTCCGGCTGGTGAAGGAGAGCGTGATATACGTTGCAACGATGGAGGTTACCACGAGGGGTGCCCCCGTCGCCCAAAACACTGTCCAGAGCGGGCCGTTGCGCGGATCAGGAGCGGTGCCGAGGATGATTGTGCGTGATCCGCCGGGGTGGGTGCTTGTGGGGGAGTTCGCCAGCGGCGATATCAAGTTCGCCGTAGTTGGGGTCGATCCGGCGGGAGTCGTTAATATCGAGAAGGATGGCGCCGAAGAAGAAGTATGCCCATGGGATTATAGACGCGATTGTTGTCGCTTGGGCACCCAGTGACCATAAAACGGAGACCTCCAAGAATTTCCAGAGGGAGGAGGCGTGGATGACGACCTGTGCGATGGTCCGGTGGGGGGGCCATGTAGGCGTAGTCTGCGGGAGTGCGGATCCGGATGGGGCGGTCTGCAGCAGTCTCGGGAATTGCGGCGAGCTGGATTCGGGTGTACTCGTTGGGAGTATATACGCATATTGTGCGCTGTAAATTCCCAGTTAGTGCCTTGGAAGCAGCTTGAAGTTGTACTACTCACCCCTCTATGACGAGAGATAGCCACTAGCCGCTCTGTCCCCCGCCCCGCCCTCACCGCCAGCCGCGATGTCATATCCATCTCGAACCCCACCGCGTCGTCCGATATGCCCGAGCGAATGCCCAAAATCTCCCGCACCCAACCCGGACACGCTCCAGCGAGACATGCTTTCGCAACAGAGACAGCGCCAAACGCACTTATCCCCGCCCATGCTACACCCGCCGCGCCTCTGTTGCCAAGGACAAGAGACTCTGCGGTGGTGGAGCCAACGAGGGCGGTGAGTGCGCCGATTTCGACGAGGTTATTGCTGAAGGAGAAGGACGCTAGAGCCATGCGGTTTGACATGCTGTAAGGCCAAAGCGCCTAGATTGGCGAGATGGCCACAAACAGGACAGCGACAGCTGCTGTAGTGACTCGTACTCATGCATATATTCATGCTCGACACGGGGAAGATTGCAAGGGAACCGTAGTCGTATCGCATCGATATGGTCGTTTCCAACATCGATGTGGCTAGAGAGTCACGGTGACAAAAGTTGCCTTCTTCCTCCACTTGGGGTCGTTATCACCCAGTCCTTCGACGGCCAGCCTATGTCGAGATCCAGAGTCTCATCTCAACGGTGTGAATTCAAGTCCTCGCTTAAGCCAACTTGAAGGCGCAATACTCGTCAACAGTCAACGGCGCAAATACTCTCGCATCGGAGTAGACGGATTCTCAACTATATACCCACGGAATACTCACCGCATCTGCAACAAATAGTACATACCACTTTAAGTTCAGAGTGAAAAAAGGTGGGATTTTCCATGACCAAATTCCAACTTTAGGCCTAGGTGTGCTTGGTTGTCAACAATGCGTGCCGAAAGCCTCTGGCGCTTTGAACTATGCTTTGTCGGTGTCGGCCCGATCGTCTTTTAATAAAGAGTCGCAACTCCTCCTCTATTCACAATCACTCCTGCCAACACTCACTCTCATTGCATCTCTCCGTTTCTTCAGTCTAATCTCAGCCTCAATACTACCATGTCTTCTGAAATCATCTCCACCACCAGACCCTCGACCCTGGCGGTCGACTCCGTCTGCGCTATTCCAGGCTTCGTCCACCGCATCCTCGAGCATCTCGGAGACGAGGGCGACTTCGACGCCCAAGATGCCACGCTGCGTTTGCTTTCTACTCTCGGCAAAACACATATCGTGCCCACAACTGCTTTCGCGATGCTGTGGCACACCCTTCACGGGCTCAAGCGCGTCATTAATATGATGCCACGCGAACTGTTCGACGGCAACTCCCCCAGACAGTGGAAACCTCTCGTGTGTTTACTGCGATTTCGTTCACAATACTATCTAACCGGTTATTTTCTAGCTCGAGAATGCTCGCGTTACGCTCGCCGACTGGGAGCGCCCATTGTTCTATCTCTCCCACGTCCACGAGCTCTATCTCAACCAGGGGCCGAATGTCCTCGACCACTTCCCTGCTTATCATACGGACAGAATCTTCGCTACCGTGCGCTGCAACAATGTATTGCTCACCCCCAACCTGCATACTCTTTCGTGGACCCCACCAAACATCATACAAGCCGAACGCTGGGCGCCATTCCTTCATCTTTTCGTCGGACCGTCACTTCGCACCTTTCACATGTTGGTGGATAACAGCCTCACTGTGAGGGACATTTTTAACCGACTTCCCGACAACGTTTGTGCCCAACTCACCTGTGTCATTCTCGAAAGCCGGAGTCTCTGTGTCGGCAGCACTCGCTGGACAGCGTTCAGCGTGAACCGCTTCCTTGGCCGGCTCCGCGACGCCAACCATGTTTCCACTGATCAGCTCAGCATTAACGACAGTGTGCTGGTGGGCCTAGGCAAGCTCGCAAATCTGACGTTCGTGCAGTTAATCTCAATGAAGGGGCAGAATGTTCCGATTACCTCGGATCCGCTGTTCCGGCGTCTGGAGCATCTGCACACGATCGGCACTGACCCGGAACATGTTGCCGAATTGCTGCCGGTGATTTGGTCCCACGCTCTTGAGGTTGTCTCCGTCAACTTCTTGCTCGGTACGGGAAAGTCCTATGAGCTGCTACTGGAGGCGCTGCCACATCTCCCCGCGCCGGAAAATGTGAAGGAAATCTGCATCAACGACTTTGATCCGGTGACATACCACGCAATCGGCCGGAGACGCTCGCTGGAGGAGTTTTTTGCTGCAGCAAAGGATCTCGTTTCGCACACGACAGCCAAACCGGGCGACTATACCATCGCGGCCACGTGCCTGCGTGCACTTGCAGAGTTCTCCAACCTCACGCGGCTCTTCCTCGTTCTTCCCCTTGGGTTTGCCGGCCTTACCGACACGCTCTTGGATGAAGTGACCAAGAACTGGCCCAGCCTCCAGTCGATGTCCCTTCTCCCACAAGTATCCTTCCCCCTCGACCTACATCGCCCCTTCCCCATAGAGCTTACCCTCGACGCCTTTATCACGATTGCGACCAACTGCCGCAACCTGCACACCCTCGGTCTCGTGATTGACGCATCCGCGCCCCTATCCGAGGAGCTGTGTCAGCGCGCCCTGGCCGCCCCCGTCTGCCCCCAGCTATTCCACATCGAAGTGTTGGACTCGCCAATTCAGAGCCCCCACCCCGTCGCGCGCTTCCTCGCGTCTCTCTTCCCGCGCCTACGCGTCATCCACGCCGGCGCCGACGTACCCCTTGCCTGCGGCCCGATGGCCGCCCTAAGCGACTACTTTGAGCGCACGTGGTATTCCGTGCAGGTCGCCCTCCCCGAGATGGCCGAGATCTGGGCGCGTGTACCCGGTAAGAGCTGGAAGGACATCAAGGTGGTGGTCGACGATGATGATTTGCGCTGGTTTGAAGAGGAGACAGACTCAGAAGTAGATGTCGAAGAGGACTGGTAGTTTATGGTTGTACTAGACTATCGCGCCTAGAGTCGCTAAATCGAGCGTTTTTCAATCCTGTGAAATTAATGGAGAACATCATCTTTTCCAATATCCAGCCCTACATGAACTTGTAAGTAATCCCGCGATCACTAGACTGGAATGCATCTTCCGCTGAAGGGCAACGCGGAATCGGTCATGTGACCGATACTTTTATAGGCACCTTCGCATGAGCCCAATTGAGAGCACTCAAACTGGAATAATCCAAACTGCAAGGCGCCGGTGGGCGGGCTAACTCGCGAAGTCTCGTTTATAGCCGTGCTCCCGATCAAGGTGACCGGATATCGACATCGTTTTCGAGCTAAAAGTCTGCACGAATGAAATTTCGCCTCATCTATTTTGCCAGCGTAGATATAGATAGCATAAATTGAGTGTGAGTGATCGCAGACTGCCCCGAACCATGGCACCCCCAGACAAATCACAGTACGGAAAGCTGAGTCTAGCACAGAAGCTGGGACTGGCCTTCAATTTGATTCCTTTACGTGCGTCACGGTCATGCCTGCGACATCTCCAGCTCATATCTATCAGCGGTAGTGTTGTTGTGGAAGGTGGTGACAACGTCGTATGCAGGGTATAACCAAGATCGGACGCTGAAGCGCATCATGGGAGACGCGTTCTTGTGGTATACTGGAGGTCTCGGGGTTCCGCAGTTGCAATGCATTCTTGGGACGGACCAGCACATTTATCAGACGTGGACAAAAGCAAACAAGCTGCCAAGTACGGTCGACGAGTTGGGGGATGATGCGCGCCTGTTTTGGATTGGACCCAAGCGAACCGAGCGCGTTGTGTTATTTTTGCATGGTGAGTGTACTTATGAGCGTTATTATATCAGTTGACTGGACGGATTTTGAAGGGGGAGGTTTCTTGTTGCCAACGTCTGAGCATTCGATATCGTTTTGGAGGTACACACAGCTGGAACTCGAGAAGAAAGGCGTCGAAATCGGTGTTGCCGTGCTTGAATACAGTACGTCCGAGTTGATCGACAACTTCCCAGTTTCGCCGCAATTTTGTCGCTGAACCGGTTGCAGCGCTTGCGCCATACGCAACTTTCCCAACTCCGCTCAACCAAGCCCGCCTGGCACTCAATTTCCTATTCGAAGCTGGTGTAAAGCCATCCGATCTCCAGATTGTTGGCGATTCTGCTGGAGGAAACCTGACTCTCCAAATCCTTTCCCACATCCTCCACCCGCTGCCATCTGTTCCACTCATTTCCCTCCCAGCGCCAATCCAAAGTGCGATGCTCGTTTCGCCATGGATCAGCCTCTCCGCATCAAGCCCGTCACACAAGTCTAACGATGGCCACGACTTTGTGTCTCTGAGCACCATGTCCGCATGGGGACCCCAAATCCTCAGAGACGTCCCGGCTGAGCATCGCGCGTTTGCCGAGGCGGTCTCGGCACCAGAAAACTGGTTTGTCGGGGCGGAGAAGGTTTTCCAGCACGTGTTGATCTCTGCGGGTGGCGCAGAGCTATTGAAGGACGACATCGAGTCGTTTGCAGAGGCGTTCAAGAAGCAGCACAACCAAACCGAGTTTGTCGTGCAGCCGAACGGGAGGCATCAAGACATGTTTTTGGACTTTTTCGTTGGAGAGAAGAAGGTCGGGATGCTGACTCCGTTGACGATAGAGTGGCTGGCGGCAAGGTTTTCCGAGTGATGTCGGGTTCAACGTTTAAATTTCAACCTCCACCAAGTACTAAACTCTCTAGGCTGCAATAAGTAATCTTGTTCGTATTTGAATCGCTCTCAGCAATCTTGAGACATCCGGTGAGAGCATGACAAGGGGGACCATTGTTTTCTGGTGTTCGTTGAGGATATGTTGTCGAAAGATATGTCACAAGATATGTCACAGAGCTGTCACGCCAGGATGCACTTGTAATTTCCTTTCACATCGCCTAATTTTCTGAGTCAACATGCCAGATCGTGACGATGGCATAGGCAACTCAACTTCAACCTCCACCCCCCACAGTCCGCTCGCAAATGCTTGTTCTCGACATACTAGATGGTGGTCATGAAATCGAAGACCAAGAAAACACTCAGATCCAGGCTTGCGAGCATCCGCGTTGTCCCAATCCAGAGTTCAACTTCAAAGTCTTCGACACTGTTTTGAAACATTTGCCACTGGACTACCACAAACGGATTGCAGCGCTGCGATTCCAAGATCACGACATGCAGCAGCCTATCTTCGCTTCGACTGACGTGCTTCCAAGAGTCAACGACAATGTGCTTCCGACTTATTTGGACCCTGTAGTGACCATCTGCAACAAATATCTACTTGCAGAATCCTCGACACTCTTTGTGTACGAAACCCAACATGTGAAAGGTGCGCACACTTTCTTTACTCATATCATGACGTGCTAAGACCAGTATAATAGACAGACAAGTCGCGAGAATATATCTGCAAGACACGGATGTCAAGAAATTACAGCTTATTTTCTATTGCATTGTCCGCTATTTTCTTTCGACATCCCGAAAGCTCAAACTGACACCGGAGGCAAACACCCAGGCAGTAGGGCGCCTAGTGCCTGACAGGCAGTAGGCGCACTGTAGGCATGGTTTCGGGGTCCCTGTCCATTGCCGATGTTTTTTTTGGGCTGGAACCCCGGGAAAAACGAGGGCAACACGAGGAAGACCCCGAAACGGCGCCTAGTGCCTGTCAGGCACTATGGTGCAGCCGGGCTTGTCACATCCACTTTTGGACAAGGTGATGAGCTCAATGTCTGATGTAGATATAGCTTATTCCTCTTATGAAAGTTATTGTATCAGACCTATAAACAACTCTATTAGAGGGTTTGCCCTCAAACCTACAGGGTAAAATTTCAAGGCTTACCAATTGAGCGGGCTTATATAAGCCTTATATAAGCGTCATGTGACATACACATAACCTGGCTGATGGTGGCTCGCAACACACAAAATATATATTATTTTAAGCCTTAAATTGATGTGCTAGTGTCTCCGGAACACAATGGTGGGACTTATACCTCTGGGAGCTGAATTGACACACCTGCACCTGGGGATTCTTGCACCCCAAGCCACCATTATAAGTGTCAATCAACTACAATGTTCAGTGCTCCCATCACTGAATTGTGTCTACTGAAACACAGTCTAGTGCCACTGTGCCTCCTCAAAATTTTCTTCAAAAAATTTGTCTGCCCTGGGATTGAGCGGCTTAGTCAGCCATTAGTCAGCTGTCCCGATTTGGAGGTGACAAGCCCGGCTGCACCATAGGCGCCCTACTGCCTTGGGTCTTGCCTCCGGTGTGACGTATACTTAGCCCAAAGGACAAATCTGTTGGGCGGGCATTCCACAGCTAAGAGACTACGTTGAATGCAGCCACGTATCAGAGCTCCTCGAAGAATTCGAAGACGTATTCCATGAAGAGAAACCCAAGTTTATCCTCATTACTGATGCGGAAAGAGTTCTTATGATCAGCCACGTTAATGACTATCATGTGAATCGAAGTACCTTCCTCAACGCTTATTGGCTTGCGCGAGGCCGCCAATCTTTGCGACACGCACTATGTCTTCTCTTGTGCCAGGCCGAGGAGTGCAATATGAATACCGACCCGTGGCCAAAGTTTCTTCAGGGTGCGCTCAACGACCCAAACCTGATTCATGCATCGCAGCAGCAACAGCACACCACCTTTCGCGACTTCGACCGCTTCACCCTCCAAAGAAGCCTTCCGTACCTGAAACAGTTTATCAATTGGAAAAGACAAGAGTCTGAACGACTCAGCGCCCCTTTCATTGGGCCAGGCACGATGCTGGCCGTTGATGTCAATGCTTTCATGCGAGATGAGAGTCTATGGCGGTCTCCATTTCCCAAACCGTTGATTCCTCCTAGTACCAAAGAATTTGTTGGCCGCAATTTGTGCCAACGACTTCGCGATGTAGACGAGATATTATCTGGCGGACAAAATATCACATTTGAGGTGACAGAAGTCATTCGACACGAACGTGATACATTCTCGCAGGTATTCTTCGGTGTCCTTCGCGCTGCAGACGGGCGTGTTTCTGCACCAATATGTGTCAAGATATTCCTTGATCTGCTGTTTCCGGTGGATGCTGCACTGCTTCTTCATGACTTTGAAACTGAGGATGCTATGTGGCGACTGAGCTCGTTACATTGTCCCGAAGACCTGGCGAAGCTGGAAGAGGCTGCATACGAGCGACTGCAAGAGCATCAGGGAACGATGGTCCCCCATTGCTACGGTTTTCATCGAGTGGGCAATTTTCTCGGTCGCAATGATGAGCTATCATGATTTCCGAGTCTGACAATTTCAGACTACTCTGCAAGGCAAATTCACGGCGTACGCCGTCCTGCTCGAAATTATCCCTGGGCCGACTCTTGCTGAGGTTGAGACCTAGACTTGGAGCGATCCCGATGCTGCCAAAGATGGTCTTGTACGTCAACTTGAACAAGTCCTAATACTGAATGACTCCTAATAGGCACGACATGCTAGAGAGTGTTTCCGGACGCTGCTATACGCTGGGATAAACCAGGCGGACTTCCGCCCCTCCCAAATCATGCTTCCCGACGGGCCCGAATACCGACCGGAGCGCGACAGTGTGGTGCTCATCGACTTTGACTTCGCATTCCAGCGTTTTGGAGACGAGCAGCGCCGAAATATTGCTGCGACGATGCAAATCCGAGATGCCATCGACCTTTTGGAAATAGGCATTCTCGCCATCCAATGTGAGGTCCACACACTCTTCCGCCGAAAGCTTTTTGTAGAAGATACTTTCCATCGCAATGAGTGGTAGCAGTACTATGAGTACCAGTCCACGTACATGGAGTACTTACTTCATATCCAAGAACCAAACATGTTTTTCTTGAGAGTTGTTGGAAGGGGCCTTAATTGTTATCGGGTAGCGTGAGGGACTGACGAAGCTTGAACACTCTCTCTTACTTGCCTGGAACGCATATTCAGCTACTTATCCATAGTTTATGGTCTGCGACTCGTTTGAGGATTCCGCCATTCAAAGGGTTTGAGTTCATATTTGAAATGAACGAGGCAGATCTGAAGTTGGGTAAGCTTTTAGCGCAAAAACGATGTCGGTATCCGGTGATCGAGAGCACGGATACAAACGAAACTTCGCGGGTCAATCCGCCTTCCCTTAAGTACCATAAGTACATAGCGCAGAGAAAACATGAACCCAAGTCTACTTGATAGCCGTCACATGACCGCGTTTCCCTCAAATTCAACTGACAGTACCAAGATGTCGCAAACTCCCCTCCGCATAGTCGGGTACCATCTCTAACTCCTCCCCAGCCAATCCATGCACACGCACAGCACGCTTCCACATTCCCCACGGCTCAGTTCCAGGGACAGGTCGCGCACCCACCGCGCGGAAAACCAATGCCTCGAGTCCATCCAAAAGCAGCAATATGCAGATGACAGCAGTCGAGACCAACGCCGAGGATGAATTCATATCTAATGGATGCGAAAACGGTATTTTCAGCGGCAGTTCAGCCATAGTCGCGCCGTTTCCAGCCGCTGAGTGCTGGCGAAGTTGTTGGCGGCGGGATAATACGTGGGATTGGCTCGGTGGTGAGAAGATGGAAACAAATAACTCGTCGTCAGATACATTGAAGACGCGCTCTCCTCGGCCTAATAAGAGCGCGTGCTTTGCCGAAGGTGCGAGAAAAATGAGAGTATATGCTCGGGAGGATAATAACGTAATCTTGAGTGTGGCGGTGTCGCGGTCTTTGACGGAGGAAAACGTTGAAGGCCCGATCGACGAGTCTCCAGGCAAAACAACTACAGATATATTGGTTTCCTTTGTTCGCTGTCGCAAGAAGATCTCCAGCTGAACTCGGGCATAGCGCTCAAAGACGCCTTCAGGCAGCCATCGTACACCGCCTGTAAGCTGAGGAAGATTGGGACCTGCGTTGTGCTCCGTCCGCCGCCACAAAGCTGGAATTGGTTCAGGACGAATGAACACGTCTAATCGTTTCTGGTAATGCAATACCCATGCGTGGTATACAATTCTGGCAAAGGAAAGAAATAGATCGAACGGGTATTTGGACAGAACCCAAAGCAGGTTGGAGGACGTAAGTGGGTATGCCGTGGTTGGGCGAAGGAGAGCAGTAAGTTTCAGAGCGCCTGTTGGGGTTAAAAGGTGAACCCGGACACTTGGACGCGGGGCGGGCAGGTCTTTGGAAGGTCTAGAGGGTGCGTGGGTTGGCCGTCGGATCGAGACAGTGTAGAAACCGCGGCGGTCATTGAAAGGAGAAACATGGAATGCGCGAGGAAAGGTCCACTGGTGGTCAAATCTGGAAATAACCTGTCGTGAGTGCTATCGGGCTTGCGTAAGACGACATCTTACCCTTTGGAAGGTTCCTTGTCTTCCTGTTCCCCAGTTTTCAGACAATAAACATGGTTCTCTCCAAAGGTATTGTGCACCTACATGCGATTAGTGGGGCAACTCTTGGACAAGATGCATTTGACACACCTCCAAAACAGTGACCAACAGCTCGTCATTCACATCGTAGCAGAAATAAACCGTTAGAGGATTGATCCCTTCAAATCCTAGTAAATTCGGCATAGTCATCATCCAAGCATCCTCGATTCCTTCGAATCCACGCTCCTTCAAGATGTACAGGAGCTTCTGCTTGATAGAGCCTTTGCCAGGAGAGAGATATGGATGCGGCCGGAGTCCAAATAGCCGACCCCATCGGCCTCCGTAGCCAAATATCCACCCTTTCGCAAGGTCAAGGGAGTGGTTCTCGAGTGCATTGAGGGAAGTCAAAAGGCAATAGGTCGGATAGGTAAATGCGTGCTGGCAGTCGACAGGCAGCAGCCGTGCATGGGTTACACTATTCTCCAGGACATAGCCACCCATGGCGGGACGAAAGATGCGTTGGCAACGCCCAAGGTCGAGAGCGACATGATTGTGTGTCACGGTCACGCGGCACGTGCCTGGACGCGTCCGTTGATTCCAAACCGTCGTCGTGGTCAACCTGCACATGGAAACACCACTGGCGAGACCGGCACCAGTCGCAGATGTCGAGGAGAGTAGAACGAAGCGTCATCAACGACAACAGTCCAGGTTTCGCGATCGTGGCGGGTGCGTTGATACAGTGCTTATCTTTAGAACAAGAGGCTGAAATATAGGTGAAGAATTTTCGTCCCCAAACAACCCAACACCAACTTGCTCGACATTCTCATGGGGAGTAAGGCCGTGTCTCCTGCTAAACGAAGGTCGCCAACACGCAGTCGAAGCCGGAGCGTCTCCATGTCTCCTACGAAGGCAAGGATGAGGCGGAGTACAGCGAGGAAGAGCGGTGTTGGTGCGGCGAGGAAGAGTGTCGGTGGCAAGGCCAAGCCCCGCAAATCCACAGTCGAGCCTCCGCCAATTGCCGGTGAGGATATCTTCTTCTGAAATGTTCTATGCTGACCAGGCAACTTGAAGGTCCATCTCGCCTTGCCACAGACCCGCTGAAGAAGAAAGCAGCCGCAACTTCTCGCAAAGGCAAGAAGACAGAGACTGAGAGCGGTGCGAGTTTTTGGTAACACCTCACAATTCTCCTTGATTCTATATGCGTATTAGGTGCCGACGATCCTCCTCCCAAACCCACTAAAGGTCAGGGAGCTTACGAGATTCAACACATGCGGTGACCGTTCTGCAGTACCTAAATCTAAACCTGAGCTACTCGAAGACGAAGACGACGAGGATGAGCCCGTTCCTGCGAAGAAGCGCACAGCAACTGCGAAAGTCAAATCCAAGGCTAAACTCAGGCCGGATGACAAAGTAGAGGTCGTTGCTAAACCAAAGGCAAAACCCAAACCTCGAGGTGTGATCTATTCGTCACCGCCAGTCGATTTGTCTAATAGCCTATACTTAGCCAAGACGAAACCAAAAGACCTCGATCCAGACGAGGACCCACCTCCTAGGGCGAAAACTTCGCGGACCGCCAAATCCAGGGCCGAAAGCACGTACGCAGAACTCTCAGATGACGAGAATGACGAAATTCAACTCAAGCGCAAGCCAAAAACTGCCACGAAATCTGGTACCAAAGGCGCGACTTCAAGTTCAACCAAAAAACGAGCCGCTTCAGAGGACGATCAGGGAGACGAGCCGCCTACAAAGCGCGCACGCAAAGTTACCAAACCCTCAAGTTCCAAAGCAAAGGAACCAGAACCAGTGGAGGAGAAAGAGCCAAAGAAACATAGCGGCACCAGGCTCGAGGCTATCCCAGAAGAAGAGGAGAATGAATTGGTCGAAGAAGCGTCGGCTTCAAAAACTCCTGCTCTTTCCGCTTTCGAATCAGAGCTTCAAGCCAACGACGTTCCGACACCACTGAAGAAGAAACGGTCACGAGAAGTCGATGGCGAAGGAGGCGAGCCGGTAAAGCGCAAACGGAAGAAGATGGCTGAGCAGGAGAACGACGATGTGGGCCCGACACCTCAGACGAAGTCGAAAAAACGAACAGTTACTACCAAATCTACCACTAAGAAAAGCAAAAGGTCAGTTGGTGCAGGACGATATGGCAATCAACTAAAACCAACCTAGCACAAGTCGCGCTCTCAAAGAAAATGCTGCAACCAAACCAGTAGCAACGAAAGGCAAGAATAAGGAGATAGCGGTATGTGCTTGATAATTCTCATGACGCTCAGGATGGATTGAACAAATTTTAGTCCTCCACTACGACAGTAGTCAAACGCCGCGGGCTACCTCAAGCTGTTCTCGACATGCTTCGCCAACGCGCAGAAACGCAGGTTGAGCCAGCAATGGACGATGAACGTGACGAGATTGATTTTTTGTCGTAGATTTATTTCCATTTATTGCTTTACTATCACATATCTCATTGTACATGTACTATACTCGCATCTAAGTATTTTTTGGTTTGTTTGCTTTCCAATTCTGTGGAGGTTGGCCCGAGAGGGAAGTGCTAAATTGGTAATCAGTCTGACATAACGTCAAGCTGTTCTCTCTCTTCAACGCTCACTTGATTGCCCCCCTGCCCGCTGCGGGCCTCTGAACAAGCCTCAATTTCGGACCAACAACAGTTATGGGCGCGCTCATCAGCACGATTGGCAAAGGGTAAATAAACTCGAAAGCTGCAGACTATTGCTCAATTCCGGGACTCGCAGACTTTCAGCTATCATCGGAGCAACGGCCACAGTCCTCATCGCGGTGGTTGAGCTGATTACCACCGTAAGGCAGCCCCTTTCGACTGCCCTTGAACTACCTCATATTCCTCCAGGTCCTCATAGCCATTGTCGACATTCTGTGGGATATCGTCTGTTGCCGATGCTGGTGTGTCTTGAGTGCTTATTTTTGACCTTTATTTCTCACACGCTGTAGCGGCTCGCGCGCCTCGGAGAGCCGCTTCCAAACGAGACGAGAACAGCGACGACTGGCTGCGGAGAGTGTTCAAGCCGAGAATGCGAAGCCCGCCAAGAGCTAAAGCAACTGAGAGTCTGAGACAAACTCCTTTGATACCCTTGCACTAATCCAAATCTAACGACTTGTACGACCACGAATCTAATGATATTTAACGACCCTAGTAACGGACGCAGCCTTCTACTTGATTATAATTGCCGTGGAGTTTGAGACTAAAAGTCTAAAACTCGTTTGCATGCAGATGCATCCAAGAAAATAAATCTAACGCTTCCGTACTAGGTATGCCGATAGACTCCGCAAACAAAATTCGGGAAGAATGGGCATTGTCGTAGATGTAGGCTGCGACACCACAATCCTGCTCGTCTCCAAGCCGCTGAGGAGCAAACGCGAAGTCAAGTAAAACAAGGGCATCGCGCTCTGGGTTGTAATCGGCTCCTCCTGGAAGTAAAAACTGCCCTGCGTGAAGATCACTTTGGTCTATGCCAGCGTACAGTAGAACACTGATGCATTTTCTCAGATGACCACCCTATATCAAGCTGGCATGAGTATGTGCAAGGCTTACAACAGTAGGAGGACGCACGAAGGCACTCTGGACGCTGGGTGCCCAGCGCGCGATATTGACTTTCTTAGACTCCAACGTCGGAGCGTCGATTACCTCCAATAAAATACCATATGCGGAGAACCGGCCGTCCAGGTGAAACTTGGAAAGTAAAACATCACTGAAGAGTTTTTAATTGTCCAACGAACCATGAACTCACTCGATGGCATCCGTAAAAATGAGGAATCATCGTGCCTTGATACTCCTTGAGGCGCTCATAAGCACTCTCCTCTCGTCGGATCATATCTTCAGGGAAGTTCAAACTTGCCAGTCGTTTGGATGGATTACGGTGTTCTGCGAAACTTTTCAAAAGATCTTCCGAGCTTACTGGCATCATGGCGTCGACGAATAGCTTCAGGCAGACGGGAGGAGAACTGCGACCGTCTGTCGTGTGCAATGAGCCGAAAAATACTTGTGAAAAAGTATTGGCTTTATGGCGAATGATTTTTGAAACAGAGAACGACAGACCCAGGCCGGAGTCCGCTAACATACTGTCAACGACGGAGAGGCGGCCGCGCATGGCCCTTTTGACGACCTCCGCGGTTTCGTTGGGGACGGGAGGATGTGGAAGTTTGCTGCGCCAATGCAACTCCTGTTCAAATGCATTGGCGTCAACTCGCAACATGCAGCCTTGAGTAATTGGATGGGAACCAAGTGCACGAGATTGCCTTTCTTTCCAAGATAGAAATGCCTTCAAGTATGATAATTGTCTCTGAAGGGTATACCGATCAAAATCTTGAAATCGACGTTTCTCGTCCGTCGCTGTGGGGAGTGGCGGCGGTAGAGCCCCATGAAGACGCAATGGCCATGGACGACCTGAAGCGACATGAACTGGCATCTGATACAACACAAGGCAAAGCAAATGGCGAAGCGAATTCCAACCGGAAGAGATGGTAAAACGCTGCAATCCTACGCCTGTGATCCGACTCATTGTTATAGTCCGAACCCAGATCGCCTCGAGTTCATCTGTGATGATGACAACCTTGGGACGCTGGAATGGCTCTTGTTCTTTGGGATAAAACAACGCCCCATAGCTGCTTAGTTGCGAATGTGCGTGTACACATCTGATATATTTGTGAGAAGTGCCGTGTCCTTCCATACCGCTCCAGCACACAGTACCGACAGGCTATATGTTTGTTCAGTGAAGATAATGTTCGGTACGGGAAGACGAACAACAAAGACAATGACGCAAAACAATGATCGTTCTCCAGAATCCTGCTTGATGTAGACCTTAACTGTGAAAACAACAGACATGACTTGGCTTTAAGCTTTGGCCAAGAAAGAGACTAACCGGTGCCGTCTTCCTCCATAACATCGATGTCAGGGGCTCTTTTTTGTCGGCACATATGGTTCACGAAAAAATCTAATATGGGGCGAAAATATTTCTGGGCGGGCGGGTCGCTGTTTTCAAGGTGAGGATAGGATACAAACTCATTCTTGTGAAACGTACGTTGGAGAATTGTGAACAGAAGGGAGTTGCCTGAATCTTAATGTGGCCACAGCACTGCGGTAATCGAATTCATCGCGTTTAAAGGATATCCTCAAGTTTGGAAGCTGGGAGTTCTTGGGAAGGTGGCTATGGTTGCAGTTTGACGAAAGGTCTGGATTTGGAGGGAGGGGAATGGTTTCCACAAGGGAGTCGGGGCCAACGTCAAGGAGGTCGAAGGGAGACATAGAAAATTGGAGGAATGAGTTTCAAGAGTCAGGTCTCCAGCATGCAGGTGTGGCAGGAAGCAAGCAGGAACGCAAAGAGACATCGCTTGAGACATCGTACATGTTGGGTGTGCTTACCGAAGCTTACCGTCGGCGTTGCGGCGTCACGTCAGGTTCAATCCATTTCCCCGAACACTCCCTGCGTTTCCACTTCCATAGCACTGTGTCAGACTGTCTAAAAACAGCAGATTATATATCTCTTACACGCAGCAGGTCGACAACGAACATCCGTGCAAGTCGACTACAGGTGGCCAAACGAAGTGAACTTCAAAGGCAAAATATCATCAAGTGATTGATCACATAATCTTCCCTCTCCCTCTTTTTGTTGTCGATGTATGCTACGAGCGCGCGCGACCCGACTGACGCGGTATCTGCGCGATCTGGCATTCAGAGGAGACACACCCGCGACATTTTCGCTTGCTTTGGGGACACCGAGCAAAACTGGGGTGGGGCCATTACCGCTGGCCGATGTGCTGCGACGGACAGGCGTGAAGATGGAGGAGTTTGCAGAGAAGCGGGCAGTGATGTGGGCGGGGGATATTGATAGCTCACTGCAGAAATATGAACAGGAGGAGACGCAGCTACCACTGTGGCTGGCGGTATACCTGCTCAGCTTCAAAGTCCGCACCCCTGCCCAGGCCTCTGGGGCGGGTCTTAAACTAGCATTGGGTGTGGGGAAAGAGGACCAGGCACCGCTGTTGGTTCTGTCTACCATGCATCTCGTGCGTTTCCGACTTATGTCGCCATTACAAAACATCGTCGACGCTTTTCTGGCTACTCCACCTTCGCTGACACATAAAGTGCACTTTAACCATCTCCTCCTCGCTCTCTCCGCCCTGCGCTCTTCTCACGATGCGCGCGCTCTTGTTATCCAGTTGCTCGAAGCGATGGAAGCCAGAGGAATCCGACTGTGGGACCGCACTTGCACTGTCCTCCTCAATGACCGTTACGCCGTGCTCAAGCTTACGCACTACCTCCACCAGCGGTCGCTACGTCTCCACGAAAAACCCACGCCTTCCCATCTCAAAGTATACCTCCGCACTGCGGCTATTACTGGTGACCTTCCGCGTGCCGAGCAACACTTCGCCGCGATCAAGGGTCGCGGGCCGAAGGCCGAGAACGTCGCACACGCAAAGCGGGATCTGCGGGCTCACCGGATCAATGCGGCGCGATCACAACTGATCCGCGCACAACCTTCCTTTGACGAGGCCATCCAGTATTTCCAGAGGACGGTCGTCCAGAAAGCGAGCAGAGAGAAACCGTTCGGCAGAATTGCGCTCAACCACCCACGGAATCTATTGGGCAAACGTGCTGCGGATATCAAGGACTGGAATGCTGCTTTGGCAGTTGCAGAACGAGATGGGACAGTCAATGGGGGGCGGCTAATCAGAGTGCTTGAGCGGCTCAGACCCAGTTTCGGAGAGTATCGGCCAAATGCGAGAACATGGGAAATTCTGGTGCGAGGGCTGTTGAAGAGGAGAGAGTGGAGACTGGCTTATGACCGATGGAAGGCATTCTTGTCTACTGGTCAACCAATGACTCCTGGGTTGTTGAAGAACGGGCTGCGGGCGATGATACTGGCAGGACAGCCGCACGAAGCAGTGGCGCTGCTGGAAGTTTATCGCACCCTCGTAACTGCCGAAATCATTGAACATGTCATGGCCGCGCTGGTCGAAGTTTTGCGTCCAGATGTGGTATTCCGTCTCTGGGATGCGCTGCATACACTCTACCGTGTCACTCCGGCACCAGAGATGCTTGTTCTCCTCTTCCGGGCGGCGCAACTCCCCCATTTGTTGGACGACTCGTTTGCAGGGCAGATGGCGCTACTCAGCTCCAAATTCCAATCGCCCTCTAAAACCCAGAAAACGCGAGAAGAGCTTGCCCGCGATATCTACGAACTCGCTTCAGAGCCGTATCAATCCGGGCTCTGGCGCGGAGAACAGGCGAGCCAAGTGGCCAGTGCAGAATTATACACCTTCCTTGGCCCCGAAACTATGTCTCAGCTCGCTAGCGCTCCCCTGCCCGCCGCTGCCATGCGCCCTCATGCCGAAAGCGGACGCGTGGGATATGCGCTGCCCCCGCTCGACTATGTCCCCCGCCGTCAGCACGATAATCGCGGTCACGTGCTTCTTTCGTCACGCGTCTGGGCAGAGTACATCCTCCTCCTCGGGCTCACGCGGCGCGCGCCAGAGATAGCACGTACGCTCGCCTGGATGCGCACTCTTGGCATCGCATTAGAGACACAGACCGTCGGGTTCGCGCTGGCGTTTTGGGCGGAGGTGGCGGTGCATCCGCCATTACTAGGAGTGTTGATGAAAGGACGAGGTGATGGTTACGAGCAGCTGCGAGTGTGGCTCGCTGAGGATGGGCAAACTGTACCGAAGGAAGAGGACGTGCGCGTGTGGCATGCCAAGATCGAGATGGTGAGGCGGCTGAGGAGGGAGAGCGTGGAGAGAGGGAGGTATCGAATGGGCGAGGAGGCAAGGGTGTGGGCAATGGAGAAGTGGTAGTAGTAGGGTGTACGACCCTTTCAAATCCTTGAGCAGACTTTACTGAGCGTAACGACAGGCTTGTCGGGCTATAAAATGATTAAAATTCGGAAGCGCACTTGCCACTGGTTCGCACAGGGCTCAAATGTCAATCGGGGTCCGCATTGTCGAACGCCGTATTGTCGACAGGTTTAGGTCCGAAGACGGACCCCGCTACGCTTTCCGATTCGGGACCACTGCGGTAATTCTATCCTATCCTATCCTATCCGAACACAAAACGATAACATATATAAGGTCTCTGCAATCGAGCTACACTTGTGTCAGTGATTCATGAAATCTGTTGACATACAATGTGACACTACGTGGCACAAGTCACAGTTTCATTTTCATGTGTCCAGTAAACCACTTTCTCGACAAAGGAAGTGGAGAACTTGCAAAGGATCTGCTGGCTTCTGCTCTGGATTGCACACACACGTCGCTGTTGCCGCTGACGAAGCCTTCAGCTTATTCCAGACAAGGTTTAGGCCAAGTGAATTCGAGTGCCGTCAACGTCTTGCTGCACTGCGCTGTCGTGAATTCCCCTTTCCCACAGCGGATATATCGTACGCACTTCAACTCTGTAATAACTATTTGCTCATTCCCGCAAGGGATTCGTGTGCTTCCAAATATGTGGATCCTGTTCTGAATTTTTTTACAACAGTGCTCCTACCGGCAGACTCTGCCACCAAGCTTTCCTCTACTGTGGAGCGAGCTCCTCTTGATCTTGGACTCGTCACTGCCCAGGTTGATATTGTTCGCATCTGTCACACCAATGCAGGCAAGGAAAATGTGCTTTGTGTCGTCCTCTTTGTGGCAAGTGCCTTGTTTTAACCTGGAGCAATGAATTCTCACTCCCATCGGGCTTCAGCCTCGAGAAAGTGTATGTTGGTCCAGTTTACAAGGCAACGATCTTCGATGTACTCCAACCACAATACTACTTCGGACCTGGCAAGGCTTGCTGCATGCTCATAGTGCCAAATACCTTCTTGCAACAGATGAATATCATGCTTGCGCTGTCAGCCGCATTCCCAATGATCCTATCTCCAAAATCGCTGCTTTAAAGACCTTCTTAGTCGACTCTGGCCGGTACTCCCTTCGAAATTTGATTATGGTCATATTGTACCAGCAGCCTGGAGACACATTCAACGGATACCCATGGATTCAACCCCTCCGTGGTGCTCTTAATCATGATGAAAGCTTCGAAAAAGCAGATACACCAATTCATCCACGCACATTTAGCGACTTTGATCGTTATGCTCTTGAGCGAAATCTCACCGACATGCAGCGCTTTCTCTCGTGGAAAAAACTAGAGGCCCGGCGGATGGAGAAGAATCCAATCTGCGTTGGACAGCGTATGACGGTCGACGCAAATGCATTTTTACATGAGCATTCTCCTTGGCGCCCTGTGTTTCCCATTCCCGCCATTCCACACGAAACACACGCTGCTGTAAAGCGGAATACGCGACCCCGCTTAACTGAGGTCGACGATATGCTGAGCGCTGCTGATGGGTTGTGGTTTGAAATCATCCAAGTTGTGCGGCATAGGCCAAACACATTCTCACAGGTTTTCTTCGGCATTCTCCACACTTCTTCAGGCCAGTCATCGCCTCTTCTTTGCTTGAAGCTCTTCTTGGATGTCATGTTTCCCATTGACCATGATTCAATTCTTTCGAGCTTTCAGGTTGTCGGCGCCCCCGCCCATTGGCAAACCCCACCCCGACGACTCGCAACTTTACATGATCCCGAAGTCCTGGTTAGGCGGGAAGAGTGTGCTTACCACAGGCTCCAAGACTATCAGGGAACACTGATCGCCAATTGCTACGGCTTCCATCGTGTATGTTTTCCTTTTCAGGTCGAATTAATTCCATGCATATATTGCTCTCCCAGTTCAGTATAGACGGCCACTTCCGCGCCTATGGCGCCTTGCTCGAAGTCATACATGGCCCTGACATTGGACACCTCAACATATCGGAATGGAGCATGGCTCGCCAAACCATCCTGGTGCGTCCTCTCATTTAGACAATCACGCTCTAAGATTCTTGTTTCGGAGACGCGCTATATTCGACAATGCAACCGTGTCCTGCTTTATGCTGGGATTGACCAAGGTGACTACAATGACGGGCAGATACTCTTCATTGGTGGGGAAGACTACTCAAGCGTGGTCTTCATTGATTTTTCGTTTGCGGTGCCACGTTTGGGAGACGAGCAGATGCCGGGCATGCTTGCAACCTTGATGCAGGATAGCAATGCACAGCTGGGACACTTGCTGTATTGTAATGGAGTTCCGAAGGAAATCGTATGGGAGCATTTTAGCGAAGACTCGCACCACCTCGAAGAGTTGTAACTTTCACTACACGAATGAGATTACAAGATGACATCAATACTTGTCGTTCGCAATGCAAAACCCAGTAAGCCTTCCAGTTATCCTTTGATGCGGACAGTCTTGGTAGTACGAACCGAATAGAAACCTGGTGGTAGGAGGAAACTTGCGGGCAGCAACGAAGGAGCTACAGAGAAACAAACGAGAGTGGGCGGAAGCAGCATTGCAGCTAACGATGTGCTGGGGGGAGGTGAAAGGAAATTTGTCGGCCCTAATAGATCGATCTGTATGAATGTTGGGCCACGGTTCTGAGTGCAAGGATCTTGGAACCCTGGGCAAGAACGTTTGAGTATTCATCGGCGCAGTGAGGTAGCGCGAGGCAAGTAAGTATAATTGGCATTTTGGTGGGGTTGACAGCGTCCTTGCTAGGTGACTTGACGCTCGGAATTGTCGTTGAACAGGCTCGTGGTTGAAGGTGGGTGGCCGAGACCGCGACGTGACGCCATGGACATGCCACACCACTGTTTTTCCCTGGCAACGTTCAATGCAGAGACCTACTAGGATTCATCACTAGAGCTAGAGGAGGCCATGGATGCATCGCTAGACTATCATTCAAGTTCAAGCCTTTGAGCCAACTGCAGTCTGAGTGAAGGATTGAAGGGCCAGGGGGTGGAGTCTGGTTCATCGAGGAGATCGAATGGAGACATGCGAGATCGAAGAGTTAACGAATGTTTGAACTTGAAGGCTTGAGTTGACGAGGTAAGGTTGAGGTAGCAGTCACATTTGTGACCGATTTCAGAGGGCCATCATTTTTTTCGTTCTGACTCTTTTGACTCACACAAACTTGAAAAACCAACGACAGAACAAAGATTCAGAACACGCTCCCGATGCCGCGCATTCTGTTCGTCAGCGGCTTCCACCCGTCCACCCGGGCCCGCGAGCTTGCCGTGCGTGCCCGTTTCCCTCGCATCCTTTGTGTGGCCGCTGATGGGCCATTTTAGTATGAATTCGAGCGGTGCGTATACGTTACCCCGCCATTCCCCCGCTCGTCAAAACAGACGCCCACAACAACAACGACAACAGCAATGGAATCGAAAGACTGACTGAATGCTGACAGGTTTGGCCCCCTTATCCGCTGCGATGTGCCCGCCCCCCGCAACCCAAATGCGCCCGTCAACCCGTGAGTAGTCTATCTCTTCCTCCTTTCCCCCTTCCTCCCCTCTTTTTATTGGCGGCTGGCGGGCAGTCGAGGACGAACGAACGAATGCCGAACGATGCGATGTAACGAAGAACGCTGCGCAATTGTCGATGCCGGTGCCGATGCCAAAAAGACAGAAAGAGCGAAAAAAGAAAAATTAAACGTTCGCCGCTGCAAAAGAAAAAGAAACCGTTCGCGATGGCGATGGCGATGATCAAGCAACGGCCAAGACCATCCGCGTCGATGATCAAACAAAATACTCTCGTTCCTCAATTCGTTTTGCTTTGCTTTCCTCAAACTCGCTACGATACGCTATGCACCCTTCTTTCCTCAAACTTCCCAAACTACGATCGCTCAACGACCGCTCTCGGCCCCGCAGTTATGCCTTTGTCGAGTTTCGCAGCACCCGAGACGCGGAGGACGCCTACTATGATATGTGTGTCTCATTTTCTTCTTTCACGCTGACTACCACGACTAATGCATTTGGTCTGGTAGGCACGGCAAGACATTCGACGGTTCGCGGCTGAGTATCCAAGTACACTTTTCTTGTTTCCTCCCATAGTAATCGCTGACTGGCTTTTTCTTGCAGTGGGCCAAAAACCCACCTTCTGCTGTCTGGCGTACGGAACGCCCTCCCAGATCACGCGACCGGGACCGTGAGCGGGATGGGGGCAGAGACCGCGAGCGAGACCGAGACCGTTCGCGCAGCCCGCGGCGTCGAGATGACCGGGACAGAGATCGCGACCGCGATAGAGACCCCAAGGATCGCGAAGACGATAGAGACCGGGACAGAGACCGTCGTCGCCGTAGCCGTAGTCCACGTGACCGCCGCCGGAGCGCCTCACCGAAGCGCGACCGGGAGCGCACCCCTGCACTAACCGGAGACGCGAATGGCAGCGGCAGTGCTGTCCACAAAGAGGACACGCCTGCTTAGAAGAAAAGCCTGGCAAAATAACAAAACAAACGCTGCGACATGTATCTTGGTCCTTTCTTGACGTTTTATTCTCTGTATTCTACCCTAATTACCTCTCAAATATGAAATGAAAAAAGTTGATCGTCGCATAGTTTGAAAGGACTTTGATCACAGCTACAAGTACAAGTACACCTACTTATTCACTGGCTATCAAATCCAGCTCACCCAGATCGACTCGACTAAAATCCCGATCCCTGACCCTTCTAGTCGCAATCTCGCGCTGTGTGAGCCACATATGGGCGAGCTGGACCAAATCCCTCGCAAGCACAAAGACACCAAATCCGAGGGCATTGCGCCACCACACGGGGTCACACTCGTCAAGTTTGCGGACATCGCCCCAGACCGCACCAAGGACGAATCGCAGTGCCTTGCCCACATTGAGCCCGTGGCCAGTTTCGGCATGCATTCCGCTGCCGCCAAAATGGACACCAAAGCTGACGGCCGAGCTTGGCGCGGGCTCGACGAGCTCCTGGGCCGCGCGGCGCCATAGTTCGCGTGCAGAGTAGCGCCGGAGCTGGGGTGGGGGCATAATGCCGGTCCATCCGGGCCGGACACCGAGGAAGCGGCGGAGCAGGCCAAAACGCTGCGACAAGCGCAGGAGGAATTTCCCCATTGTGCTCGCAATTGCTGGCGCAAGAAGAGCACCGCCAATTAGCCGGCCCGCGCGCCGCATATCGACAGAGATTACTTGTCTGTTGGGGTCGTCTGCATTGGCGTTGTTATTGTTGTTGTTGTCAGCGTTGTTATCGCCCGCTGCTCGTTCCATGTTGTCAAGTAACCTCTGGAGCAGCGTTGGCCGCACTCCTTGCTCATTCGCATTCCGCTCTCTCCCCGCCGCGGGACTCGGCATGCCCATTACCCATCGCGAAAAACGCAGAAAGTAGTAGCGGTAGAACCGCCTGCACAGCGGGAGCAACACAAACCCAAAGAAGAAGGGTGAGGGCGGCCAACCAGATGCAGTCACTGGCAGTGGAGGCGTGTTATTATTGGTGGTGTCTACAACGCGGAGGTCGTCCAGTCGGGGAAATGCGAAGGCAAATGCGGGCCAGGTGGCGAGGATGGCACCAAGGGGCTGAGGAATACCGAGTCGGGCAAGGATGAGTGAGGCGGGGATCATGACGATATTGGCTTTCGCGACGAGTGGCCATGACGATGTGTCGTTGGTAAGTGTTAGGTCGAATACTCTGTCTATTCGTTAGTTGGCGTTGAAATCGAGCAAAACCAACGCAACTCGTTGCCAATATACGACCTCAACGCCCACGCGCCATAGTTGAGCTGCGCGCGATACACCGCTGCATCCCGTGTCAGCCGGACCCACAAACGATGAATAACACACACACCTCTCACCACAAACCCAAACCCGACCAAATAGAACCCCAGATCGACGCCGCCCAGATTCCTGTCGACTGCCCGAAGGAAGCGGAGCACGGCCGGGTTCTGGCTCTCCACCTCGTAGGGCGTCTTGCACTGCGGGCACTGCCGGGCCGTGTTCTCCCGCCCCGTGCCTTCACTTGTCCGGATCCACTCCAGTAGACACGCCTCGTGCGCAATCAGCGTGCAGTTGCATGGGTGAACAAATCGTTTGGTGGACGGGCTGTCGCCTGGGGGAAAATCGAGGGAAGATACTCGTGAGGAAAGAAAAAGTGATGGCAAATGGCATACCTTGCTCTTCCTCTCGACAGATGTAGCACAACTTCACCCGCAGGTCCGCAAGCGTCGGCGCACGCCCTTTGCCCTTCTCGTTCGTCATGGTGGTGGTTTGGAAGATCGTCGTCGGTTGATCGGATCACATAATAGACCAGGATGAACACAACAGATGCTTTCGAGCAATGGCCATCTTGATCTTCTTCGTGGGGTTGAATTTCAATCGTAGATCTATGAGTGTGTGCGAATGTGGTCAAACTCGTCCTCTGCAACATCACGGATCTTGTGCCTATCTACCAAAACGCAAATCTGTACAGCAAATAAGGAAACTTGGACGGCTAACCAGTTACTTGAATATAGATGCACCAGCTTGGAGCTTTAATAGCTATGCAATTTGGAGTATTTTAGATTATATTAGGAATTGCTTGCGGTTTGAAACATTTTATAATGTTTGTATTTTCTTCTTGCACAGGCCGAACCTGACTTTTCTGGCCAAGCCACCAACAAATCCTCTGTTGTATACCAAGTCCTAATCGACCTCTAGCACCGTCCCGCGCTGCACACTCCCCCACCCCACAAGCCGCCAGTGCTTCTCGATTCTCCGCGACAACGCAACCTTCTCGCCGATTTCCGTGCAGGCCGGCGCTGTCAGCTGGATCTTGGCCAAGTCCGCCTTGATGTTGAGCACTCGCCCGCCAGTGGAGGTAGACCCGATGTTGATCAGAAGCAGCTCGTTCTTCACCAGCTTCGACACCTTCGTCTGCTTCTTGTCGTCCGTTTTGACACCCAACAGCCGGCGCAGGAGGAACAGGTTGATTTCGAGTTCTACCAACAGTTATCAGCCACGAAGGAAAAAAGCTGGAGTTTCCTTACCGGTATATATACTCGGCAGCTTGCCCACCGACCCCAGTACCTGCCCCACCAATCTGTCTGCTCTACAAAGTGTCGGGTCTATCCGAGTGCCGACACCAATCAGGCCTCCAGGGACGGCAAACTGGAGGAGATTGTTCTCTGCATGGAGGGACATAATCTTGCTGAATATGGGCGTGCATTTCGTGCGGCCCTGGTTGTCCTTTGTGACCACCCCAGGCCGGATCTCGACGTCCATGCCGATTTTCAAGACACCCGTCAGAATTGACCCACCCGCCACACCGCCTTTGAGGTCGTCGACTTCAGCGCCAGGCTTGTTTACGTCAAACGAGCGGATGACAATCAGACGCGGGTCAGAGGTGAAGTCCCGCACGGGAATGGGGATCCGCTTGACGATGTATTCGTTGACCGCGTCGATGTTATACTTCAGTTGGGCGGAGATGGGGACAATGGGTGAGGATTCGGCGACAGTGCCTGGAAAAAGTTAGAAAAGCAAACAGACAAATGAGATGCGAACACACCCTTGACAAACGCGGCAATGCTCTTCTGGTGCTCCAACGCCTGGGTCTCCTTGATAAGATCGACCTTGTTCTGTAATATAATGATATGTTCGAGCTTCATGATTTCCACTGCCGCCAGATGCTCGCTCGTTTGTGGCTGGGGACATGTTTCGTTCCCCGCAATCAACAACAGCGCTGCGTCCATCACGGCCGCCCCGTTCAACATCGTCGCCATGAGAATGTCATGGCCAGGGCAGTCGACAAAGGACACATGCCGAATGAGCTTCATGCGCGAGTTGCAGCCAGGCCGCTCGCAGGGCGGGTTGTCCTCCTTGTCGGACCGATACGACCGATAACAGCCTGGTCGAGGACATGCAGCATTTTCGCATTTGTATATCTATAGCAGCTGGTCAGTAAATGGAATGGGAAAAGAGAGCTGCAGACACACTTTCGCATTCGCATACCCCAATTTGATAGTGATGTTTCTTACTAGCTCATTTTTGAACCGCACCGTCATCACGCCTGAGATGGCCTTGACCACGGTCGACTTCCCGTGAGCGACATGTCCGATCGTCCCTTCATGCGCTCTCAGCTGACGACATCTCGCTTCAAAAAACACACACCCAGATTAATCGTTGCCTATCGCCATCAACATCGAGCAAACAGAAAAAAGCCGGTGCCAAACGCACCTGTTTGGAAATGACTTGCGGGGACAACGGCGTCAGCGTTGTAACGTCGATCTGGATATCGGGGACCGTCTCCTCCACGTCGTCCTCCGATCCCGATTGGTCTTGTTCTGGTTCTTTTTGCAGTGTTTCGTCGCCAGCCATGATATGATGTTGGGGCGTATATCAAGGAGAGGGAAATAAAGGGAGGGTTTATATACCCAAACGCCTACCAAGTCGAGTCCAAAATTGCGATCGTGACTCGGTCGTCACGCGTGACATGCTTATGTCACCGGCTCCAAGATTAGATTTAGCGTGACGTGTATGTGACCACTTTCTCTTGTTTGAACACTATCCCCAGAGCACGACGCGCCATGTCGCAAGGTATAGTATAATATCGCCAGGCGCAAGCCTGCCCGTTTCCGACTCACCGTTGTCAAGGATTCGACCTGGACTATCTCAGTCATACGGAGAACGACATGAACAACCGTCCGCCGTCGCCTTGCGCCGAGAACCCAGGTCGGGTATGTCTTACTGTTGGCTTATTGCTCTGAAATAGCACTAATTCATATTAGGTCTACCCGCGTTCTGACCCCGCAAAAGCTGTCCGTCCACCACTCTTCGAGCGGTCCTCCCCACGCTACGTTGGCAACCCCTACCTCATGAACGGTGCCTTCAAGAAGCTGGACCATTCGCTCGGCGAGATAATCGCGTTGCTCGAAGGCGAAGAGGCCAGCTCCGTCCTTGATGAGGAGAACCCGCTTTTAGAGAAGTTCCGCATTTGGCGCGACGAGCTCGACGGCATTCGCGCCACTGGTGGCCGTGCAAACAGCAATGGCAGCGTCACACAGCTCCCCACACCCTCCCGCAGTCGCTCCCCCGTCCGTCGTGAAGGTGGTCTATTCGTCGATTAATTTTGGAGGGCTTTCTTTTTGTTGGACAATTAAACAAAATTTGTAACACATCCCTAACGTCTGTTCTTCTCCCTCGCTCTGCAGCACAGAAGTCGTCCTTCGAAGTCGTCCTCGTGGTAATCACCACGTTGTCGCAAGCGTTTGCCCATCGTTGCAATATGACGAATTCCCGTCGTCATCCCGGGGTCACGCATTCTAATTCCTGCCGGCGACCCGAGTTTAGCATGCAAAGAGGAGCGCAAGATGTCTACCTGCGACATTTCAGACTAAACGTACAGCCTGGAATTGTATTCAGCAAATCGCAAGCTCCGAACTATAATTCAAAACCAGCCAACATCTGGCAAAGAAGTGTCCGCCAACGTTCATTCCCAAAGTCGAACGTGCCGCGCGCATCTAGCTATAGGCCTGACACTGTTGCAATCCTGTCCAACAACGCGATTCCGCAACAATTCCGTACCGGTCGATTCATTGTTCAAGCGGATTCGAATTGTGAAACCTCGTGTCGTCATTTGCGTAGCACTCGTCCAATGACAAGCAGAAGAGGCAGCGCAAGATCACAATGTGAAGGGTTTGCTCAAGAGGCTCCTGAAATCAAACTTCCTGTCTACCTCAAACTTGAATACATCCACTCCTCAACCATCACCATGCCTCTCTGAAATTAAAAGCCTCCCACGCAGTGTTCCTTTGTTGTCGATGTATGGGCTCTGGGGGTGCATAAAATGGTTGGGGAACTTGGCCAGTAGCCCCTTGAATGTGCCAATCTCTTTGGAGACGTATCTCCGTATTGTGCCCACAATGTTGCTTTCGTATGGCTTGGATGGGCACTCAACAGAGTCGATTATAAGCGTGGCACTTGCGAATAATGGCGCGCTATCATTGTTGAGAGCAGCGTAAGCAACCCCTCACCATTTACGATAATGTAGGATTTAATGTACTACCACGTTCGTCCTGGGAAAGAGACATCAATTCTAAGTATGCGGCAAGAAAGACAAAGGGCAGTCACCAAACGCGATGAATTCAAGCAGTATAGACTTGGATACCTTCATGCGTTTCTACAACTCCTTGATCTCAAATTAAAGCCAACGACGAACTTCAGGCTTGCTAGTGTCGCCGGGAAAAGTGGCACTTCTTCTTTTGCTGCCAAAAAGGATAACGAGCGTAAGAGCCCTTCAAGACGAACGTCAATGGAACGTGTACAATATATACTCAGGAACTTCTACATTACATGGACAATCAACTGTCGACGCGCCTCTCCGAAATCGAAAGACTGCCGCACAGCGTCCCTTCACTATCGATGTACGGGCTCTGCGGATGCATGAAAGGGTCTGGAAACTTGGCCAGCATGCCCAGCCCGCTGATCACGTTGGAGGTGTGTCTTCGAATCAGGCCCGCAATGGTGTATTCGTACGGCTTGGATGGGTCCTCGAAATAGTCAATTATCAGCGTAGCGTTGACGAATATCGGCGCGCTGTCATCGTTAAGAGTGACATAAACATGCCACCGGCCGGCGTCCTCGCCCTCGCCCGCTGCGGTAACATAGAATTTCATGTAGAACATTCTTCCTGGAGGAGGCATCAGCTTTGAGCTGTGTGTACTGATACAGCGAAGAACGTTACTAACCAAACGCGATAAACTCGAGGATTATGAACTTGGACATCTTGAGGCGTTTCTGGAACTGCTTCAACTGGAAGCCAACGACGAAGGGCATGTTGGTGTCGGCAGAGAACTGAGAGAAGTGAAGGATGTCGGCCACTTGTCCCTCGAGCAGCCTCAGATCCGTGGCTGTTGGTGCTGAGTAAGATCGTATGCATTGGAAAAGCCAGGTGTCGCCGGCGTGGAGACAGGCCAGCCGAGCGTCAGCGGTAGCGTCGGGCGTGAGTGGCTTCATGAATGATAACAACTCTTGAATCAACCTGGGCAATGCCTCTTCTGCCTGCCAGCTCTGGCCCACTCTCTTCTGCAGCTCCGTGTCTGGCAGCGGAAGCACTTTGCGTCGCTTCACGATGGCCCAGTACAGCGCCGTATGTCCGTCGATAGACTTCTCCCGCAACATGCCTCCCAAATCAACCTTGTGTGTTGCACAAATCTTGCTGCAGTCCTCCAATATTCCGAAGCCTTCTGTTTCCGTATCGATGTTGTTCTGCTTGAGAAGGAGGTCGGTGAGGATCTTCTGCACACCTGTCTTCACTTTCTGTAACACTTTGGGGCTGCCAATGCCAATTTTGCCCATGTACTTCTCGTAGGACCGCACGCCAACGTCCTTTGCTTTCAGGTGCGAACGTGACGAACTCGACGCCAAAGGTTTGGCAGCTTGAGAGGCATTTTTCTTGTCGGAGCGCGAGCTAGAGGCCCCGGTGCTGTCGTATGCGGGTGGGACGTCGGAATCGACCATGGAATGATAATGGAGCTAAGCATTCACGATGAGGTCGTACTTATATAAAGGGCGCCAAGGTCTCATGTCAATGATCGGGTCATTCAAAGCTGTTCGCCAGTCTTCCGAAAAGGAATCTATAAAGGTAGTTGCCTGATACACGTTCAAACTTCCAATTGGCCAAGAGAGAGAGGTTCACCTTGGGTTCACCTCAAATGGGCTCGAAGTCGATGTCAAAGTCAACTGGTCATTACGCTACTGTTGATCCGATCTTTTGATGCGTGACGACCAGTGACTCTGATCTCCATACGTATCAGAGTCACTCCTCGTGATCGTGTTGACGCTGTTGGACCTGACATCCATGTTGCCCTCAAGCCATACCCTTGAAAGTCTCCAGACCATGTCAAACTCGGCGCTTGGTGTGCTTTCAAAGACCTTCAAACACCGAAATCGATTGTGCTAAAAAAAGCTCCGTCTTCCCCTGATTGTGCGAGTGCCTTCCAACTACGGCTCAGGAGCGGCTCAGGAACACACTAAAAGCTTTGACTTGGATCGAAATTCAATGCATCCAGCCGCCCTCAAACCCATACCCAGTCAGATTTGTGGCCAATCGAGGTGGCCCGTGGCCCAAAGTCTCAATCCCGAGGGCGTACCCGAACAAAGCTTGCTTACTCACGAATAAGCCGTTAACGAGCGATGCATCGACCCCTTGGAAGTGCAGAATATCCCAAAGCGCCCCGTCAGCGGCGGGGCCACGAGCTTGTACTGGCTGGCGTTAGACACCACCGGAGCAGGATTTTCCTGATCCGTCTCCTGATCGTCCAGCGCGGGACATGGATCCCGCGTCCGTGCATACTTGCGGGTAGATTTTGGGGGTAGTGTGGTGGGCCCTGGAGTCTGAAAGCGCGTGGCTGGGCTCGGTGGCTCCGGTTCGAAACCGTGACCCTCTTCAAGTTCTCTGTTTCGATGATGGCGCCGTTTACCAGAACTGGTTTTCTGACGAGCGACTCGGAGCTCCTTGGCACGGCACGCGTAAGTGTAGACTCGGTGGCGCGCTGCCTTGGCCGCGAAAGCATCTGGCGCTGATCGCAAGTCAAGCATAGCGTAAGGCAAATTCGAGTGACGCGACTTACGAGGCATAGCAACACATAAATCCTTACATTCATTTGAATTGTCGGGATGTGCGAAGAAATCTGACGATGCGGCAGTGCAAAAGGCATGGGCTGTGATCCGCCTCGTTGGTGACGGTGTCTGGGACTCTTGGTCCGCAGGTGGTAGGGCAACTTGAAGTTCTTGAACGTTTGACCATCCTTCCTCCGGGGACGACTGCGCGCCACTTGCCCCACGTTTGACAACAACGAAATTGCTGCTTAAGCGCACCAGCAAGGCGTTTGTCCGAGCTGCCGAGATCACAAAGCAAACTCAAATTAGCAACCGGGGGCTTGCAAAGCAACCATTTGCATATATTTACCTTTGAAAGCGGGATCGACTTCGTGGCGTCGCGCTCTGAGAAGTCTTAATAGATCGAAGTACACCTCTTTTTGCTGCTGGTCATCTGTGGCGCAAGAGGTAAATAGATGCAGGCGCATCCCTGCTGATTCCAGTGTGTCTCGCGCCGTCTGGTCGTGGCGTTTGAAGGATTACTTGAATACAGCGTGGGGAAACTTACCTCGATTAAACGAATGATCTGTCGGGGGCAAAGAAGGTTGAGAATACTTACTACACTACTGCTGAAATTTTACCTTGACGCTGCTGCTCAGAAATTTGTCAGCCGAGAGGTTGGCAGGAGAAATGGTGGCAAGGAGGCTCTGTGCGGCGGCGAGGAATACATCAGAAGTATGGGACTGTAACGCCGACCACAGGTGGGCTACGTCCGCCGGACGGTCGAGCGAGAAATTCGGAGTGAGTGTGCTGTGGCGGATGAGTGGAGGCTTAATGGGATGTGTGGGTGACATGAGTGTTGGGAGCAAGCTTGATATCGATGTGCTTGTGCTTGTTTGTCGCCCACGGTAGACAAAGCCGTTCGGCATTCTCCGGGTCCTCCCTCTCCCAGCCGCCGGACTCCGGATCTCAAATGCTGTATTCCCGAACGAGTCACCGAGTGCTAAACGCTGGCACAAAAAACCGGAGGCAATGGTATAGGAAGGCTATTTGAGGCAGCAAAGTGGCGTTGACTCGAAGCTTCCAGAGTCATTGGTAGAAAGTATCCTTTCATGTCACGCTGGGCCGCGGCAGCACTTGAGGCCTCACAAACAGTGTCTACCGCCGCACTTTCAGCTCTTTAAGATCTCAACATCACTCGTATCACTATGGTCGCATTCCTGGTAATCTGCTGAGAAAAACCATCGACCAAGTACGCGGCTTGTGAACGGGTTCCTCGTTTTGCCTCCAGCGGCCAGTGACAAACTCTAAGAGATCTTTCAATCTTCGTCAGAGTCATGACACATGACTCTTGCTGAAAGTCACCCACAGTTGATTGGACGCAATTGGCTGATGTCCAGAGTACTAGTATGGGCGATGAGCGGTGTCTTCCTGGATCGCTTGGCCGAAATCATAGTCTCAGGATAGGTCTATGACGGCATACTACCGCACGTCAGAGTCCAGAATACTACCCAAAGTGGTAAAACTTTCCTCACCGATCCAAGTATAGGGTCTTACGAGTAATCCATCCTGTGGAGAGCCTGAGCAAGACGATATGCACATGGTATCTAATATGGAGAGTTGTAAGTCGTGGGTTTCGAGCACTTCAAGCGGAATGAACCAATTATATTGTCAATGGGCAGAGCCCTGTACGACATCTCGATGACTGCTTGTCGCTGGACTGGCTGGTTACTCGCTTCAGGGTTTGATATGTGCGTTGGAGGGTATCAGGTGAATTTATATGTCGGGGCTTGATTTTTAACATCAGACACAGGTGCATGGTATGTTCAATAAAGAGTGACGCTCGAAAGATGGTTGCGAAGTTTAGATCTTGAAAAGCGGAGACCAGAGGCGCGAGGGGTTCAGAAGCGATAGAAATTGGTCCTCAGCATGTATTTCATCTTGAAAAAATCAAATTTATGTGCGAAATTCCATCCCAGCAAGAAAGACGCGATTGTCCCATTTTGATGGTGGTGGTTCCCAAAAGAAGATTCGTGTGACATGACGCGTGATGTGACACAACAATTTGACTTCGGACCGCGATGGAGAGCCTCGCCAATATTCAACGCCTTGAGAGACAGAAGAAAGCTGATCTGAAGCGTCAAATAGCGCTACTCCAAGCGCAGATGGGCGACCTTCCGGACTCAGACCCCGAAGAGTCGCCCTCACCCAAACGACAGAAGCTAAACAATGTCCTTGCGCCTGCCACTCCTTCTCCTAGTATGTTGTCATCAAACATATCCTACAGTATATAATTGCCACTAACAGAGAAGAAGACGCGCTCTCCCCAAGTCAACACGCGTCCGGCGCTCCAGGCGTTGACCCTGACGAAGATTGCTCCAAAGAACGAGTTTGTCCCATTCCGACCAACAGCATCAACCGTACTCTCCAAGCTGGCCAACACGAAACCATCCCAGATTGATGATATGGAGGTCGAATCTCTGCCACGGTCAACCGCATTTACCGATGCACCCAAGGCGCCTGAGCCTATCGCTTCAACTTCCGTACTTCAACGGGACGAGCGGCTGGCTCTCGTGGAGACGCTTGAGATGGGTCCATATGAACACACAGCGCCATTTGACGACCCAAGATTTGAGCAAGTCGAACCCAATTCCGGTATTCGGCTGATGTGCGTTGTCTACACTCCTGGGGTCCAACTAATTGTTTGGTCACTAGTTCTCGGGCCATACCACATGAGGACGTGCAAGACTACCTACGCGGCCGCTACTATCTCTCTCCGTCGCGCCTATACTCCTCTATACGCCTTCTGCCCAATCAACAAGGCTACGATGTTCCCGTCGATGGTGACTGGATAACGATTGCTGTTGTGGCTGAACGGGGGCCGTACAAATACAGCAAGGCTCCCGTAGAGGTATCTCGTGATGAAGACGACACCGATATCAAACACAAGAGAAAGGGGAAGGAAAAGGACAAATCTGATGAGCGCAAATCAAGCGGGAAGCGCTACGTAAACCTGAAGCTTGTCGATTTTGGACGAGGAAGTCGGTCAAAGTCCTCAGCCACTGGAGGAAAGACGGTCATCGGTGGCGATGCACAATTGTCGCTTCTCTTATTCGAATCCGACGGCTTTGATGTTATCGAAGAGCCAGATGGGTCATCTAGAAAGATTCATCGTGGAGGCAGTCGAGGCGCCTTCGAGGAAATCGCCGATATCAGAGAGGGCACTGTTCTTGCACTTCTCAACCCGCGAATTCTCAAGCCATTCCAAGTGAGTTTCTTCGTGTTTTCGTATCTCTCCTCAACTTCGCCCAGAAATCAGAGAACCCTCATCCTACCACCAATATCCTCGCAGTCACTCCTGAATCTGGCTCTTCAGTGCTTGTTCTAGGACGATCCAAGGATCTCGGACGATGTTCTGCCGAAAAACGAGATGGGAGCACTTGTGGAAGCTGGTTCGACAAACGCGTCAGTGAGGTATGCGAGTGGCATGTTCAGTATGCGGTGACCCAACGTCGTGCTGGAAGGGCAGAATTTGCGGCATCAACATCTGGTCTTGGGTCCACTGCCAAAGCATCGAAACGCAAAGGCGATTATGATCCAAGGAAGAAGTGGGGTCTGGCTCCCTTGGATGCAGAGAAAGGACCGACATATGTCTTCAGTGGACATGTTGTGGGGGCAGCAGATGTGAAGGAGTCAATGCGGGTTGCAGAGAATATGGGGAGGGAGGGGCAAGCAAAAGCTAGTCGCAGGATGGCTGCTAGAGATGAGGACCTCAAGATTATGAAAGCATTGGGAAAACGTGGCGGAGACAAAGCCCAATCATCGAAAGAGCTGCCAACCAAAGATAATGAGAAGGACTTGGAACTCAAGCCAAAGATTACCATTTCCGCGTCCAAAACAGCGTACACTCCCGAACTGATACAGCGTATTGGATTTGACCCAACGCTGAAACCCGGCCAACGGCGAAGCAGTAACATGGGGTCGCGCAACAAGGTGCTGTTATTTTACTATATACTCATGTTTCTTAACTAGTCGCCCAGTTGGACCAACTTGCACGACTGACTGCTGATCGTGAAGTCAAACTTGGGCCGAAACCTGGTGAACGGCTTATGACCACGGTTCGCGTACCCCAGTCAGCATTGGGTTCGAAAGCTACGGCAAAGCCCGACGTGCAACTGGATTCGGACGATGAGTTGCCTGCTTGCTTGACTTTGTCCAAAGTGAAGTCGAATGATGACAAGATGGTTGACTTGGATTCGGACTCAGACTAAATAAATGTAGCCTCGATATGTGTTGGAATTCGGACATGAACGCGTAGTTTTGATTTTTCAGCATACAAACATATTGCTCTATCAGCACCAAATCCCAGCCCGCCAGCCAATCGGAGGAAACGCTCATGCAACGAGGGTGCTAGCAGTAGCCGAGTCGTATTTGAATGTCGGTGGGATCTGCTGCTTCGTCTTGTAGTAACGAGCGAGTCGATGGATCCTCGACTCGATGAGAATGAGACGGAATTTGGAGTCCTTGTCCTTTCGGTTCACCTCCAGGTGTTTACGGACGGCGACAGCCTTTTTGACGAGGTGCCAAAGGTCCTCAGGAATAGAGGGACCAAGACCTGCGGAAAACATGAGGCTGGCAAGGGAAATAACGTGCATAAGAACGCACCCTGGCTCTTCAAGATACGCAGAATCTTGTTGCCCGTCAGGAAACGGACTTGTGGGATGCCGTGCGAGTCGCGGAGGGTAACACCAATTTGGGAGGGCGTCAGACCCTTGCGAGCGAGCTTAACGATGTGCTCGACAACCTCCTCGGGTGTGGTCTTCAGCCAGGTCGGGGGAGCGCGACGATAGGGGAGGGCAGAGGACGCTATTGTTTTGTTAGAAAAGATTCGTTTATCGGTCGGATAGGTTGCGACATACAAATGCCCTTTCCGGGAGCGTGCATGCGACCCATGATAGATGCTGGCGTATATTTAGTCGATAAGACGGGAAATTTGCTGCTACGCACAAGTTTTGAAGTGGTCTTGAGGAAGGCTTGGTGTTGGTGTCGGTAGTGATGCGCAAACCCAAATTCAGAGATGCGTGACACTACACAGTTTGCTGTTGTTGACATCAGGGGCTGTCGGCATGATCGGCAACACGTCACACACACGCCCGAACTTGATCCGATTCCCCATGCCATGGAACAGGGACGCAGAACTGCAGAACTGAGTTCACTGAAAATTTGGACGACTGTACGTGAACATGTAACTATTCTGCTGTTAACCTATCCGGCTACTTCCGAGTCTACAATTTCATTGGGCCACCCACACCGCTTGCCAGGAACAAACCATGGCTTTCATTCCTAGAATGGCAGTAAATGTGGAGACTTGCATGTGCTCTCCGGAAGATGCTGATTTCATTTCGGTGAACAGACGGAACCAACACCCACAGACCCACCGAACTCTTCTTCAACATCGAGGAGTCATCGAGTGGCATGTCCTTGAGTGTCGCTCCCGCTGGGAACGGTACAGACCGTACAGTAAATAGTCGCTTGCCAGGGCGAATGCCAATCGATCGCACCGCCGTTCACTGTAGGCGCCAACGGGAACTTTAAACTATGAATACAACCCACGCGGTAATTAAGCTGTGTTGGCAGATCGCCTTCGGTAAATGTTGCACGAGGGCGGTGCACATTCAAGTTCCCGCAAAAACTTGAAAAAAGTCTAATAAATTGATTCAAAACGGACTATGTGCGCAGTACAGGCAGCACGATAAATTATATATCTGCATGGCACAAACTCTATTAAAATGCTTCATCTGGGGTGTCTGCTTTGATTGCGACAGACGCTCGAGTCCACAGGCTCAAGTTTAGTACCACAGCACCGTCCATAGACGTTGACCATACAACACGCAAACACGGGAATTCGAAGACGCGATTGTTCAGGAGAGTCAGGGTGAGTGGTAGGACGAAGAACGAGTTCACGAACTGGAAGAAGTCGATCATACGGGCTTCTCCCACTTCCGCGCAATGTATCGTTCTGTTCAAGGCTGACAGTAACGTTACCAGCCATCGAGAGCTCCAATGCGTCTAGTATGACGTCCCCGGAGATAGTGAATGCAGAAGACACCGCAAGAAGCAGATCGTGCTTCTGGATAAAGCTACCGAGGGTAGTACCAGACCCTGTTTACCATTATTGAGCAATTGGTTCTTCTCGGTCGGGAGAGCACTCACAACTGTCTTCTACCCACCACAGAACCATTAGGTCTTGTGGATCAGCTTGAATTTGACATTGTGCTAGCAATTGCCCTGGACCCACCGGTTTTAAAAAAGATAATACAATAGAGCGTGCAAACATACTGTGCCAAATTAGCTGCGGCGCGATCCCCAGCCAAGTATCACGACGCCAGTGAATGGAATATCTCGGAGAGTTCAGCCAGCATGCTTGTTGAACAATGCTTGTGTCGTGCAAGGAAGGAAGTTCATAATGCGCCGCCCGGATATGTTGAAGGGAGCCAAAGGAGTCCATAGTCGACTGAATTGCGAGCAAATACGCCGAGAGACTCTTTTATAATGCTTGTGAGCAGTCCCGAAGCAGTGTACCCAGCGTCATCGTCTAGCTGTGAAATCAAGTCTTTCGGTAGATGCGCGTCCGAAAGTCCGTAGAATACAGGCAGAGCGCGGATTTATCGCCTCGAGGCGCGACGCCTTGAACATTCAAGATGGTAGTTTGAAACTTGCACGGATTTAGGACGCGATTGGTCGTCGGTTGCTCTTGGCTTCATAGCTTTCGTTGCTCAGAATTAACTGCATCTCGTGCATGATCTGAAAGGGGCATTTGAGATTTCCATAGATCTAAAGCACCAGGATCAAGTAAGAATCAACCTTCAGCCAAGTCATACGCTGCCAAGGGGAACCAAAGTAGAAAAAAAAAGCTAGGAGGCCTTCGCGGCCTTGGTGAGAAATATGTAGTCCAAGATACCACTTGATTGATCAGAGGATTTTGGGCGGGCGCTGCCACGAAGATGTCAAAAAAACCTTGCAGCACTGCCACTATCGATGCTATATCGGTTGCATGCGGGCACACCGAAAGATCAAGCTAATGGTCCATCATAGAGTTCAGGAAAGCTTGAGCCATAGACCGCTGTGCCAAAAGAACTGAAGACTGGAGTGGTCGCTCTGTAGGCGATCGTCGAAGGCGCGGAAATCCGATCCGAGGAGGGTCGACCATGAACGGCGTCAGTACACACACATACACTCGGAGAGAAGATTGTCTCTTTGATATGCCGACACCGTCAATAAGCCGTCGGGACATGGTTACTTGGTTCAAATTTTGGGATAATCCCGTCCGCCTCATTGGTTGACCCCAGGATAGAACCACTGTTATCCGAGACAAACGGAGCAAGTATCACGCTTCTGTGTCGTTGCTGGAAGTTGAAGTTGGGAATCAACTTGACGTGAGCCCTGTGCATATTGTGTGCAACGTTACTATGCACTGTAATGCCAGTACCTCAGATAGAATGCCGTTCAAATCGGTTTGCTTGCTAACGGCTCCTCGATAACATTCGGTCCGATATCCATGTTGAGGGCTAAGGTTGATCCACTGGCAGGGTAGAGTGGTGGGCGGAAGTACCAACAATGCAAGTCGTCTCGTGTTGTACCTGTATGTACTAATAAGTTACTGCGCGACGCTTGCAAGAAGAGCAAAGAATACTTTGCAAGTTTCACAACTCATTCTAAAGATTTCTGTCGTGTCCCTTCGAGGCGTGCTAGGCTGTTGAGTAGTCTCAGTTGGCACGCGGCACGCCAGGGTCGCAGATTGACTGACAAACGTCACCGGTCCCTGGGTAGAGCCCGCATGTCGTAGCAAGCGCCAAATAGCAGCGCAAAGGTCAAAACCCAGTTCTGACGCTTGAGAGTGAGTTGCGGATTGCCCACGTGACACTTTTGCACTCAGTCACCATTTGCTCGGTTTACTTATGTATTGCATCTTGTATCCCTCTGAATTAACTGCACACATCTGAAAGCAGATCTGGTCATCTAAGAGCAGTACTATCAATATTTCGAGATCATCTCCAGGGACAGTATACTTACCGGGTACCCCTTGCATACCCTTGACCCTCGTCACGGCATAAATCGCCAACATTACTACGTCCTACTTCTACCCAATAAAACGGTTGTCATTCGAAACAAATTCAGCGCTTACGCCGTAGAAAATCAGTCTTGAGGCCACTTGATGTCCCTGTTGTGTGCTTGGATCGATTGCTATTATCCAACGCGCCCCAACAGCCAGGCTGCACCACTCACATGAAAGTATTCGAGAGTTGATTCAAGTTAGTCGAGGGCCAACCCTATTCCACCACCCTTTAGTGTGAAAATAGTACATGACGGTAAATTAGGCCACGATGGAGACATTAGGCTGTAATGGCGGACTCGGACGATCCCAAGTGTCACGATCGCCTTCGTCTGGAGGTCGCCGCCGGGGATCGGTTGGCGGTAAAGTGCGCTCTGGAGAAATGTCCGCCGGAGGTAGTGCCAGTGTCTTTTGACTGGACTCGGCATCGGCCATTTCTACATCCCGCGTGGATTCTTCTACATCCATAACAGCATTCTCCTCGTCACTCTCTTCTTCCTCCCCTTCGCTGTCCGATGCTGGGTCCATATCCATGGCCTCTTCTACCGTCATTTCTGGCATGTCGACATCACCATCCCCATTTTCAGCCTCTGCGGAGTTGGGAGTATCAAATGTTGATGAAGTAGGCAGTGGCGTGGAAGAAGACGGCCGGCCTTTCCGACCCGCTTTGTCCTTGTCCATTTTTCGCATAACCTTGGCAATGTAGTCCTGATATCTGAATCAAGCCCAGGTCAAGCATGCATATGGGGTGAAAAGCCTACTTTGGAGAATTTTTTGATCTTAGCGACCTTCTCGTCAGAAAGGGCCTCGAGCTTGTTGTCCCGATAGCTCGACGATTTTTTCTCCTTGTCAGCGATGAGTTGAGTTAGCTCAAAAGAAGATTAGATATTGAACAAATCAGACGACAACGAAAACGACACACCTCTTTGGCATACTTCTTGAACTTTTCCCGCTCTAGTCCTTTCCCATACTTGGACATGGACTTGACAACCACCGCACCGACCAATTTGAGTAAGCGTTTGTTTCGATTGGCTTCGCGCTCTTCTGGCGTTTGGGCGGCTTTTTTGGAAGACGACGATCGCTGCTTTCGTTTCTCCTTGGTCTTGCCCTCTTTCGAGATCTTTCGCTCGCTTTTCGCTTTGTCAGCCTCGGCAGCAGCGGCCGCTGCCGCATCGTCAGCAGCCTTCTGGGCAATGGCCGCCTTGATCACTGCGTCTACATCTGCCTTGGAGGCCTCGACATACACCGGCTTTTGTGGAGAGGGTAAGTCATCATCCTCGTAGTTGGGGGCTCTGGGAAGAGGAGGAACGATGTTGGTGTAACGATAGTGATGTCTTCGATCTTTGACAAAGGAGCGATATGATGATGTCGCACGGGGCGCGTAGTCATCACGAGAGGAATCTTCAAGTTGAACTTCTTCCTTTTGCGAGGAGATGGCCTCGAAGTCGTCCATCTTGACCTCGCCCTGGAGCATCATATTAATTGAAACCTATAGCGGAGCTTCAGACGTACTGTAAAGGTTCGTTTTCGTATCCTATAGGCAGTAGGCAAGGTGTTCCAATGCGCAATCAAGTTGGTAGCTGACTCCCTCAATGCCACATCTTCAGTCTCGTCTGCAATTTTTTGCACACTCGTGTTGATACAGCACATATCAATTTTGTTGCGTGTTGTCAGTGGCCAAGGTAAAAGGACCTTCAATATCTAGCCAAGGGTTAGCGACAGAAAGCATGTTGTGGGGATGGTGTACCTGACTAATGATATCGAGGTTCTTGGGGAAGTGATCATCGAGGAGCTGCTTCATAAGCGTCATGCAGCGCAAACGAAGCATCTCTCGCAGCGTGCTCTCTTCAGTTGTGAGCTGTTTAACACCATCAAGAATATTTCATGGGAGGCACAGGACAAGACCATACACTGAACCGGTCAAGCAGCTTGTGGATGAGAGCACGACTAGATGTCTGTCGAAGAGCATTGATGATCTTCGGTAATTGTGGGGTGAGAATGGGGGTGAGAGTGGGCTGGTCAGATGAGTGAGGAAATTTTGATTGGGTAAGGGGAGCAAGTCGTCTACCATGAAATCGTCATCATCGATTTTCTTGCCTTTCTTCTTCTTAGTGCCCTTCAGTTCAATGAGTTCGTCTTCGTCAGTGATACCCAAAGCTAGAGGTATATTATTATCCAGAACATTGGCCAGTTATGATCTAAAGACACACCATCGAGGTACAAATCATCGACAGCAGCAATGTCTGTCTGAGTTTTACCTCCAAGAAATCCCACGCAGTTCGGTTCGCCACAATAGCACTCTTGTGCTTTGAAGCTGAGAGGATGATGGTGAGCATATAATCATGGTATACTCAAGACGACGCACCCATAGCGATCAACATTGTAGTTGAAAGTAAGCTCCTCGTTCTTCTGGATTTTCCGCTTGGCAAAAATACCCATTCGAACAAAATCGCCCACAGTCCATTTCGCGACATAACAGTTGGGATTACAGCTATGGTTCGCAAAACGGCCTATGCCTCCGCATTTGGTAGCGTCGATGAACTTGCAATTCTGCGTCAGATCGTTTCGGGCCACTGACATTAAAACACACCTCATCCTTCTGCAGCATCATGAAGTAGAAATGCTCTATGCCTTCTTCTGCGTAATCGCGCATGCGCTTCTTGAACTGGTTGGGATTGACGACTTCTCCAACGTACTCATAGATAAACCCATCTCTGGAGGCACAAAAGTCAACACAAATTGGTCTGCAGACCGAGACCTGCCAATAAACGCACTTGGCAATCTCTTCCTCCGCTCTAAGTCCAAATCCCTTCTTTTCTGTCTTGACGATGTCAATTGAGGAGTATTGCTTGCGCTGAAACCTAAGAACTAGTTAGACTGAGTTACGTAATGTTTATGAGTGGGCGCACCGTTGGTTCTGGCAATGGTCTCCTCCACGACAGTCTGCAAGGCATTCGATTTGAGTGAGCCTGTTTATGCAGTTGTCGTGGTTCCCGCAGGTAGGAGTGCCAAGGGTGTAAGCTGGAGTATGTACGAGTCAGAACGTGTAGACAACTACAAACTAGACTGGTAGAAAAGAAGAAAAGTGGGGAAACACACCTTGAGAGTAAGCACATTCGCAGGACATGCCCTCTAAAGCCTCTCGTGACCGTCCAAGGGACTTGTTCTGGTAGGTATTAGCCTGGATCTCGGTAAATGTGTCAAGAGCATCGTCTCGGGCTATAGGAAGGTCTGCAATAAGCTGGACAGGTAATGCGACTTTTCTCTTTGAGCCTCGTGATGCTGATGCTGGTGGAGGGGTTGTTGAGCGGGAAGTGGTTTTCGAAGTCGACTTGGAGCGAGATTGTGGATGGGTGTCGGACGGGGAAGGGGACAATGGGGAACCCATGATGTCTGACTCGACTGGTACTGGTGGAATAACACTGTGCTGCTCCTCATCGTCCTTCATTGCTGCTACCCCATCGTCGAACAAACTCTGAGGTGGTGGCATGGCTTCATCTTCGTTTTGCTCGTCCTTCAACATTCCTTCGTCAATCTCAACCTTCATCAGGAGCTCCGGTGTGCTCGAAGACGCCGTGGGTGGTTTACAATCCGTTGGCTCCGTCTTTATGGCCATGGCAGCGGGCTCCTCTAGTTTCACGAGGGCCATGGAGGTTGATGGTAAGTTAGAAACACATACAATAGACACTGCAGACAAAACAGCATTCATCGAGTGAGAAACAAAACATGAAGGGGGCCACCAACGGCCTACGAAGGGCACCTACGTAGCGTATAACAAGGAAATGCCACCAGTGTTGTGCGTCGTTGTCAGTTTGAGTTATCTTCGTGGTCCACAGATAGAACAAATAGGCGGCAGGGAAGTCTTGGTCGGGGATGGCAAGCCCCTCGAATGTATGCTAGTGCCTCGACGAAAGTAACTTTGTAGGTGGCTGGGAGATGGGTGGTGGAAGCAAAGCAGACGATGCTTGCAGTGCTGATCAATATGGTCCCACTCCTTTGCTCCTCCATCCGCCGCGAAACTACGAGAAAACAATACGATGAGATTCCGAGCTCTCGTAGCGTATTTTTCGATGCAAGAGAATCGCTCTGGGCTTTTGGTGACGGAAAGTCACAGAAAATCTGGCCCTTTTGACCACCATGTCTGGTGAAGCAGCTAGTCGCAAGCGCAAACGGGAATCATCGCCAGTCCGCGAACTTGCCTTCAGATTGGCGACGCATCCGGTACTGCCTGATAGAGCAGGGCCAGTCCTAGGTGCGTCTTCCAATTTTTTGTTGTTCGACTCCATTTATAACGCGAAGATAGTCAATTTTCCCTCCCTTTCCGCCCCTTCCACTACGCCATTCAAATGCTACGTCAAAAGACACAAGAAATCAGATGAACAGCTTCTTGTCGTAGGCGAAACCGATGCCGTTGAATTTGAATCCAACGAGCATGAAACTCGGAGGGTAGCAGACTCGGGTTGCGCCTACCTTGTCGCTATACATAACAAGAAAACATCCTCCCTGACTGTTTTGCCTCAATCCTTGACCCCCCACGTGCTCACTCGTACTGTCAAGGCACTCAAATCTATCCCACCTGCCCCAGAGCCATCCGCGATGGAATATTTTAAAGCGAAAACCGTTCTTGGGGAGACCTTTGGTACCAAAAAAGCCAAGGCTGCAATCAAGGCGCGGGAAAGGAACGTTGTTGATGTTGGGGCTATGGAGGGCTCGATTGGTTTTGTTATGGCGGGGATTGACAAAGGTGCAGAAGGATTGATGACGAAAGAGGGAGCAAAGGTTCTTGCAGACAACTCCCGCCCCATACCGCCTTTCAATGCGGAGACTGCAAACCAGGAAGAGGTTTATCCGTTGCATGGCATCATACCGGAGGCAGAATGGAAAGTGCTCCAAGTTGCGCCGTTCTACGAGGCGGGTACTACAACCGATCGTCGCCAGTTACTACCACTTCGAAGTTCAGACTGGGTCAATACTCGTGTGGACTCAACACTAGCAGCTGGCAAGAACAAAGACAGGAAACGCACACTGTATGTTTCTGTTTACCCAGCCCCCCAAATCTGACCCAAAACTAGCAAAATCGTATTCTATATTTCCTGTATGATGGCATTCCGACGCGAAATTTCCCGAAAGGTTTCTCGAGAAGACCTCTCGAATCGGCTGTCCCTCGTGCCCGACAGTGTGGTCGATTCTTTGGTCTCCAGGTTTTCCCAAACAACTCGAGATTCGACTCAGTCTGTCCCTTCCTCGATGATTTCGTTCATTTGAAAACTTTCTTCTTCAGACCACGCAGCACGCCGGACCTTGAGCTTCGTCTACTGGCCCATATGCTTGCTCTATGCCTCCACGTTGACAGTTTCGCTGTTGACCATACTACGATTGCACACGACTTGGCCATGCCTACTGAGAAGTACAAATTCAAATGATTTTCTATATCCTTGCCTTTAACACACGTCTTCCAGAATATCTGCGATATGCAGAAACCTTGGATGCAAGATCACCAAGCTGGGCGAGCGCGAACGGACAAGGCTTGGGCTACCGGATAGCGTTGCAGATGAAAAGAGGGCAGTATTAACCGCTCCAGTTGAATTCCCGAAAATAAGAGCAAAGAAGAACGATAAGCGGTAGTAGACTTGAGTATGTAAACATTTGAGGATACATAATTCGTGACATGTGACCGCGACCTCTTATAGTCAACAAACAACACTCTCAACCCACATTGTACGACGGATGGCGGCAGCCATGTCCGGCATGGGAGACACGTCTGGTCTCTCCGTGGGCACTCTTCCTGAGTTATCTCTAGGCTCCTTTGATCTCACTTCACAACAAACACCCGCGAAATTGCGAGTGCCTTCCTCCTCTTCTGGCACTTCTGCCCAATCCTCCCAACCAATTGCAACGCCGTCCCCACCAGTTTTCTCCAGGAGAACGACAGTAACAGAGAAGACCAGCTTCTTTGACAACGGGGACGACGATGTCGATGGTGGTGCTGATTATGGGGTCGGCACGCCTATTGCCACGCGTCCAAAGCGCAATGCCCGACCTGTACCGGCTTCCGGATCCAAGGGTGCATTGACTTTGCGAGACCAGGAGAAGGTATGTGTCCCAGCCTGCACTAAACCCTCGATCGACTCCTCTGTCAAAGCACATCGACAACCTCAAGAAAGAGAACTTCAATATCAAACTACGAGTGCATTTCCTCGAGGAACGTTTGGCTCAACTCGCACCCGACCAGATCGATGCTGCACTGAAACAGAATATTTCGCTCAAGATCGAGGTTCAACAGCGTGGAATGGAGCTCAAGAAATTGAAGAAACTCGTGTTGGAGCTTGAACGAGAGTTGGAGAGGCTACAGAAGGCGGGTAGTAACCGTGGAAGCAGCAATCGTGAACGCGAACGGGAGTTGGAGGAGAAACTAGAGGAGCGGGAAAGGGAACTGCGAGAACTCAGGCGAAGAGCAGCAGATGGTGCAGCAGACGCGTTGCTGGCTGACCGGAATGCTGAGCTGGAAGATGAACTGGATAATATGCGTGGCCTGGTGGAGGACAATATGGAAGAATTGGAAAGGCTACGCGATATTGTTGAACGGTATGACAACGCGGACAACCCGGACTCAACTCGAGTGGTCTCGCTAGAAAACACCATTGCCGACCTTCGAGAGAGAGTCGAAGATCAGGCAGCTCTTCTTCAACAACGCGAAGAAGAGAAGGACGACCTAGCGGACACAGTAGAACAACTTCAACTTGAAAACGAAGAGTTGCAACAACAACTCCAACGAGCGGAAGCACAGGAACGTTCTGAAAGTCGTGCGATGATTCTGGAGGAGAGAGAAGAGAGAGCAGCAGTTGAGGAAGATCTTAATGCAGCCCGTGATAAACTCGCAGCAGCATTAATAGAGCTGCAACAGAAAGAGGACGAAATCGAAGCCAAGAATACCGAAATTGACAATTACATCGCGGAACACGATCGAGTCGTTGCCGTTGTCGAAGACGAATGGCGAGGTGAGGTTGAAGAGGCCAGGGGGCAGGTCGACGAACTACGGGATGTAAGTCCACCGTATTCCAGCACCATATCTTCGCGCTGACATTTCTGGAGGTTCTTGCGGAGCGGGATTCTGAGGCAAAGGATCTGCGACTCCACATCACAGAACTAGAGGCCAATACGGAAGATCTGCATGCCAAGTTTGAAGCTGCTCTTGCTCATCTTGAAGAGGAAGCAGAAACCAAGGATCGAACCATCGAAAAACTGGGCGAACAAATATATGTTCTGGAAGATGAAAACGACCGTATGAAAGAAGAAGGCGAACGTGTTCGAGATGAGGAGATTATAGAACGAGAACGACTCGAAGCGCTGTCGGCTGCTCTCAAAGATGTGTGTCGCATCTGCTCCTTGTTTGCCTGCTAACCAATCTTGGCAGAAAGTTGCTGCGCTTAAAATGGAGCTGGATGAAATGACACAAAACTACGAAGAATGCAGTAATGATATTCATGCTCATCGCGCCCGACAAGAAGAACTTGCCACACATGTCGAAGATCTGGTTGCCCAACTGCAAGCTGATCGGGCCGCTTCGGCACAAGCTGCTGCTGATGCTGATGCCGCAGCACGGGAACAGGCAGCTGCCTTGCGTGCCGAACGCCGCACTGTTGAAGCGAAGGAGTCTGCGCTACAGAGTGCCCTCGCGGATCTCGCCAGAACACAAGCTCAACTAGGAGCCAGAGATGCGGATCTAGCGGCAGTTCAAGCTGCACTGACGACACTAGAGGGTGAATCAAAGCGTGCTGGCGAGACACATACAACTGCCAAGTTCTCGTTGGAACTCGAGGTAGATCGTTTAAAACGAGATTTAGAACGGCTCGAGTCTGAGCTAGCGAGGGCTCGTTCCGAGTTGTCTGACGGCGAGAGTAGAGGGAGGGGAAGGGACGAGGTTATGGACGCCATGCATGCCGAAATTCTTCAACTCAAGGGAGAAGTCAGTGCTCAAACACAAGCGAGGCTCAATGTCAGCGAAAGACTTGATGCTGTTCAAGCAAGTCTTAAGGCGGCTGAAGCCGAGGTTGCCGGCTACAAGAAGCGGGTAGCCGATTTGGAGGCGCGCCTTAACAAGGACCAACGAGCCTTGCTTTCCGCGGAAAGCCAGTATCGCGATCAACTCACAGAGCGGAACACGCTGCTTCTCACCATCTACCAGTACATGGACAAGATTCTTGGTGTTGACAAGACGCCTGTAAGTTTTTGCCTATTCTTTGTGGGGGTCATTTTCTCACTAAGCATAGAAAAAGGCTGGTCAGGCGGAAACCAAGCCCTTCACAAATTTCAATGTCTTCCACGATAACCTTATCACGCGTCTAAAAGCCTTGAGCCAAATTCAAGTCGACTTCGACAAGCGCGCAAAGGATGCAGAAGCGCGGTTCATGGAGAGGCTGACTGAGATGCGGAAGCAGCTTGATATGCGCTGGAAGCAGATTGATAAGTTCGAGGCCGGTGTCAAGGGCTTCGCAGATGCGAAAACTGGTTGGAAGAGGAAGTTGGTTGCCAAAGAGGGCGAAGTTGAAGCGTTGAGGACCACGAATGTAGAGCTTTCAGCCCAGCTCGCTGGAATCCGAAAACCCGGGCAGGCGGACTCTATGGAGCTCCGTGCACTGACTGCTCGAGCAGCAAATGCCGAAAGGAGACTCAACAACGCCCAGAATCAACTGCTTGCGACGGAGGAGAAAGTCGCGTCGATGAACCAGAAGAACTCCGTCGCCGATGCCAAGTGGGAAGCAAGGGTTAAAGAGTATGAAGCTCGATTAAAAGCAGCTGAGGAACGTGTCAAACGCGAACGACAAGGGGGCAAAGAACGGGTTGCGGAGTTGGAGAGCAACCTCAAGACTCTACAACGACAACTTGAGCTCGCGCAAAAGAGGAATCAACAGCTCGGCGATGTTGTCGAGGCGACCAAGATTCCGACAAGCTCGTCTGCACCGTCCATGCGATGATTCACGTCTTTGTTGTCTGATTTATCTTTATTGGGCTTACTCTCCGTCCGACGGCGACGAGACAGGCTGATTGATGCGCCCACGCGAGATTCTTTGCGCGTCGGGTGTTGCTGGTGGGGAGGGTACGCGTAGCGTATATAATATGTCTAAGCACTTTGGTGTTGTCAAGAACACGCAGATGAGAACTTTTTTGTCGCTCAAAGAGTGAAGCGGCGGCTATTTGCCAATGTTTAGCCGCAAACAATGGATCGGCATCCAATCGGCATCTATCCTTTCTCTTGCACTGTCATGATTCATCATCATCCCGAATTGACGACGGACTAAGACTGTCGGCATAAAGTCCTGTTACAGCACTCCAACTTCGGGGTTCGAGAACATGAATGCGTCCACTCGAGTCTGATTGTGCTGTTGACCTACTCTGACGGCCCGGAGCTCAAGCTCCGACACGATCAGCGCCCGTTGACTTGAAGCCCTGAGCCCGTTGAAGATCGCAAACTGTGCATCCGCTGGTTACTATGTACTACTAGGAATAACTCGGGCCTTCTTCCGACGCGTACCTGCTATTATCATACTTCGCTGACACCATCCACCTTGTGCTGGCCGTATGCACGGCCAGATATCGCCTCAATATCCCGCAACGTATTTAAGAGGACGACACTTTTCCTTCCTGCCATGCGCGAGAGTCAAAACCCAGCTAACAGAATGCGCAATCTCTGTACGCGTCCTCTGATCCTGTTAGGCTTCTTTGGCCACCTGATAGCGGCTCACACGTACACTACCAACATCCCCCAGCTCCCTCAAACCGGAAAAAGCAAGGCGCAATGGACTGCGCCATCCGCTCCAACCCTTCTCCTCGATGCACCAAAGGTATCACCCATCAATAACCAATCTTGGGAGCTCCTCTACTTCGATGCCATCTCTATGGACCCAGCGGACCGCTCCTCCGTTAACGTCGTCTTTTTTACAAGCAGCAGGACCGCGAACCCCATGCTCCCAGAGCTGTCGCCAGAGACGGTAACACCTGTAATACTCACTGGCTCGCATCCAGACGGGACTCTCTGGGGTGGGTTCGCTGGCGGAGGTCAAGGAGCAATCGTCACGGTGGACACGGCTAAGAACACAGCGAGCGGGGTATGGCACGGCACTGGTATTAGCTGGTTTGCGACGGACAAGTCTCACTATAAAATCGTCGTCGATTCACCGGATTTGGGGATCACTGGGTCAATCACATTCCGTGGGGTGCGTTGCTTGTCCGATGTTCGAATCGCACCCTCATCCTCGCTCAGATTGCTCCCGCTCATCTACCCTGTGGCCGTGTTCAACCCGGACAGACGCTGCAAGCTAGCCCCAGATTCGGTTGGGCCAACATGATTCCTGATGCGGTTTCCGATGTCGACCTCCACATCCAAGGAAAGCCCCTCAAATTTCGCGGCGCGGGGTACCATGACAAGGTATGGGGCATTACGATGCATTTGGTCTCCCATTAATCAAACCGCCATAGAACTGGAGTGATCTGCCTTTCGCAGACGCATTGGCCGCCTCAACGTGGGGCCATACGCGAGTCGGACCATATTCCATCCTGTGGTACCACCTTCTCGACCCCGCTGGAGGCGAGCATTTTGCCTCCTATGTCGCTAAAGACAACACCATCCTGTTGTCAAGCTGCTCCGCCGACAACCTCAAGATATCACCGGGCTTCGAGCCGTCTGCACCAACTGGGTACCACGTCTCTATCACGGGATCTGGCAAATCGCCGCTGAAAATCGAGCTCGATGTCAACGCGACCGCACAGTTGTTCCCCGGACCTCCATTCCCAGGAAATGGTCGTTCATTCGCTAATTTGACTGCGGTAATTGACGGGAAATCGTATTTTGGGACAGCGGTCTTCGACTGGTATAATGGTCAGGCGCTGCCTTGAAGTTGATCATTGTTGTTTTATAACTTGGGTTACTTACATAGTTTACTACATAATATGATAATTACTTTGAACCGATTTCAGACTATTCCTGGGGCAGTTGTGATCCAAGTATCCTTTAGGAAAGCTACAATGTGGCTCAAACAAAGCCTTGACAACAAACAAAATAAGTGCAAAAAACTCTATGTAACGACAGCAATAACTCAGAACGAAGACTATAAACAATCAGACTTGAAAAGAAAAAAACAAATGCTCATGCTGGATACATCTTCAAAGCCCTTGCCATCTCCGCCGCACTCAGCCCCCTTAACCTTAAACACCGCTGATACAGCCTTTTCTCCACCCCTTCGTACTCAAACCGACTCGCCAAATGTTGCCCCCCGACCATCGTCTTCACCACCCCAGCAATCAATCGTTGCTTGTGAACGTTGATCAGAGGTTCGAGGTGGATGCTAGGTGGCAATGGTGCAAGGGCAGCAAAGACCTCTGGATGCGCAGGCGCGTCAAAGTTCGAAGTGACTGTATCGATCCCCACAGCTTCCGTGGGTGCGGTTGGGTCGATGAGGTCGGGTAGCCTGCTATGACGGTGGAGTTGCGAGAGGTAGACACCAATGAAAGGAATACAAGCTGGGGATTTAGGTTTTGGTTTGTTGGGGTTGTTAGTTCCGGCATCGACAGTGGCCGACTTTCGTCTTGAGTCTTCGGACACTGAGGAGTTCACATCTTGGCTCTTTGTGTCCGCAATCGCGGCTCGGATATGTTTGAAGTCATCGTGGCTAGTGCAGTATGCCTTCAGATCACGGAAAACACGCCCCTCCCATTTGGGTATACTCTTCCATCGAACAGCTTGACCGACAACGGGACTGAGAAGAGCAGCGACGATAGCTACCAACGTATTGAAGCTATTCATCATGTATGATTGCTGACGAATCCTTAGCTCCGTTTCTGGCTGAAAGTAAGAGTACTTACCCAAGCGATCCTAATAAATTTGGTGAACACAGCTGTTCGGTCCTGGGGAGCCGACAGCACGATCTCGCTTGCCACCCAATTGGCCATCAAGTTGAACCTCGCCCTGACTGCAGCTAGCGCACTTATCTTTTCCGCCCATTGAGGATCGGCCTTTAATCGTGCCCTCTCTCGTAAAAACTGAGCCCAGTCAAGCACAGGTTCCTCATCCACAGTACTCCAGTCCTCCAATACCTCCTCAAACTTGACACCCATAAACAGCTCACGATCAATCATTGCAAAATGCCCTGCAATGACTTGTGACGGGAAGCCGATGACAAAAGAGTGATGGAACCGCGAAGTATTGGGAGTAGTAGTTGCTGCAGACCCTTCACTGACGACAAATTTGGAGATGGGGGGTGCTCGCTGTGGAACGAGGGGCATCCGACTTTGGAGAATTTCTAGTGGTACCGCGTCCTCTGGAGCTGGCTTTGCTTCATCAGCTGGCCGAGGAGGTGACATTGGTGCCGTGCGAGTTGTGTAGATTGGAGTATCCGCCGCATGTTCCTCCAGTGGAACCGAATCGTCGTCCGTTATCAGTTCAGTGGTATTGTTCGTGTCATCGTCAGTTGTGAACCCTTCATCATTTGAGATCGATGAGGAAACGCCCACTTCTTCCTCATCTTCATCGTCATCTGAGTACCGTGGCTCCTCCGTATCGTCATAGTCTCCAGTCAAAAATCTCTCCCGCATTGTCTTCATCCAAGTGTTCACCTTGCTCGCTTTCTCTTGGACTTTGCCTTTATCAATCTGTCCCTCTAACGCTTTCAAGGCGGCTTCGACATCTCCCGCATCTCCGTTGTCGCTTAACGAGTCTACCAACGCATTCATCTGCCACTGTGAGATCGCTCCACCGTTGATTGGTGCATCTGATGCGCCAGACACGTGTGACAAGTGGCCTGCAGACTGTATTCCCATGGACGAAACACTATCTGGCCGTTGCACGAACTCGAAGTCCCTCCGAAGGGGTAACCTCCTAACAGGTTGTCTGAGACCTGGAGGGAGTGCAGGTCCATCACCTTCGCCGTGTTCATCAGACGAGTTGTCTGACAAATCCAGCTGGTCAATGGACATGACTTCGAACTGCCATTGGGATTGCGCGCCATTTGGAAATAGCGCAGCACCAGAGGAGATTGGCGCGCCAAACGAATCGGTAGAGGTGGAACGGAAAGATCGGCGTGTGTCAATTGACTCGGGTCGTAAATCTGACATGAACGATTCAGGTCGGAGCGATTCCGGGAGGGAGTTTGGTTCTGGGCTAATTACTGACGAGGTGTCGTTGACAGCTTCGGAGTCTGCCGATAGCACCGAGGGGGCAATACTTTCAGCATAGTCAGGCGGCGCCTCAGTTGGTATTGATGTCGTTTCGACCACTTCAGTTTCCGCCTCTTCAGTGGACTGAGACTCTGGTTGCGGTTCCGTTGACGGTGCCTTCATTGTCATCGTTGGTGGCGGCTCAATCATCTTGAGGTATTGCTCCACACCCCCATTCACCGTCAACAAATCCCCATGAACCGATACCTCCAAATCAACCGCATCCACGTCAACGCAAACCCCCAATTGTGCATCATGACCTCTTGCGCCGCCACGTTGATTCAACACTCGCCTCCACCTTCCAAGCCGTCCAATCGTTTTAACCAGCACACGTGATAATGCATTGTGATGCACCGGTAATGTTGCAGCACTCTGCACAAACGGCGAAACTGGATTGGGGTCACCAAGATGATCCGTTCTCTGGAGGATTGATATAGACGAAAGCGGCATCGCACTCGTGCGTGCTGCCGCACCCCCACCAAGATGAACAGTGGACAGATGCGCATTCGCTAAGTCACTGTTAAAAGCTGTTCGTTCGCTGGCGTCTTGATCAGCAGCGAAGTCTAAGTCGACATCTGAGTCTTCATCATCTGCAGCTTTGCGTGTTGCTGCAGCGAAGCGCTCGCCCAGCACGTGACTCGCTTTACTTTCAACCTCTGTCTGCTGGGTTGTCGGCGCTTTGACAGATGTTGGACGAGACGCTTGTGATTTGGATGAGCGAGTGTGGATCTGTCGACATTCCTTAGCGACTTTTTTTAGCTTGCGGACGATACTCTATTGACTGAATCAGACATGAATTGAAGGAAAGTGACTTGACGCACAAGACCGTCCACATGTCTCTTCAGGATGGGATCCCTTGACAGGGTGTTCAGCCAATTAGCCATAAGCAGCCTCAGCTCGCGATCTGGGAGGAAATCCACGGAGAAAAATGTCAAAAGCCAGTACCGGATGGCCACGAATGTTCGCACTCTCACAACTCGCCGGACCGTTTCTTCTTGAGTATTCGACGGCTGCTGTAATGCCCAATGAAACCGACAAATGAGCAGGTGACATAGATCCACTCCGTTGATATATGTTCGGTATGTAAGGAAGAAGTTGAGCAGTTCCTCATAATTGAGGTCGCTCGTCAGTTGCGCAATCCATCGTTCGATGCTTGCAGCAACAAGCACCTTCGCAAGACCGTCCTCGGGTGACAGTTTGAGTACAGGAACATCTGTTGATTTTGCTTTCGCGTTACTTTTGACACTCCTCTTCTTCGACAGATTAGAAGAGAGCGCAGATGACGAGCCGCCACCATCGGTGTGGTCAGTTTGCGAGTGCTCATCGTTGTCTCTCTCTCTTTCCGGCACCAGTTCTCCCCAAATCACGAATCTCGGATCGTCGCGAGGTGCTGCGGTGTTGTCGGCGGACAGTGAGAGTTTGATAACCGTCGTTTCCTCTCCTGGTGCAAGTTTCTCGAGAAGCGGTAAGCCTCGATATGTTTGAAGTACATCGAAAACGTCGGTCGAATACCTAGAGTACATTGCTGTTTCTGGGGCGGGACCGTATGCTTCTTGAGCTGGTTCGGGCTCCTGTTCGGGCTCCTCAACAGATTCCGAATTCGTCGTTGTAGCCTCTGACATGAAAGATGCAGTTGAATCTCGAACACGGAAAGCTGAAGGTGGCCGTGTCCCATCAGATCCATTGAGCGAAGCAGTATCAAACGATGCCAGCCTCCGGACACTGTCTGAATCTCCTTGTTTTGCGGTCAGACCAGACTCGAAGGACTGCATCTCACGAAGCAACCTTGGAGTGGGCAAAAACTCGAGTCTTGGCTTGCGAGAGGGAGACTCGAAGAGTATTGATTGTCCGAATGGATGAGGTATGTTATTGCCGCTCCGCCCACTGATACTGGCAGATGCAGACGCCTCGCTAGATAAGCTAGATGATGTGTGTTTTCTTGAGGGATGCCAGCCCATAATGTCCCCGAAAATATCGCCAATCTGCGAAGGGGTCGTTTCCGAAGTTGCGGGAGGCACGAAGTCTGCTGCTGTAACACTCTGGGAATGCCCGCGGCCAGTTGGCCGAGAAGAAGGTGCATTGGTGGTGGTAGCCATTTCGGAGAAGGACCGTGTCTTGCGGAGCTTGCGATGGCCACTAGATGTTGTGGGACGAGAAGATGACGATGAAGGTTTCGCGGCGAATAATCCAACACTGACACGGGAGCGTCGAGGCGAATGGGCACGCGACGACTGACTCGACGCCACCGACTGGGAGACACGCTCTACCGCTTCTGCAGTCGAGGCAGCTGGCGGAGTCTTCTTCTCTCGGTTTCTGAAGCATGTATGTAAACGAAATGGATGATGGAAGAATTTCAATAGCGCACCCCACTCGATACATCGACCGCCCATGTTGGTTGACAAAAGCTGTGATGGTGTAGGGCGAACGAACATTGGGACCGACTCCATAGTGTGCATCATAGCGTAGCTTGAGCTCTCGCGCAGCCGGACCGGAAGAAGTTTCGACGAAGCTTCCATCGGCTGGAAATAGGCTTGAATCAGCGGGGTCCTTCTGACAACAATAATGGTACATACGAGCAATTGAAAGGTCTGCTGTTGCTATTTCCGGGGGCAGTGGTTCGAGGGGGTTACCATCGAGGTCAACGTCGGAGAATGTGAAAGATGCTTGAGAGCCGTTGAGAGATGGAGTAGGGATAGGTAACAGAACCCGACTGCTATGGGAGTCGACGGATGAGGCTGGTGAGGTGATGGAAGAAGACGAAGAGAGATATGGTGGTTCGTCCGGAGTTGTGGATAGCCCTGGCGGCGAGGCTGGTTCGAAAGAAAGCCTTGATCCTGCTGAAATTTCAGGCAGGAATGAAGGGGGCCTTTCGGAAGTTGTGGATTCTGAAGTCATTACGGTGGGTATTTGGCGGGTGCTGGAATGTGGCTAGCAGGACATTGGTACAAACAGGCGAGAGAACAAGGGCGAGTGTGAGTGATGGATGTTATGATGCGCGATGAGATGGTGGTTCGGCGTAAGGTCGTGACTAAGCTCGTCTGTGCGAGAGTCGGCAGTCGTGGGCAACGTCAAGCGCCCCGTTCTTCGTCGCTTGGTCTCCACTTGCAAGAGTTGAGTCACATTCTTTCGTCACACTTTGTTTACGCAACTCCCAATTGGGACGCCGGCAAAATATTTAGTCCCTGACGCTCAATAACAGAACAAGGTTCATGCTCATGGTACGCAATCGCCTTCCATGTCAGCATATCATAGGTTTTTCATTGACCACAACATTCATAACAGTGTTGTATCAATGCCAGTTCGCCGATCATCACTGGCTCGGGCAGCAGCCGTAGTGCTTAGACTGTACTACAACAAGTTTGAGCATTTACAAGCATTACATGGTTGGTATGTCTGTCGCCAACCGGTAGGTGCTCTCCACGAAAATCGAATATTGATTCTAGGCCATCGGATTTCCATATCTGACTTGACCAACTCAATTATAGACTGTTGGTGCCAAAATGGGTTTGTTTGTATCCTCGGACCTGTCTCGATGTCTGCTTCTGTCGATGCGCCAACAGTAAGGAGCATGGATTGCACGAATGTCATCAGCTGAATCCCAATAGCCCTTCCAATATATGTAGGTGGTAGAGTTGTTTCGTTACTCAGAGTTGTTTATATGTGTTGTTGAAAAATTTCCTTTTGTGGCTTTTCTGCTTAAACTTTTGTTTGGGATCACCTAACGTGCCAACCTATCTCCTCTAATAAGAGGTGGGGCAGGGATGCTGTGCCCCCTGTAAGGGCAACCCCGGAGGCCTGAGATCAAGGTCCTAGCAGGGGAGGATCCAAAGCGTGAACATTGGTAAGCAAATACAAATGAAGCTGACCTAGCAGGGGAGGATCCAAAGAGAAGAAACTCTAAGGGTCCGCCTGCTAGGGAGCTGGCTATATACTGCTTGTCCGTAGCTGCCGCTGTCGGGCACAGAAGGCTTGGGCGGCGTCGCAGGCAAGGTCCCAGGGCAACCGTTGGGAGGGCGTTGACAGATCGGTGATTGTACGGGCGAGATGGGGGGCCGGACCGGAGACGGAACCAGAATCGGACCGGAGACGGAGGCGTCTCCGAGGGGCCGAAAGGGGGGTTCCCCTGACATCACCCCCCCCTTTGAATGCGGCGTCCCAACGCATAGACCGGAATGGAATCGAGTCGAAGGTCGCGGAGGCGATGTGTCGTGGCTTGCCAGGGTACTTACGATAGAACTCCGCAATTTTCTCCGGGGCGAAGACGCGGTCGAAGCGGACCCACTGGTCGTGCGACGCATCGTAGCCTTTCCATCTGACGGTAATTCAGCCGTTTATACCTCACCCTTGCGTCCAAGATTTCCTCTACTTCCCACTCCGGGACTCTGTCCTCGAGGTCCGGAGGGGGCTGGTCGTAGCCGGGCGTCCGTCGAAGGGGTCGTCTTGGGCGAGCTCAAGCTTGACGACGGGAAGACCGGGTGGAGCTTCGAGTAGCGCGGAGGGAGGTCGAGCTTGTAGGCACCTTTGCTGATCTCCGCGACTATCTTGAACGGACTGAGGCGGCGGTGGGAGAACTTCTCCGAGGGGCGAGTCGTCCTGATGTCAGAGGCATCCAGCCAAACACGGTCGCCAACCTTGAACTCTGGAGACGGAGTGCGTCTCCGGTCGTAGTAGCGCTTATACTCTTCCTTGGCCTTAGTGAGCGGCCTTGGCCTCGGCAACCCCAGTGGCAATTCGGTCGCGGAACTCGTTCACAGACTCCATAGCGGAACGGACTCCGGGTTCAAAGCCCATGCGCGGAAGCCGTCCCGTGTCCGTCATGAAGGGGACTTGCTGCGTGGAGGAGTGGACGTGGTTGTTGTAAGCGAACTCCGCGGCCGGAATCAGCTCATCCCAGTCGTCCTGCTGATAGTTGGTGAAGATCCGCAGGTACTGCTCCAACTCCTGGTTGACGCGCTCTGTCTGACCGTCCGTCTGCGGATGATACGCGGTGGACGTGGCTGGCTTGATGCCGATTAGACGCCAGAGTTCTCGGGTGAAGTCCGCGATGAACTGCGAGCCGCGGTCGGAGACGTACTTCTCCGGAGTCCCATGGTGCCGCCAGACATTCCGGTAGTAGAGGCGGGCTGCTCCTACTGCGTCGACCGTGGTATGGCACTCGGAGAAGTGGGCTCGCTTCCCGAGGGTGTCCACGACGACCATGATCGCGTCGTACCCATGGGCCTCGGGGAGCTCGACAATGAAGTCGACGGAGACGGTATGCCAGCGCTCGGGGCGTTTCCCAGGGGTGTAGCTCTCCGTGGGGCAGTCTCCGGAGCGCCTTGGTGCGACAGCACAGGTCGCAGGTTGCGACGTACCGGCCGATATGGCGAGACATCTGGGGCCACCAGTAGTTCCGGGAGACCAACTCCAAGGTCTTGAAGCGACCGGCGTGTCCGGCGACTCGAGTGTCATGGCAGAGCTCGATGATGCGCCTCCGGAGGTCCTTGTCCTTGGGCACGACAATCTTCCCACGAAAGTGGAGAAGACCACCGGAGACGGCCCACTCGCCGGAGCGTGAGGAGGGGGGCCTCGAGCTTGACCTTGGACCTTTAGGAGTTGCCGGGCCGCTAGTGCGACGGGCTCCTCCAGGTCAGGCTCACCGGAGAGGGCATCGCGAATGTCGCGAAGAAGTTCGGAACCGGGACCGGAAACGGAAACACCCTCGAGTGCGCGGACGTGGAAGAGTTCGGGCCGTAGAAGGACGACGTCGGAGTTGTCGGAATCGATTCCGTGGTCGGGTCTCCGAGAGAGGGTGTCAGGTCGGCCCATGTTGCGACCGGGCTTGTGGTGCAGCGTGAAGTCGAACCGGGAGAGGTAGAGGGACCAGCGGGCCTGTCTCCGGTTGAGGTGCTGCGTCTTCCTGAAGTACTCCAAATTCTTATGGTCAGTCCAAATCTCGACGGGATGCGCGGCACCCTCGAGGAAGTGTCTATACTCCTCGAGTGCGCGGATGATCGCGAGCATCTCCTTGTCGTGGATTTCGTAGTTGCGCTGGACATCATTTAAGCTTTTGGAATAGAATGCTACAGGGTGCCACTTCCCGTCCGGGGCGGATTGTGAAAGAACCGCCCCCGTCGCATAATCAGAGCTGTCCGCCTCGAGTCGGAAAGGCCGTGCGTCGTCCGGAATCGCCAGGACCGGTTCGAGGTGACCCGTCCTTGATCGCTTGGAAGCGGAGGCCTCCCGTCGCCCCAAGTCCATTGCTGATCCTTCTTGGTGAGCGCAAAGAGAGGGACGCGAGGGCCGAGAAGTCGCGAATGAACCTGCGGTAGAAATTAGCGAACCCAAGGAACTGCTGAACATCCTTCTTGTTTTCCGGAGTCGGCCAGGCGGAGACGCCTGCGACCTTGACGGGGTCCATTTCGACGTGGTTGTGGGAGATGATGACTCCGAGGTATTCGATTGACGATTTTTCAAGTCGCACTTCTCCGCTCGGAGGTACAACTTATGCTCGGAGTCGGCGCAGGACCTCCTGGACGATCTGTCGGTGTTTCCGGAGGTCGGAATGGGCGATCAGGATGTCGTCCAGGTAGATCATGACGTCTCCGGAAAGGATGAGGTCCTGGAAAATGTCATTCATCATCGTTTGGAACGTCGCGGGAGAGTTTGTCAGGCCGAAATACATCACCAAGGGCTCGAACAGGCCTCGGTTAGTCCGGAAAGCTGCCTTCCACTCATCACCTTCTTTGATCCGGACGTTGTTGAAGCCCCAACGAACATCGAGTTTGGTGAAGTAGCGAGCGCCTTTGAGCCGGTTGATGAGGTCGTTGATCAGCGGAAGGGGGTACCGGTTTTTGACGGTCATCGCGTTGAGGGCCCGATAGTCCTGGACAAAGCGGAGTCCGCCGTCCTTCTTCTTGACGAAGAAGACCGGAGACGCCATCGGAGACTTGGAGGGGCGAATCCGGCCCGTCGACAGCCCTTCCTCGATGAACGCGCCGAGCTCGCGTTGCTCGAGGGGCGAGATGGGGTACACCTTGCAGTTGGCTGGCTTAGCGTCGGGGACGAGTTCGATGGCGTGGTCCCAGGTTCTCCGTTCGGGAGCGTGTCGAAAGACTCCTTGTTGAAGACGTCCTGGAACTCTTTAGCCCAGTCCGGGATCTCGGAGGGCGGGGAGCGGAGTTCCTGGCGAAGGCTTCGGCCAGGCGCTGCGAGACAGTACTGCCAGCGCGTATCTCCTCCGAGGGACGGAACGAGGTGTAGAAGATGCGGTCACCATCTTCAAGCTGACCATCGTCATCGCCGTCGTCGGAGTCCGGCGTCAGATCAGGCAGGCCGGAGTCGTCACCGGAGACGGAATCGTCTCCGTCGTCAGACCCAGAAAGGTCCATGGCGCAGACCGAGGGGAACGGGCCGGAGCGGAGTCGCTTCTGGAGCAGCCGGAGTCGCCGTAGCTCGGGTCCGTTCAACGCGTTCTTCCTCGCGGCAAGTGGAACAGCCGCGGGGGCACCGTGTCATCTTGACCTCCTTGGTTTCCTAATCGATCTCTGGGTTATGCTTCCGCAGCCAAGAGTACCCCAGGATGAGGTCTTGTTTACCAAGATGGGTGACGGCGAGTTGAACGCGCTCGGAATGGCCTTTGTAGCGTAGGACCAAGTCCGCGATCTGGTTGATGGAGCCAGCATCATTCGGAGTGCCATCGACGTTGAAGACCGGAATCGGCTGCGCCAGGGTGCGGACCGGAATGCCATTCCGAGCGACGTAGTTCGTGTCGATGAAGTCGGAGGTGGCACCACAGTCAACAAGCCCAGAAAGGGAGAGCTTCAACGCACTGGTGGTGGACTCTAGCTCCAACGGGAGGTGGAGGGAGTTCACTCCAGGGGAGGCAGTGACGGTGTACTGCTTGGGCAATTTCT